AAAATACAATCAGCCCAAAAGAAAGAAGGCACAGAAAAATAGAAGGACGGGGAGAAAGAAGAAAAATAAGCCAAAACGAGATAAAAAAGTGACAGACAAAGGTTCACCAATAGCTAGAGACTTTGTCCAAAACATTTGTATCGGTGCTGTTAGTTATCTGTGGTCTGATGGCATGAACGAAAAGTAAGTTGTACCGATTAAAAGGAATCACAGGGGGTTTGTACAGAGTTGAGGAAAAAAGAAGTAAGCCCTTTAAGTCAGAATTATAAGATATAAATGAGTATTGTACAGCAATGTAAATAATATAAAGTCAAATCGAAAGTACATTAAACGTATGTCATAAACTTGTATCTCAACCACACCCCTTCCCTCTTAATTGGCATTTAACTCTAAAACCGAGGACATGTCGTGTTTAATAAGCGAATTTTTGAAAATCACAATATAAATCATTCAACAATAAAGGAATGCCCTAAATATGTAATTGTTCATGCAAGACCCTAAATAAGAAAAAATAAAGAGGAAATCTGGTTTAAAGAACAGTAAGATTGACAGTACTGTCATGATCTCTTTACACTCGTAAATACCAACACAAGCCCTACACTGCATAGTCCAATATCCTTATAATCCACATTTCGAGGCAGTCAATTCTATAAGAACAAAAGCGAATTATAATATAAATATATTTCAATTCATTTTTTTAATATTTTAAAAAGTAAAGTGATGAACTAGAATTTTTTTTCCAAGACTCGAGACTTTTTCAAAAGAGAAGAGAGAATTTAAGCGGAACGGAGAGTATCCAAGAACTTCTTGGAAGCAGCGGTGGAGACACCACGCTTCTTTTGGACCTTGGAGACCTTACCGGCAGCAGCCTTTTCGGACTTGACAAGTTCGGCACGACGGAGAACTTGAGCATAAGGGTTAAGACGGTTCATGACACCTTGGTTCTTAAGAGGGTTCTTCTTTTGAGTGAAGGGACGCTTGTGGTGCTTGTTACCAGCGGGACGAACGACAGATTGGATTTCGTCAGAGTTGATAAGACGAGCAACATCGGGGTTGGTCATGATGTGAGCAGGCAAAACGTAGTCCTTCTTCAAGGTAGCGGGAGCTTCATAAGTACCGTAGAGTTCATCGAGGAGAGCAATGGCAGATTGAGTCCAGATGATGAAACGACCTAAATGTCCACCGGGAGCGAGTTGCAAGAGGTTAAGACGACGGACGTTAACGAGCTCGAGACCGGGCAAGTTACGGAAAGCCTTGACGAGACCGTTATCTTCGTTGTAGATGACAAGGGGACCACGACGTTGTCTGTGACGACGGTTACGGAGCTTACCTTGACCAGCACGGAGCTTACGAGAGTTGGAGACCTTGACGACATCAGAGTAAGCGTTCAAAGACTTGAGGAGAGCGACGGCTTCCTTGGTCTTGGTCAACTTCTCAACGGAGTCAGCAACGACAAGAGGAACTTCCTCAATCTTCTCAACACGATGACCACGAGCCATAACCAAAGAGGGGAGAGCGGAAGCAGCTAAAGCAGAAGCAGTAGCGAAACGCTTTTGGTTAAGGTTGGTCTTAACGTGCCACTTTCTCCAGGTCTTGGTAGGAGCGAACATACGACCACCACGACACATGTTACCGAAAGCAGCTTGACCAGCACGGTGAGTACCGGAACCGTTAACACGAGGAATACGAGCAACAGCACGACCAGTACCCCAAGACTCAGCAGAGGTTTGCTCACCAGCATTGTTGGCAACGGAGTAAGCTTGACGCTTGTTCTTGGCCATGTTGGTGTGGACGAAACCGACAATATCGGGACGAATGGGAGCCTTGAAGACGGCAGGGAGAGGGACGGTAGCAGCGACGTTCTTACCACATTCGGTATAGACGTTGAGAACAGGTCTGGCAGCGGACTACAATCAGAAATTGTCATTAGAATCGATCATAATTATGTCAGTGAGTAGCAATTCATAGCAAAAAATAAAAAATATCATGTCCAATTTCTATATATATATATTTTTTTGGTGATTTCGTTCATCTGCTCGGTTTCGTCGCATCCATCCATCTCCTTATTGATACATGATATCTTTTATTTTTGTAATTGCATTCATCTTATAGCTATACTGTACCATTTGGAAAAAGTTCGAGCAAAAAAAGAGGAAGATTCATTGTTTGGGTGCTTGGCCATTGAATATATGGAGTCCTGTTCCTTGTATATTTAAGCACCGCTACCGTCCCTGTGCGGGCCGGACAGTGTAGACATGAATAGAAACTTGTTTTGTAGTGCAATGATGACAAGCAGAGATTGTTTATAAAATGAAAACAACTATGCAATGCAGAAACAGACAAATTTCTTCAGGGTTTCGACAACAGTTTGGTTGGAACTTTAAGAAATAATTCTAGTATACAAAGATGTCGTTGTTCCGTTACGGTTATTCAATTCATAATAATATCTTGGGTTCATGTTGAGGACAGGACTATTATTATTTGATAATGCAATGTTTAATTTGGGCATTTTGAAAGTGTACGGATATCAAAAAAAAAAAAAAAAGAGTATATGCAATATCTGAATTTGGATGCGCCAATACAAAGTCACTTTTGTTGTGCCTCAGACCACGTTCTGTCGCGTATAATTTATTTCTTTCTCTCTTTCACTTTATTTCTAATCTTCCCAATGGTAATTTGTAATAACCATTAACGTAGCTCAAAAGCTAATATTTAGATGAATAGGGTTCTTCTGATAAAATCTTTGGCGCAACCGCCGTTTCGGCTGCTGTAACTATTTTCACATACTTCTCCTTTTGGACCTTCATCGTTGTAAGTAGACATGAGCAGAGAAAATATCAACTACCTACTTACAGGCATCTCAATTTTAGCCCTTCTTGGATGAAGATAGTTCCCTTCAAAAGTTTTTCCTCCCTTACCAATACGCCATCTATTTACCTGCCGCCGTATTGGTTGCTGCACTTTCCCTAGTTACTGCCTTCTTTGTAAAGACAACATCCAAGAGCAAAGACAGCCAAAAGGCCAAATAAAGCATTTTCATCGCATACATGTCATATACACAACACACAAAAGCTTTTTTTTTTTAACAAAGTATTCAAAATAACCTTTTTTCATTGATGTTGCTTAATTTTATTGGCTGGGTCCTTTTCTCCGAATGATTAATCCCATTTTTATCAACATTTACTCTTTTTGAACAAATTCAAAGATGCAGACCGTTGAAGTAGCTTTTTAAAGCTTTGAAATATATCAGCCATTCGTGCAGCCGGAAAAGAAGAAGAGAAAGTTATAGTTAGTCAGTAACCTGCATCTTTTTGCCTTCAAACAGCTTTTCCATTCCTAGAAAATGTGACTTTCAAATTTGTCGTCTCGTTTTTTTTTCAGAAAAAGCTTTTTTTTGTTAGTTTCAACCCTCATTAACATACTTTTTTCGTTGTAAATAATAAAATGAAGGACGCCCAACTTCCTGAAAATGTCGAACTCTTGCGTACACGTGTTGTAATTGAGAAGGATAGAGTCTTCAGTGTAAGTGAGAATATGACCATACCCGAGCCATAATAAAAACTTACATGTCGTTTCTTTTCTTAGGTCAGCGGAAGTGATTACCCCAACCAATATCCTGGTATCGACAATGGTTTCAACCTCACCGAGTTCAAAAAGGTAGACACATTCTTAGGCCGCTTCCATGTGCATTACTAAACATTTCCTGGTTTTTTTTTAAAAAATATGTAGAATTTCAAGGTCAAGATCCAGCGTTTATCAAAGCACAGTGTTGAATTCGACTTAATTGGCGTTGACGCGTCTGTAGCTAATGCTTTCCGTCGTATTATGATTGCAGAGGTACGAAGAAAGAAGATTGTTATGTGGGGGGAGGGGTTTAGCTTACTGACTTGTGGTAATATTAGGTTCCTACCATGGCTATTGAAAAGGTCTACGTTATGAACAATACCTCCATTATTCAAGACGAAGTTGTCGCACATCGTTTAGGTTTAATTCCTATTAAAGCTGACCCTCTTGAATTCGACTATATGACCGAAGATGGTGGACCTACTGATCTTAATACACTTGTGTTCAAGTTAAAAAAGAAATGTGAATTCAACCCTGAAGCTGCTGCTGACGAGACTGATGCTAATGTAAAATATATCAACAGCTTCGGTAAGTTTGTGAGGAAGGATAACGATGGTGTTTATTGACTATTATTATAGTCTATTCCAGTGATTTGGTTTGGGAACCTAAGGGTAACCAAGAAGAGAAATTTGGTGATAGCCCTCCTAGACCTGTTCATGATGATATTGTAATTGCCAAATTAAGACCTGGACAAGAGATGGAGATGGAATTACATTGTCAAAAGGGTCTCGGTAGAGAACACGCCAAATGGTCTCCTGTTGCCACAGCATCATACCGTATTCTTCCTGAAATCACAATTTTGGAACCTATTACTGGTGAAGATGCCGAAGAGTTTAAAAAGTGTTTCGTTGAAGGTGTTGTTGACGTTGTTATGGAAAATGGTGTGAAGACTGCCAAGGTTGTTAATGCTCGTAAGGATACAGTCAGCAGAGAAGTTTTACGACATGAAAAATTCGATAATAAGGTTCGTTTGACCCGTGTTCGTGACCATTTTATATGTAAGTTCTATATTTGTGTGTGTTGCTGTGTGGGTAATTGACATTTTCATTTGATAGTCAATGTCGAAACTTCTGGTATTATTCCTGCCGAACAAATTTTCCTTTCAGCACTTGATGTGTTTATGGATAAGATTAAGGATATTCAACCTCTTGTAGACCGTGTTGTATCAAATGAACTCAACTAATCAATCCATTTCTTATTTCATCTCTTCACTTCATCTACAGCAAATTTAGACCCTCCAAAAAAATAATAAAAATGTTTATATTTAAAAAAAAAAAATTGCTATCTTATTTATTTTCTCTTCTCTTTTTAACAGCTTGAGATAGGTTCTCCAACACAAGTTCGGTATCTTTCCAGTTGATACAACCATCAGTAATAGAAACACCATAATCCAAGGCACATGGGCCATCCTCAGGTACGCTTTGCTTGCCTTCTTTTAAATGCGATTCAATCATCACGCCGACAATAGCATCTTCACCTTGTGAAACTTGATCAGCGATGGATTGTGCTACCTTGGGTTGATTCTTAAAATTCTTGTTTGAGTTTCCATGAGAGCAATCAATCATGATTGACGTAGGTAAACCGGCCTTTTCAAGAATCTTCTTGGTCTCTTGAACATAACTTGCTTCGTAATTTGGACCTTTATTACCACCGCGCAAGATAACATGACAATCTTTGTTTCCTGTAGTATGGGTTATGCAGATGACACCAGCACTATTGAGACCCAAGAAATGATGAGGAGCAGAGGCTGAGCCAATGGCATCAATCGCAATGGTTAAATTTCCATCCGTACCGTTCTTGAAACCAACGGGGAATGATATACCAGAAGCAAGTTCTCTGTGTAATTGAGATTCCGTAGTACGTGCACCAATGGCTCCCCAAGAAATCAAATCAGCCATATACTGTGGTGAAATAGTATCCAAAAGTTCAACAGATACTGGTATACCCATATGTGTCAATTCGTTCAACAATCCACGGCCAATACGAAGACCCTTATTGATGTCAAAACTGCTTGTGTTGTCAGTGAAACGTTTTTTTTTTTTTTTTAATATAAACAATTCATCATACCTTCCATCAATATCAGGGTCATTAATTAACCCTTTCCATCCAACCGTAGTTCGTGGTTTTTCAAAGTATGCACGCATTACAATGACGAGTTCATTTTGAAATTTCTCTTTGGCATTAACTAATAGCTTGGCTGAAACACGATTAAATTACTAGTGCCTCACCCCTTTTGTTTTCCTTCTAAATCTACATACCATATTCCTTAGCAGCAAGTGTATCATGGATAGAGCAAGGGCCTACAATTACAAACAATCTATCATCTTTTTTGGCAATAATATCAGATATTTCTTTTCTTGCTTGAGTGATGGTTAATTTGGAGGCTTCGGACTAATAGCATCTAAAGTTAATAACGCGTTTTTAAATTCATTTTATGAAAAACTTACCACCGGAAATTCTTCCTTTATGTAACTTGGGGTAAGCAAAGCATTGTACCCTTTAATTCTTAAGTCATCCATTGTTAAGTTAGGCTTGAAGGATGATAGAGAGAGAAAGAAGGAGAATGCGTTGAACGTTAAGATCAAGTCCTATTTATTTGTTTGGAGGTAGAAACCCCGCAGCCTAAACAAACACGCAAAAAAAAAAAAAAAAATCAAAGTGACGTTTTCCTTTTCTAATTTTGACAACTAAGATGATACCAACACCTGACTTATCGCATATTAAAAAGCAAGACTATGACAAAGTTTATGAACCGGCAGGTACTAAAACGCCTTCTGTTTGTTATCTAACTGTAGCCAAATTAACAAGTAAATAGAGGACACGTTCTTGTTGTTAGATGCACTCGAAGAAGACGAAAAGCTGATTCAAACACTTCAACCACGGATCTGCTTGGAGATTGGGTAAGCTTCAAGATCTTAATGTACACCATATGACTAACATGTATATAATTAGATCTGGATCAGGATGTGTTACAACCTTGCTGGCCAAGATTGTGGGCGATTCCAATGCATGTAAGGTTCAGCTTTTTGCTCAGTATATCAGTCTATTAATATCAGCTTTTTTTTTTTTTTTTTTTTTTTTTTTTTTTTTTTTTTTTTTTTTTTTTTTTTCAAAAATAGTATTCCTGACTACTGACATCAATTTCTTTGCATGTGAAACCACTAGAAAAACAGGTTTACAGAACCAGATTACTCGTATTGAACCTATTAATACTTCGCTCGTCAACGGAATCTTACCTAGATTGAAGAACTGTATAGACATCCTTTGCTTCAACCCACCTTATGCCGTGACACCACATGAGGAAGTCGGAAGCTTAGGCATCGAAGCCTCTTGGGCTGGTGGTATCGATGGGAGAGAAGTGATCGACGAGTTGTTGCCATATGTTCAAGTAAGATCATGTATCAGATCTATAAAACAGAAGAATAATGACTAATTCTATTATTAGGACATCTTATCTCCACACGGTTTGTTTTATTTATTGCTGGTGGACGAAAATAAACCAAACGAGGTTGTGAATATCATGAAGGAAGAATACGGAATGCATGCAGAAATCATAATGCAGCGCAGGGCTGGTAGAGAAAAGCAATTTATTGTAAAAATTCAGCATCTCAAATAAACCATTATTTTGCTGCTTCAATAGTCTGTGCAGTCGTAGTCATGAAAAATGACGCATTTCTGGCTATCGCGTTATATACAACCCTTAGAATAATACGCGTTAGCTTATATATCACGTAATAAAAATATTGCATAACCTACTTTGTCCATTTAGAAAAGTTGTCACCAAGGCCTTTAAAAACCCCAGCTTTCTTTGGGTTTCTTGCGTTAATAACTCCCTTTGTTCTGTACCATAACCAAGCATTAGAACATAAACTCCAAGTAAAACCACTGATGAAAGGTACAATGATTTGATCTTTAATAACTGCTGACCAAAAGATGCCCAAAGGTGAAGCGCCTGATTCTATTAAATGCTGAACTGATTTATCAAATTGTTTTTCGAAGCGCATGTCTGGCACTGTAGGTCCTTTCTTTTCCCTTCTTGTTACTGAAAAGTCATCATCATCGTCGTCTACAACGAATCCTTCCTTGCTTGGATCTCGCAAATCATGTTGACGTCTTTGAAGTTCTAACAAGCGTTCGAGATCATCACTGCTGTAATCACTGGAAGAAAATAGTAAGGTTTCTTGAGCTTCAGGTTGAATAAAGTCGCTAGGTTCCATTATTATTTGTTAGAAAAAATTGACCTCTGTAAAAAAAATGGAAAAGTACAAAATATAATGACGTTGTGTGCAAAGCAGATTGATTGGTTTAATCTGTTTCTTGATTTTAAGCCTGTAATTGATTTTTAGTGATTGATGCTTAGCCTATGGTTGGTATTCGTTCTATTGTTGTTCATTCTTTTCATACTTTTCTACATGATGTTGTCGATATCGTGCATAAAAGTATACTATAAATCAAAGCAGGAATACTTGTATGACGTCTTTTGGTATGAGTGGCTCTAGTTAATGAGGCCGTTTAAGTAAAATTTAAGATAGATCTCATCAGTTTCAACCAATTTTGTAAATGCTCTTTTAGAATTGATGTAATATTGGGTTGTATTACTGTAGCTTCTCTCCGTTAGCTTAAATGATCATGAAATTCTATAAAAGCTATGAAAGCTATGAAAAGCAAGCGCTTAAAAAGTTAGCTTGGTATGTTACATCCAGAGAATTGTCATTAAAAATCACAGGCTCAGCGAGCTTAATTGATATTATTAAAATGTCACTGTATATGTTGAATACGTTAAATATCTCGGTTCTTCAAAACCCATCCTTTATTAAATTGAGTGGATGGATATTCAGTAATCATTTTAGTGAGACTACCACCCCCTTCCGCGTTTTCATCAGATTGCTGAATTAGACCGAAGTTCAAGGCAAAAGGTGTATGTACATCACTATAATACAAGCTTACTGGTTTAATTTTTAAATTTAAATACAAACTATGTCTATCTAGGATCGCCACGGATCATGTGTTCAGTCACTGTGTTTAATGCGCACACCCACTCCTCTTTTTCTCTTCTACTTCTGGCAAGAAAGGTCCATGTATTTCCGTTAGGATTCACAGTTTGATCATGGTGATATACACGAAGTCTTTGTCTTTTTCCACTAAAATAACGGCGTAATTTCGGCTTCCAGATCGAAAATACGCATGCCATTGCATCATCGTTTGTAGTTAACCCTGATTCATATATACGTGCTGATTTTTTCCATAAATTGTCTCGGTTGGATCCTTTATTTTTTTTGCTACTGTCGACACCAGAATAAAAGTAGCATCCAGCAATATCCAACGATCCTTTGCGTTCATGATTGGATATCTTTCTTTTCGTTGATCTGTTGAACACATCGAAAAATAAAATCCAGCCATTTGCTGTCAAAATAAACATCTTTTGTGAGTAAGTTCCTCTGTGATGTGGTTTGTAATACAGAATTCCGGATTTCTACACACAATTGGATTAGATTGCTTTCATTTCTATATAAGATAAGTAAATTAATATACCACCACATCTCGGCATTGTTCATAAAGACAATAGCTCCATATACGTGTATCTGCTATCATCTCTTGATGTCGATGCACACATCCTTTTTTTGTGTCAATCTGACCATTGTCCTTAATCAACGTATCTTCCGTGTCAGTTGAACTAATATTATTATTGGAAAACCTATCATGTGTATGAGCATCTTTCTCAGCCTCTTTTCGAGCTTTCCAATACACAATGATCTGTGCCAAATACTTGACCCACGAGTCGCAAGTATCACTTGTATAAGCCTATTTAAGGCTTTAATTTTTTTTTTCTTTTTTTACAAAAACTTTCCACTATAGCTAAATTTACCTCAAATTTAATTTGTAAACCATTTTCCATTATTAGTTCCAAACATGCCTGATTGTGATGTGATTTCGGGTGGAAAAGTGTTTGTTGTTCTTCTGGTTGAATCATGGGTGATCGACTGGATCTCTTTCCCAAGCTAATATGACTATGACTTTGCTCACGTTCTTCACCAAGATCATTTGAAAATGAGCGTCTTACGTATGATACTTCAGTTAAATCAATAACACCTTTAGCCTCTATCATTAAATCCATGCGACGTTTAATTTCTTGCGTTTCTGTTTTTTTTGTGGAAGATTGTGTGTAAGGTGAAATCCCAGATATGTAAGGCATAATCCTGATATTTCTCGGTAACAAGTTTTCATCAATAAAACTAGCACTGTCAGGTGGAGATACTTTGAGTGTTGGCGTATAAAATAGAAACTGATCAAAAGTAGCATAGTAATTTGTTTTTCCCGTATATATAGCAGCCATACGACCATGAAAATCCGTAACTGAGGTGAGAAATCCTTCAACAGGTGGCGGTTCCTTTAATGTAAAATTTTCTTGCAAAATGATATCATGAGGGGTATGTTGAATAGGTCTTAATTCTAGTCGATGTGTTTGCTCAATACTCTGTGGACATATTACCCAGTCAATACGTTCATGTTCATCGGATGAACATGTGGTCCAGTAAACCCATTCTGCTCTATCCTCTGTAGCCCAACATAAACCTAACTCATCTGTTGAAGTCCATTTCTCCATCTTCTTCAACGATTCCATATCGCCATCATCTTCCTCTAAAACTGTGACAACTGCGTCCTTTACATCTTCCAAGGTAATTTCGTTGTAATGCTTAACATTTGTCAAGGGTAGATTTACAGAGAGATCCAGCAAGGGTATATATACTTCACACCAATTAGGACATGGGCGTTTACATTCATCTGGTAGCAAATCGTATATTTTCATATACCATTCTTGACATTTCAAAAATGACCTGGCTTTAAATGTCATTGTTACAATCATCGGAGTTCTAGCGGGAGTGTATACATAACGTAAGCAAAAGGTGTAATCTAAGGGTGAGAATAAAAATAGCTCCAAGCGGTTCTGTTTTTTGCTTCCCTGAAGATATACGCGATGCTCTAATTTCTGCAATGGCCAAAATAAGGTCTAGGTATCAATAAGAAGTTAAACGTTAAAGATGAAAAACCAAATAAAAAAATTGCTTACCGAAGAACAGTAGGTGGATAAACATTTATTTGTCAAGACCAGTTCCATTTGTTTCCATTCCTCATTTAAAAGATCGAATCTAGCATCTTTTTCGGCCCTATATGTAGATGGTTCAGTGCCAGTATACTCGGTGACAGACCGCATGCATAAAATAGGTTCATGTTTTAAAGGTTTGTCAGTCGGAACTGAAGCTGGTTCCCGTGTAACGTCGGTGGATATAAAGACAGATCCAGATTTTTTCCAAAGTAAAGGCTTCTTACCGGGTCTACGAACCTTTCGCTTTTTCTTTTTGGTAAATGTATTGACAATTGGGGTAGATAAAGCTGTGGTAGTTGTACTCGGCCTAATTGGTAGTTTACCTTTGGAAGGTCGAACAGTTTTGATAGATTCTGCATCGGTGTCAGTGGATATCAATGGTTGAACAGGCGCATCCGCTAAAAATTGATAATCAATTTCGTCATCTTCATCGTCATTGTTTACTATTTGCTCCAAAAAATGGGGTGTAGTGTCTGCGCTTTTAAACCCTGTAGAATTGGTATTACTGGAACGTGCAGTGATAAAACTGGTCCCATCAGATAAGGGTGTACCAATATTATGCGACTCGTCTTTGGTCGGTGGTGAAGTTTCACTTGAAAATGTGTTGCTTTAATCGAACCGCATTGAGTATAAATGTTGCATGTAACCGAAAAAAAAACACTTACTAGTTTAGCAATTTCAGACTAGAATCGGAATCGATTGAAGGTATACTTTCTACCAAGTGAGGAAGGAATTGTTCCGGTGGAGGTGGCATATTAATGTCCCAAGGCCCAATGAAGACACGGCTTGAACATTGCTTGCGATGCCAGAATTTTTTGTTGTCATTGTCCTCAGTGTATTCCATCCCTTTATTCACGTAAAACGTTTTTTTATAAAAGAGTAAGAGAAAAAAATTATGTGGTACGACATGAAAAAAATATATAAATGTACAGGTGGCATGGTTGATGGGCTCGAGCTTTAATTGGCTGATCTTTTCAAATCGGCACTTTCTTGACAAAAAACAACTTAGATAGACAGAAGTCAAATCAGTGGTTGATAGCAAGGGGGACCATCTCATATATGTGTCATTGATTAGCTTATTTGCTTTTATCGCAACATGCAAAGGTGTATAAGGGTATGGATTCAGTTCAAACTAGGCTAAAACTGGAAATTGCTGCTTTCATAATCCTTGTAAGTATTAGTAAAAATAAAACAGGCTGTTTTGGTTAAATAACGTAGTATGATAACTACAAGAGCAGATTAGGTTGATAAGCTGATATTTTTTCAAGTTCAGGTTCTACCGCAATATTTGCATTTTCGACTTTTTCTCCTCCCTAACAATGGGTAAAATCATTGTTAACAGCAACATTCAATTCCCTTACGATTGTCTTTGCAACATAAAAAAAGGCATTAAGGAAACGGTAGATTTGATAAATAAAACTGCTGGTTTCAAATAGTCACAACATTCATTGTACATGTAAAGATTTTCACAATCGAAAGGGTGCTGCAAGGACTTCTCCATCAATTTTTATTTTTCCATGAATTTTAATTTTTATCAGTATCTTGTTACAGTGTTAGTTTCATCCATGTAATATGTCTTCTTGTCCTCGAAATTATTGTTGTCACTGTCGGACAACTTTCATCTATCAGTAGAGCTGCTGACGTTTATCAAGCAGCTCCTTAAAAACATTATGCTAAATTGTATCTAAGTCTTTTAAGCATTACTTAGTATGAGCCTTTTTTAGAGGGTATCTTCTAAGTATGACAAAATACCCGATTCATACTTGTCCATACCGTTAAGATTCGTTTGTAAAAAAAAAATCAATGAACGTAAAGTTTTCAACTATATAAATAGTACAATTTCATAAGCTTTCAAGATTATCTAATATCTAATAGCGAATTATCTTATAAACCAATGAAATGTAACCTGTTGACGATTTTAGATTTTAAGTCTTCATTTACAGTTAAATTCATTAACATTAAATGTAACGTACTTTGAACTACCCACTGACAACCAAAAAACTGCCTTGTTCTGAAACATATGAAAATTGTGAAAAGGAGGGGAAAGAAATAGATTCACAGCTCCATATTGGAGACCACATTATTCAATATAATAAGATAGAATAGCATAGCCATATTATGTAAACACCTTTCGTTTTTGCTATGAGGGATTTATCTCGTCATTGTTCATCAGTTGAGTAATTATAAATATGGTTATCATGTCTGGTACAAGTATGATAGCTCTCTAATGATACAAGAAGATCTATTTTACAGCATTAACGTACTGGTTGAATTAGCCACCAGGGACGTATCTGCTTCAGAGAGAGCGTTAATGCCGGCGTACCTTACATTTTCGAAAATCATGGGAATAATTTGAGGTAATGTTCTATTTATGCACAACAAGATTTGTGCGACTTTGGGTTTTTTTAGAGGTGCCCAAAAAAAGAAAAAGTGTTCATATGAGCACTTTACTTGCGATGATCATGATCGCATCATCGTCTTCGCAGGTGGTTCGGTATATTGAATGACCGATTCGTTTTTTACCACCAAAAAAAGAGGTGGTCGATAATTCTCCCACCGTCATTTTGTTTCCTTTTTCTTTTTTGTTTTTCAAACAACAATTTAAATATGAAATTAGCAAGCTTAGCTTTACTTTTAACAACCGTCGTAGGTTTATCAAATGCTAGTTTTTTACCAGGTTTAGTCATGCAAGAGGATGTTGGAACATACATGCAAGAGTCAACCAAGTTAATCACCAATTGCGGTGATGCCAGTGACATTTTAACGTAAGTTTACCAATAGTATGTCAAATAGAATGCATAACTAAAAACCAATAATGCAGTATTGACTATGTCACACTTTCACCTGATCCTCCAGTGAAAGGTGAAGAGCTAACAATCGATTTCAAAGGTTACTTATCCGAGACTGTGCCCAACGGAACTACTGTTCAGGTTATTGTCAAATATGGTGTAGTTAAGTTAATCCAGAAGACATTTGATTTCTGTGAAAAGATTGAAGAGGTTGATGAAAAATGTCCTATCCCCCAAGGTGAATTATCCTTCACCAAAGTAGTTGCTTTGCCCAAAGAAATTCGTAAGTTACAATAACTTTTTTTTTATCATTCCAAAATCTATTTTTGTACTGAACTATCTTATCTTTAGCTCCCGTAAGTCTAGTCTTTAATCATTCATACATTTGAGTATCTGCTAACTTTTTTTATAAATATGTGTGTGGTATATAGGGAAAATACACGGTTCATGCTGAAGTAAAGACACCCGAAGATAAGCGTGTCGTCTGTCTTATTGGTCAAACCATCTTTCCTAGAAAATAATTTTTAAATAAAATAATGAAAGCTAAATTTGTGTAATTGTAAACAATCGTGTGTCCTTATTGGTGTTTTAATGCCTACGGCACTTTAACAACTCAAGCTGCGTTATTTTAATGGGGGATTTTGCATTTTCCTGTTAACAAAGTATCTGTTAGCTCTAAATACTTGGTAACTATCTGCAAAAGATAAAATAATCGGCTTTTTCTTAACCATGATATGTAAATAAAAACAGCGTCAACTTTATTGCAAGTTTTGTTTGTTTGTGTGTTCCAGAAAATGATCATTTAATTTAATTTCAATTGAACAATTTTAAAGAGCAGCTCAAGCGGCAGTAAGTCTTTTGGAACAACAGATTTTGATGATGACGTTTAAATACACACTTATACATCTTTTCTCAATGCAACACATAGGATTTAGCTAATAATTTTTGATTCCTACGTTCATTGCATCCTAAAAAAGTTATCGTTACAAAGTCTAACACACTTATCAGATAAATAAGGAGCAGTTTATATAAGGACATTTTTTTTTTAAAAAAAAACATTACTTTATTTCTTTATTCTGGTACACTGCTATTTTGTATGGCAGCAACCGCTCTGTCTCGAAATTTATGTTGAAGGCCTTGAAATGCCACTTCATATTCACGCTTAAGTTTGTTGATTTCAGTACAATATTCCGAGTATATATTCTGCGGTAAAGCCTTTATGATCAAGTCCTCCTCAGCTATAATATATTTGTTTTTTTTAACCCCTCCTATTAATAAAAATGTTGGTCTTTAAAATGAAAATGACATTTTTACCTGATAGTTTGACAGCAGATGTATTGGGTTTTGACAAATGTCCCCTTTTGGTATCGAATGACGGGAATAAGATCTCGTTAATGTATTTACTTAAGTTCTGTGATACTTCACGCACAGGTCCCTCTTCTACGGCTTCTTCCGAATCGGACGCAATGTCCATATCGGAAGTTACTGTTTCTTCTTCTGTGCTGGTGGTCGTGGTTTGGGTAACGGCAACAGTAGATTTGAGATTGGCATAATGAATTGATTTTGGCAAGTGCACTGTAGATCGGTATTGGTATGAGCCTACATCCTTACCTGAAGACAGTAACCAAGCTTGAACATTTTCGGCTACCATCGTGTTCAATTCAGCTGTACTTTTTGCTTCATCCACTGGCCAATCATCAGACATACGTAATAATTCTTTGAGATCGGGAGTTTTGGAACCAGAGTATTGAGTATTATTTTTTTTCAAGTGCTCGAATACCCTTTCTTCTACAGACCCCAATGTGACCAACCATGCAACGGGTGGAGGTATCGCGCTATCGTTATTTCTTCTGGTAACCTTGCTAAATAGTTCATGGTTTCGATTCACTCGAATGTCCATGCAAATAATGAGATCGGCAGAACGAGAGAAATCGTTTCCTCTTTTCGCTGTTTCCTTTGTCTGATCTACTTTCAACATTGTCTTTACAAACACACCATATTCACCGTTCCAATCATCATCCAATAGATAATTCATACGCACGCAATCCAATTTGAGATTCTCACCAAACAAATTTACTAGCGCTTCTTCTTCTCCCAAATCATGAGCAACCAACAATATAATCACATCCTTACCTAATAAGCCTTTTAATAAACTCTTCAAAAACATGAGCTTTCCTGACTGGTTCCATAATTTCTCTACTGTCAAATCCAAATTGGATGAAAAATTCAATACACTGATGGGTTTGTCAAAGTTTAAGCTACCCATTGCCGTTTGTGAAGCACGCGTCACCTTTTCACATTGATCTTGTTGGTTTAGTGTAGCAAATATAGGGATCATTTCTCTTTCGTATGCGTAGACCTTTTCGTCGCTTGTCAGATCCTCGGTGGTGATAGTGTCGTCAGTAAACCATCTGAATGCGGAGCTATTTTCTGTCATATCTTCGTCTTGTGACTGTTCGACTGTAGTGGTCTCGGGCACAGTAACCTCGGCCGCTTCAGTCTCAACAACGGCACTTGGCTGCGCTGATACTGGTGCTGCGGCTTGTACGGGGGCTCCAGATTCTACTGGTACTGTCGATTGTACTGGTGATGTGGGAGTTACTGATGGTGTAGTTTGTACTGGTGACAAAGGTTGTGCTTGTGCTGCAAACTGTTCTTGAGGTGTAGGTTGTGTAGATGTGGTAGGTTGTGCTGATATGGTGGGTTCAGTTGGAGTCACCGCTGGTGGTTGTATTGGTACACTAGATGAGATTATTTTATCAGAATGGACAGCTATATCTACTACGGGTTCCCTTTGGGTTAATGTACTATGAGTAGTAACAGCTGCAGCTGGTGGGTTAGGCTGGGGTAAAATAGCTTCTGGTTGAGAGAGAGCTACAGAGTTCTCAGCTGTTTGAACAACACCTTCCATAGCGGAATCAGGACCTAGTATCGACTCGATCATTTGATTTACATCTTGGGTATTGGGTAAGTATTCCTCTGAAGGATGGCTGTCCATGTTGATATCTCCATCCTCGTCAACATATATAGTTTCCTCCGGTATACTGATGATGTTTACAGATGATGATGCTGCCTGTGCTTTTCTTCTCTCTTGATATGCCTTGATATCTAGCTGAGCTAGGACGCGATTTTTATCTAAAGTATCTGTATCTCTCATGACTGATAAACCATTCAAGGGTATCAACTTTAGAATATCTGGAGCCGAGGACTCTACAGTAGAGTCTTTTTCAGTACCAAGATCAAATACATCGAAAAGACTATGGGCGATGGGTTCCAAAACAAGTTGTGTGGGATCCTTGTTGATTGACATTCTAGCTAATCGCTCTAATCGTGCTTCTTCATTTAATTGTGCTTGGATAGACGCCTTATTTTTAAAAGTAATGGGACGTAATCCTTCCTTCTCTGGAATGATGGGCAAAAGCCCTTCTAAAAGTTTCATGTTACAGGGTTAAGAAGAAGAAGGAAGAAAGAGAAAAAAGTGGATAGTGTTTATTTAACTTTTTATCCATTTTTAAAAAAAAGTCAAAGCGTGACGTTTATTTTTTACAATGTAAAATCAAAAGGCTTAAAAGCTTCTTTGAAAGCAGCAGCACAGGCTTTTTCTTCTTCTTCAGTTTGAACACATGCCTTCCAACTCTCGCGTTCAGGAGTACCCAGTACATTGGCAATGATTAATCTAGATCGGTAAAAAAGTGGGAAATAAGAGACAAGGAGGATAATATATTCTTTTTTTTACCTTCCAAATTCCAAGTTAAATCTTTCTTTGGGACGAAGTAAATGCACCAAAGATTTGCCATTGGGTAACTCCATTCTAAAATATGGGATCTCGACATTTTGCTAAAAAATTGTGTTGGTATATACACACGATATTAAATAGGGTTATTATGACTTACGGGTACTTGTTCGATCAAATCCATGTTATTCAACGCACATTGTTCTCTAGCAACTTTTTCAACTTGATCCGATTTGGATTTGGGTACAGGCACAACTTGAATGTGAGCATGGCTCAGACCATTGATAGATTCTCTCGACACTTCAAACAAGACTACATCTTGATCATATTTTTCAAACATACGTCGAATGGCACTCTTGTATTTTTCCAGCTCCGCCACTACTTCGATTTGTGTTTCCATGGGAATCTTTCCAAAGGTGGGATAATGGGTGATAGGAATCAGTAAAAGGTGGCCTAAACCAGGAACTTTACTTTCAGCATCTGTAGATGAAATAACAGGTCCTTTAGCTAACGTGGCGTAAATCTCTGATCCAATAGATACGATCAAATGCTTTTCCACCTTAGGGTTGGCTAAACAGAACCAACAAGAGTCCACTATGAGATATATTAGCATATGCATGAATACTTCCTGTAACCGCTGTACTTACATTTTGGTTGTTCCCTATTGTTTCTTGGCTTTCTCTGAGGACGGTTCTTAATGAAATGATCTGATTGTCCACACACATTACAAGCATAGCCCTTGGGAGGAGCTTTTACATCATTTGAAGTTTCAGGACAGTCCTTAATATCATGACCTGGTACATGACACTTATGACAGACATAGGCTTCGGTACAATCCTTAACATAATGACCAGGTTTGCTACAACGCTTACAAATATAACCTTCTTTAGGTACTTCAGTTGCTTTAGGACGTTTAGCATCGGCACCCCAAAAGAATGATCCATTACTCTCATCTGTATCTTCATGCTTTCTCTTTGTGCCTGTGAATAATGGCACAAAGGGACATTCGGTTGTATTTTCTGGTAAAACTTCCAATAACTCTTTCGGTGCCTTGGACATAGGAACTAAATTGAATGCATAAAACCACTATGGGTGAGAAAGTGTTAGAAGCCCCAAGTTTTTGTAAAATGCAAAACTTACTCTTTGTTTTTCCTTGTTTAAAGCTTCACCCAAACCAATGAAGCGTGTAGCATGATCAGCGGGTCTTTCTTCCTGCGCTCCGAATCCACTCACAATATTCTTATAAGGCTCTCTTTCGTAAAACATATCCTGAGAACTAGCAAAATGGTATCTAGGCTTTAAAGCAGCGGCTAATTCAGAAATAAAGGTTGAGCATTTCTCTGGTTTTAAATCAGTGACGGGTAAGCTGGATAATTCGGTAATATCTTTAGGCCATTCATAAGATAATAAGAAATCGACACCAGGAGGTAATGTCACTGGTAATTTGGTGAGGCATAATTTTTGAATATCGCTCTTAGAATAGGTCACTGATGTTGTCTCTTCTTCGCCGTTAGGTTGACTACCTGATATAAAGGCGATTTTAAGTCCATCTGAGGTCGTCAATACACCTTGTTTACCAAGGTAGTAAAGGTTGGAACATACTTCGCCGTCGGTACTTTCGATATGCTTCTGAACTGACTCGGGGAAAGGTGTATCGCCGATAATAAAGTAAGTCATCATAGGGACTACAAAGAGTTATTAGTGGAAGACAAAAGATGAAATGTAGACAAAAAACTTCACATACTGTCAATTTTGTCTTGAATTAACTCTTGAATGGTCTCTTCGGTGGTGTCAGAACCAAAAAAGTTGCCTGTACACAAGTGCACGTCAAAGGGGCCATATTTTTCGTGAATTTGTTTGGCTTTGGTAAACATTTCTTTAAATTTGCCATTGGTGGATCCTGTCACAAGGCTGCATGTATGTTAGTAAAAGTAAATACGAAAGACGCGAGTACGCTTACACTTTAATATTTGTAGCCATACTATAATAAAAAAATAAAAAAAGAAAACAAAAAAAAAAGCAGACTCAATTTATTAGGAGGGGATTTGTAGGCCACATAAGCCACATAACATCTGATGGGTTATTATAAACAGTTTGGTTTTTTTTAACAAGAGAAGAAAAAAACACTCTTTTTTCCAACCTTTTATTTTTTTATTGTACATTTTATTCATCGATTTCATCAAAAATAAGAGGATACTCATCACCATCCTTATATAAAACGCGAGAAAAATAACATTTTAAAAAACCAACAACAAGGGATTAAGAAATAAAAAGAAACATGTTTTTGTATAACATTACCTTGAATCCTACAACTGCTATCAACCAGGCAATCTATGGTAACTTCTCTGGTACCAAACAACAAGAAATTATTGTTGCTCGACAAACACGCTTGGAATTATTGAGACCAGATGCATCAACGGGAAAAGTGCACACGATTTTATCTCATGAGTGCTTTGGTTTAATCCGCAGTTTAGCTCCCTTCCGATTGACAGGTGGCAGCAAAGGTACGTTTAGATGGGAATAAGTGGGAGTAATATACTCACGATGTAATAGATTATGTTGTGGTGGGCTCGGACTCTGGCCGTATTGTCATTCTTGAATACAACCCAGCCAAGAACGTTTTTGATAAAGTGCACCAAGAAACATACGGAAAGACTGGATGTCGTCGTATCGTACCAGGTCAATACATGGCTGCAGATCCCAAGGGTCGTGCCGTCATGGTCGCTGCTGTCGAAAAACAAAAATTAGTCTATATCCTCAACCGTGATTCTTCCGCCAACTTGACCATCTCTTCTCCTTTAGAAGCTCATAAAAGTCATACAATCAATCACCACATGGTAGCTGTCGATGTAGGTTTCGAAAACCCAATGTTTGCGTGTCTTGAAGTAGAGTATACTGACGCTGATGCAGATCCATCTGGCGAAGCTGTAAACGACGCTGAAAAGACATTGACTTATTATGAATTAGATCTCGGTTTGAATCACGTTGTTAGAAAGTGGAGCGATGTAGTCGACCGTAAAGCAAATATGCTTGTTCCTGGTAACGTCAAAGAAGTCTGCTATATGCAAGATATATGTATAAAATCACGTAGGCATTAACAATCATTATTTTAGTTCCTGGTGGTAATGATGGTCCTTCTGGTGTGCTGGTGTGTACAGAGAACTTCATTTCTTATAGACACCCTGAACAAGAGGAACTTCGTATTCCTATCCCTCGTCGTGCTCAACCTCTCGAAGATCCATCCAGAGGCATCATCATTGTCGCCTCTGCTGTGCATAGAATGCGTGTTGATAAAAAAACCCAATTCTTCTTCTTGTTGCAATCTGAAGAAGGTGATCTTTATAAAGTCACTATGAACCATGAGGAAGGTGCTGTTAGTGGATTGACTATTAAATATTTCGACACAATCCCAATTGCTACTTCTCTTTGTATCTTGAAAAGTGGATTTTTGTTTGTCGCTAACGAGTTTGGTAACCAGTAAGTGGCATTACATATTCATAAACGAAACAGGGGATTTAACATGCGAATGAAAAAAAAAATAGTCATCATTACTTCTTTGAAGGCCTTGGTGATGATGGAGACGACCCAGAGATTTCATCTGAAGAATACATGGAAGCCGAGGAGTCACAAGAAAAGCCTCTTGTTTACTTTAAACCTCGTCCTTTGAAGAATTTATCGCTTGTGGATGAATTGAGCTCAATGGCACCCTTAATGGACTCAAAGGTATTAAACTTAGCCGATGAAGAATCACCACGTATTTATTCTCTTTGTGGTAAAGGATCTCAATCCACTTTCCGTATTTTGAATCAAGGTTTAGAGGCTGCTGAATTAGCCGTCAGTGAATTGCCTGGTAATCCTAGTGCAGTTTGGACCACCAAATTAAAGGCCGACGATGAATTCCACGCCTATATCGTTGTTTCTTTTGCTAATGCAACACTCGTCTTATCCATTGGCGAAACTGTAGAAGAAGTAGCAGACACTGGATTTTTGACAGATGCACCCACCATTGCAGTACAACAGATTGGAGACGATGCCCTTTTACAAGTTCACCCCAACGGTATTCGACATATTCGTGGTGACCGCCGTGTCAATGAATGGAGAGCTCCCAACGGACAACAAATTACCGAGGCCGCCACTAACAGTCGTCAAGTGGTCATCTCTCTTTCTGGAGGAGAGATTGTTTATTTTGAATTGGATAATATGGGTCAGTTGAACGAACATCAAGAACGTAAGCAAATGTCTGCTACTGTCACCTGTTTAGCTTTAGGCGATGTACCCGAGGGACGTCAGCGTTCTCGTTATCTCTCAGCTGGTTGTGATGATCAAACCGTGCGTATCTTGAGTTTGGATCCTGATTCTTGTTTAGAGGCCATATCGATGCAGGCACTTCAAGGTGTTCCCTCTAGTTTGGTCATTGCTGAAATGATGGATACGGGTATCGAAATTGGCCACGGTACGACTTATCTGAACATTGGTCTTTCTAATGGTGTTTTGCTTCGTACTGTACTTGATACCATTACCGGCCAATTATCAGACACACGTACTCGATTCATTGGTGCCAAGAGTGTCAAATTGCACAAGATCACTATCCAAGGCCATCCTGCTGTCTTGGCCTTATCCACTAAACCCTGGATCAGTTACACTTTCCAAAACAGATTGTATTTGACTCCTCTCAGTTATGAAATGTTGGAATATGGTAGTGCATTTGTAAGTGAGCAATGTCCTGAGGGTGTTGTTGCTGTTGCCGGAAATACATTGAGGTAAGCAATTATATTATTAAAAGGGGGAAGCAAACAAATCTGACAGTTCGTTACTATATCTGACAGAATTTTCACGGTCGAAAAGCTTGGTAATGTATTCAACCAAGTTTCTATTCCCTTAAAATATACACCCAGAAAATTCGCAGTCCATCCCAACACGCGAACATTTGTTATTGTCGAAAGCGATCATGCCACATACTCACCTGAAGCCAAGGCTAGCGGTATCACCGAGAAGGAACAAGAAGGTTTTGAAATTGATCCTGAAATGACAGACTTGGACCCTCTTCAGTTTGGTAATGTTCGTAACGTAGCTGGTAAATGGGCTAGTTGTATTCGTCTCGTCGATCCTTTCCAAGTCAGTACTTTACAAACCATTGAGCTGGAAGACAATGAAGCTGCATTCAGTGTCGCCATGGTTCAATTCCGTAACAATCCTCATGCCATTGACTCCACTGAACAATTTGTCATTGTTGGTACTGGACAGAATGTCCAATTGCAACCTCGTTCTTGTACGGCTGGTTATTTGCGTGTCTATCGTGTAGTCTCTGATGAAGGTGTACTTCGTCTTGATTTCATTCACAAGACACCCGTGGATGATGTGCCTCAAGCTTTACTTGCCTTTCAAGGCCGTCTTTTGGTGGGTTGTGGTAAAGCACTTCGTATTTATGACATTGGTAAAAAGAAGATGTTGAGAAAGTGTGAGACCAAGAATTTACCCAATTGTATTGTGTCTTTGCATACGCAAGGTCATCGTATTGTGGCTACAGATATTCAAGAATCTGTTCATTATGTGATTTATAAACACGCTGATAATCGCTTGGTTGTATTTGCCGATGATACAATCCCTCGCTGGATGACTGCTTCAACCATGGTGGATTATGAAACTGTGGCTGGTGGAGATAAATTCGGTAATTTCTTTGTTAATCGTTTGCCTGCAAATGTCTCTCGTGAGGTGGATGAAGATACTACGGGTAACCGTATCTATCACGAAAAGGGCTACCTCCAAGGAGCACCCAACAAGGTAGGAAAGATAAAGGGGAGGGGGATAGAATTTAGAACGAAGGGACTGACTAGTGAAATATAGATTGATAACTTGTGTGAATACTTTACTGGAGACATTATTACCTCCATTCATCGAACCACGCTTCTATCGGGTGGCCGTGAAGTTCTTTTGACAACGTCACTTCTAGGATCCATCTCGATCTTTGTTCCATTTGTATCCAAAGAAGACGTGGACTTTTTCCAGATGCTTGAAATGCATATGCGTGCGGAAGCGCCCCCTCTTGCTGGACGAGACCATTTGCTCTATCGTGGCTATTACATACCCGTCAAATCAGTGGTTGATGGTGATTTATGTGAACAATTCAACTCGCTACCTGCTGAAAAGAGACGTATGATCGCTGATGAACTTGATCGTCCTGTTGCTGATGTTCAAAAGAAGATAGAAGATATGCGTGTTAGATCAGGCTTCTAACTCTAATTTTTTTTTTATATAATTATACAAAATAAACAGTTTAGCAGAAAATTTTATTTATACGTAGTGCGTCCTCGGACGGATTTTCTTTTTTTCGATGTAGCGATAATCACTATCTAGTTAATTTATGTTTAAGCACCAAACTGCAAGTTAGCAACCCGAAAAAGTAAAATGCTTAAAGTAAAACTTGGCAAAAGAACAGAATAGAGTTTTATGACATCTAATAATTAGTACGTAAGATATGAAGCTCGAATGATAGAGCAGCTCCCTTTGTTAAAAAATTTTGTTTTAAAGCAGAGGCACAAAACCACCAAAAATTGTGCGGAACCCTAGATATCACAGACCGGCTAATGTGTATAGATTAATTACAAAATAAAAGAAGTATCCTTTTCATTACTTTTAATCCAATCTTCACTTACACTTCTCTAGTACATTGACTATGTTAACTGGGAGTGCGTAAAACTTTTTTTTTACGAACTCCCTCTTTAAGGTTTTGTGTACCCAGGGCAAAAAAGAAATCTGCATGAATCAATTGTAAAACTTGCCAATGGAAAAACTTTTGTCAAGTCAACCCCATGTTGGGGAGCAATGATTAAAATTCCGGCTTGTTATATATATAGGATTCTCTTTTGTAATATCCCGGCTTTTTTTATTATTCTTCAGTTTTAAAAATGGCACTTCTCCGTTCATTGACCAAGGTAAAATAGCAAAATACGGGCGGTCTGGAAATGACACTAACTTTATCAGCTTACTGTACCTACTCGCGTTGTACCATCTCTGGCTATCGGTGCCACTCGTGTGTACTCTACAAAAACTAAGGTAAATAGAAAAATCTAAGTAAAGCGATTTTGTATTCATGGTATTTTCTTAAGAGCTTGAAAGAACGTCTCTCGGAAATTATCCCAGAGAAACAAGCAGAAGTAAAAGCATTTAAGAAGGAATATGGATCCAAAGTACTTGGTGAAGTCACTGTGGATCAAGCATACGGTGGTATGCGTGGTATCAAAGGACTCATCTGGGAAGGGTCTGTTCTTGATTCCGAAGAAGGTATTCGATTCCGTGGTATGACAATTCCCGAGTGTCAAAAGGCTCTTCCTGCTGCCACACCCGGTGGTGAGCCGCTTCCTGAATCTCTTTTCTGGTTATTGGTGACAGGTGAAGTACCTACCAAAGAACAGGTTGACCTTCTTTCTGCTGAATGGGCTGCACGATCCACGATTCCTCAATTTGTCGAGGATCTAATTGATAATTGTCCCAAGACACTTCATCCAATGTCGCAATTCTCTATTGCTGTCAATGCTTTACAACACGACTCTAAGTTTGCAAAGGCATACACAAAAGGTATCCACAAGTCTAAATATTGGGAACCGACCTATGAGGATACTATGGACTTGATTGCGAAATTACCAAACGTTGCTGGCCGCATCTACCGTAACGTTTACAAGGATGGTAAACTCCCTCCGATCGATTCCAACAAGGATTACTCTTACAATTTCTCTAAGCTTTTGGGATATGAAGACAATAAGGACTTTGTTGAATTGATGCGTTTATATTTAACTATCCATTCCGATCATGAAGGTGGTAATGTCTCCGCCCATACGTAAGTGAAAGCAAACAAAAAAAGAAAGCAAAACTAAAGTTTTAAATTAGAACTCATTTGGTTGGCTCTGCATTATCCGATCCATACCTTTCATTTGCGGCCGGTTTGAATGGTTTGGCAGGACCTCTTCACGGGTTAGCTAATCAAGAAGTACTTCGTTGGACTTTAAAGATGAAGGATACGATTGGTAGCGATGCCGATGAAGAAAAAATCAAGAAGTATCTCTGGGATACATTAAACGGCGGTCAAGTCGTACCTGGTTTTGGTCACGCCGTTTTGAGAAAGACGGATCCTCGCTACTCAGCTCAACGTGAATTTGCATTAAAGCATTTGCCTGATGATCCTCTCTTTGGCTTGGTCTCCAAATTGTATCATATCATTCCTGGTGTACTCACCGAGCACGGAAAGACTAAGAATCCTTGGCCCAATGTGGATGCTCATTCAGGTGTACTTCTCCAATACTATGGTTTGACTGAACAAGATTATTACACGGTACTCTTTGGTGTTTCTCGTGCACTTGGTGTCACCTCTCAATTGATCTGGGATCGTGCACTTGGTTTCCCTCTTGAAAGACCCAAGAGTTATAGTACAGAGCATCTCAAGAAGATGTTTGGTGCCAAATAAATTATACAAATGATTGGCATGTAAATAAATAAAAATTGATCGCATATTGCTGGTTATTTTTTTCTGCATAACTCTCCTCTGTAAAATTAGAACAGTACTATAATTGTTTTGTCGTCCACACCTAATTCAAGCGGTCGTCGAGAATGTAAAAAGGTTCGGAACCTCTTTCAAGATTCCTCGCTTTATTAATCACATTAGAAGATTGTTTAAAGAAAGCCATTTTATTGTTTAACAAGATATCTCGGACGAGTATCTTTTATTCGGAACTAGTTCGAAAAGGTAGGTAACTGAATAAATTGAACACGAGTGCCAAGATTCCTGCTTAAAAAATAGTTTTGGTTACGCAAGTTTTTTTTTTTTTTTTTTTTTTTTTTTGTATACATATTTTTCGAATGTAAGTACCGTTAATTATTTAAAGAAATAAGTAAGAGAAAGTCCACATTGAAGCTGTCAAAAAATGATGATTAAAAGGAGCGTGTATTTGACTCAACTTGATTGTGCCGAAAAATATTCGTTGTAAAGTGTCGATAAACTCCACCTTGTAGTTACACCCACACGAACGAAAACCCGCTGCCTTTTGTCTTTGAAAGCGTTTGACCTTGATTTTAAGCGTAGTTTCACGCTAAAATAAAAAGATGAAAACCAAAATTTAATAAACATCTATACAAACAATTTACCTCAATCAACAATGGTGTTACGATACTTTTGCGACAACGGACACGGAGATAAAGAAATTAAGCGCTTAACGTAAGCTCCTTTATTTTTACCGGGGAATTATATACACTCAAGTTTGAGTTTTGAATTGTATTGTAACCAGACTCCCCTCGAAGAAAAATTATTATCTTAAAGTGTTATATAACTAGGTAGAGCGTGAATGTAAGAGAGTATAGTTTTTCAGGCGTTTCTTAATATTCTGCAATTGACCCGGATTTTGGGCCTTATTTAAACACAAGACTAAGGAGAAGGAGGAACTCATCTAGAAATTTTGATCGACTACATTAAATTAAAACTAATGATATAGTAAATTGGAAAAAAAAAATTAACGACGATTCAAAGAGAAAACCGAAAGAATAACTGTGATTATTTTATTCATATAAAAACAAGGAATGCTCATAGGCAAGGGTATCACTGAGCTCTAATAATAATAGGATGCAATTGTATTAACAATTTGGTATAATTTATTCTTGTCAAACCAAGAGACAAGTTTAAAAATAGATACCAGAAAGACATGTAAAAGGTAAGCGGTGTGACAAACAACACATGTTTCTATGATATTTTTTCTGTTTTTAATTCATGGATTACAAAAAAGTAATTCTGTAAACTATATAAATACATTCGATTCTTTTCTGGAGAAACTATATGCCGCAGATTTATGGCATTTTGCAAGAAAAGAACGGGACTTTTGACAGCAAGGACTTCCTGCTACATGGTTTCTTTTTGTTCATGTTGATAAGTGTGTTATTATTCATTCCTAAAGAGAAAAGGCAGTGTAGAATCGAGTGCTGTGGTGCAATGTACATTGTTTAATTTGCGGACTTTCCAGCTTCCAGGTTAGCCCAAAAAAAAACTAATTATTGCTATTTAAAATAGAGGTTACTGTGTGACCAAGAATCAACCAAAAAGAAGACAAGGAAATCAAAAATCAAAAGGTTTATAGACCAGCCAATTTGAATCTGTGTAGCCTTCATAATTTATATAAATTAGATAAAAGATTTGGCTCATCTTGTTTCTTGTCCTTTTCTTTTTTTTTTTCTCTCTTTTTTTTTTCTGTATATATATATATCATGTTTATTTCATCAACAAAGTCAGTCTTTTTATTCGCCGTCTTGTGCTTTGTGTTTATTCAAACAACATACGCAGATATCTATTCTCAACTTCAATTCATCAAAATCTCATCACCAAAGAGTGGACAGAACGTTGTCGCTGGTAAACAATTGCTTATTAAATATGTCATGCAGCCTTTGATCAAAGGTAAAAAAAAACACAAAACAGAAACAATTTGTAATTATTCAAAGAAACTGATTATGTTCTTTTTAAAGATCATGTCTCTGCCGGTAAAGCCTTGCATTTGGAGGTCAACTGGCACAAGAGAACAGGAAATGCCAAGCAAAAGAAGGTCTCTACTATTGCTGAAAATTGGTAAAAGCGATAAAAAAATAGCCTCGATGACACTGTATTTATAATTTTTCTTTTTGTTAAATAGTCCTATCACAGCTAAAGATAACAAGTACGTAACATATACCAAGAAATGGCCTGTTCCCAAGAACACCGTGCCTGGATCTTATGCTGTTGATTTCGTTGAGAAGATTCAACTTCGTCGTGGTCAAATTACTGCCACTGAGACTGTCAAAATCAACGTTGTTGATTAAATAATCAAACATTTTTTATTGCTTTCTTATTTTTTTGTAATTGCATTGAAACCTAATTTCTCTAATAAATAGTCCTACTCGCTTTTTTACAGAAAAATGCTAAAAAAAACAGGCATAGACTGTGTCGTCATTTGTAGAGTTTATGTAATGAAAGAAAAAGTATGTACATCTTTAAGGCGTCACAAACCAAGTTTATGGTTTGGTGTTATAGGCGGGAGATTTTTACGTAACACTCTTTTTTAGCGGAGGAGTATGAGCTCCTCGTTCTTTGGCCGACAATGACATTAAAAGCAACTATCAACGATATCTTTTGCTTACTTTTCTTTTTTAAGACATAAAGCTTTATTTTATTTTTTTGTGTCAAGATGTCAAGCAAAAAAAAAAGTCAAAAAAAGGGACATAACAAGCTTTCTGTACCATAAGCGGAGTGGCTTCTAAAAAATTTTATCACCCCAATGTTGAGTTTTTTTCCCAGGGCTTCTGATTTACCAAAAATTTCCCGGGAAAAAAACGGCCAATTTTTTTTTTTTTGCATAAATACAAGGTATATTTCTTTCGTTTCTCTTTTTTTTCCATCATTATTTACAAAACAATAAGTCAAAATGGTTGGCAAAATTCTTAACTACGGTTCTTTTAACATTGACGAGTCTTTCTCGGTGCCTCATATCTGTTTGTCCGGCGAAACCATGTTCTCAACCGAATACTATGTTCGTGCTGGTGGAAAAGGTACAGTAAAAAAACCACGTCAAAAGTTTGATCAATCAAAACTGAGCCAATTTCTATAGGTGCTAATCAATCCATGGCTTTTGCTAAGGCCGGCGGTAATATTTATCACGCTGGTAACTATGGTAACGATGCTGGCTGGGTCAAAGACCTCATGGCTAAAAATGGCATTGACATGAGCTTTTCCAACATGAAGGATGAGGTACGTTACATCGTCCGAAAAATAGAAGGGTCTAATAAAAGGTAACCATTTTAGAGAAACGGTCGTGCATTTATTCAAGTAAGCAAGGAGACTGGCGATAACTGTATTGTACTTTATCCTGGTACCAACTATACTTACACAGCGGAAGAAGCAGTTGGTGTATTCGAGTCTTTCGGACCTGGTGATTGGCTTGTTCAGCAAAACGAAATTAGTCAAGGTGGCGAAATCATGCGCTTGGGTGCTACCAAGGGGTTATCCGTTCTCTTCAATCCTGCTCCACTTACAAAGGGTATCTTGAAGGCCTTTGATTTTAACAATGTGACGATTTTGATCGTCAATGAACACGAAGCCCAATCCCTTTATGAAGAACTTGGAGGGGAGAAGAAAGTTTTCGGCTTGGATATTGCAAGCGAGTTATTAAATGAATTTGGCTCAATGCAAGGTGTTGTTGTTACATTAGGAGGTGAAGGTGTTGTTGCCAAATTTAGAAACGAAGGCAAGACCTCTGAATTCAAGGTACCAAGTAGAAAGGTGGCTGTCAAAGATACAACAGCAGCTGGTGACACATTTGTTGTAAGTCTCCTTATTGAAAAAGGCTATAGCATGATGACGATACTAACTTTTTACTTTTAGGGATACTTTTTAGCTTCGTTTATCAGAGCTGAAAAGGAAGAGTACTTTAAGCGTGTTGATATTGCCTTGAATGAAGCCAACTTTGCTTCATCCATTGCCGTTCAACGTCTGGGTTCCATGGATTCAGTTCCTACATTAGAAGAAGTGAGCCAAGCCATGAAAGAACAATAAAAAGACGTACCAAGTCATTACTATATCAAATAAAAGCTACACTATGAATTCTTTAATGGCTATACTGTTTGCTATCAATATTAATGGCTGAATGTGTTACTTCTTTTATGTTTATTACTTTCTGTTTTACTATATCTGAACTCTACGCGTGGTAAGTGTTTAGGTTACTTATAAATGAATACTTCGACCTACTTTTACTTGTTTATTAATAGCCATAACAAATTATTATTATACAGCAGAATGTAAGAATTTACATTGAGGCTTCTGAAAATAAAATTATTCCCTAGTTAACTACTCCCCAATCAAAACCGTATCATTGCCTATTTACTCAGTCTACAGTGTACCGTAATGATCTACCTTCTATCATTTAAGCAGCATAGTAAGGAACCGGATTTCAGTTAAGTTGTCGTTGTATTTCATAAATAGCACAAACAAAAGTAGTAACGGTGAGTATCATTCGAGTATTCGAAAGCTTGTCCTTATCAGTGGTAATGACGGCAGTATTTGATAAATCTTGTGTACATATGATTACCGAAACAGCAGGTCTCAACTTTTAAAGCATATTGAATTTATACCGCACAAACTTCTTGATCCTGACGTTACCTTGCGCTAAATCCTATATAGCTCACACCAATTTTCAAGCAATCTGTCGAGTTTTGACCGAGCATTATACATAGCTTGCTCACCTATCAACTTAAAAGCTACCGTGTAATTTTTTTTTTTCTTGATTTAATGTAAAAACCAGGTAAAAAGAAGGGAAGCCATGTATACCAAAAGGTTTTTTTATATCACTGAAGCAATGCCTCAGAACTAAATATCAAGTGTCACGAAGGTACTTCAGGAACGGAACTTCACAAGTCGACAAAGTAATAACCGAACCCTCCTTTTTTTTTGTTATTAATTAAAGTAGTACGCTTTCTTTACTAACCAAGAGTTCTGCAAAGGAGACTGTTTGTGTCTAAGAGTTTTGCTGATGATGACGATAATTGGTAAATATGCGAACATCACCAGATTACAGAGTTTGGCCTTCAAGGGTTGAAAGAGTCGGCGGGATTACGACTGCCCATTCGTGTAGATTGTCCACCAATCGATAAAGTGGCATACACAAATTGTGTTTTTTAACAAGTTGTCGTTTATTTATATGTACAGCGGCTCCACCCCCAAAGTTCGTTTTCCAATTTCATAAATTCGCTTTTGTCGCAGCCCAAAGTTCGCTTCTTGATTGGTCAAAGTTCGTTTTTTGTAAATCACCCAAATTCGCTTTGGTGGCACCCAAAGTTCGTTTTCACGTCAGAAGAGTTCGCTTTTAAAAATTACAGGATTATGAGATAATGTTATGAGAGATAATGTTATGAGAGATAATGTTATGAGAAAAAAAAATGTTATGAGGAAAAAAAAATGTTATGAGAAAATGTAATGAGAAAATGTTATGAGAAAAAAAAATGTTATGAGAAAATGTTATGAGAAAAAAAAATGTTATGAGAAAATGTTATGAGAAAAAAAAATGTTATGAAAAAATGTTATGAGAAAAAAAAATGTTATGAGGAAAAAAAAATGTTATGAGAAAATGTTATGAGAAAAAAAAAATGTTATGAAAAAAAAAGTCACAACATATTATCTCATAACATTATCTCATAACATTTTTTTTCTCATAACATTTTTTCATAACATTTTTTTTTCTCATAACATTTTCTCATAACATTTTTTTTTCCTCATAACATTTTTTTTTTCTCATAACATTTTTTCATAACATTTTTTTTTCTCATAACATTTTCTCATAACATTTTTTTTTCTCATAACATTTTCTCATAACATTTTTTTTTCTCATAACATTTTCTCATTACATTTTCTCATAACATTTTTTTTTCCTCATAACATTTTTTTTTTTCTCATAACATTATCTCTCATAACATTATCTCTCATAACATTATCTCTCATAACATTATCTCATAATCCTGTAATTTTTAAAAGCGAACTCTTCTGACGTGAAAACGAACTTTGGGTGCCACCAAAGCGAATTTGGGTGATTTACAAAAAACGAACTTTGACCAATCAAGAAGCGAACTTTGGGCTGCGACAAAAGCGAATTTATGAAATTGGAAAACGAACTTTGGGGGTGGAGCCGCTGTATATATATATATATATATATTTGTTAAACTTACAAATACTTTCTTGTTATCATTTGATACAAAACGATAATGGATGTAGCTTACTCATCTATCGGACTTACATGCTCTGAGGGTAGTGTCTAAAAAACGAAGTTTACAATTCATTATGAAGATTATCAATGGCTTAAAATAATTGATTGTCTTTTTATACGTTATAGGTTTGATTTAAAAGCGTAAATCACAGATCACGTTTTCAAGGATTAAAAAACGTTTTGGCATGAAGCCTAATTTTGAGACGGAGTTGTAATGTATTTTTGATTCATTAAGGATCAGCCAATCAGAAGAAAAGACCCGCACTGTTATTTTTTGCAGGGGCGATAAATAGGCAATCAAAGTCGTGTGTAATTACAACAAAAGCATTGAATGAAATTTAAAAAAGCTCCTATTTTTTTTTCATTTTCGCCTCTTCTTTTTCTGTGAATTTATCTTAGCTTTTTGTTCTGTGCAGCACTTTTTTTTTTTTTTTTTTTTTTTTTTTTTTACCACTCCGTTCCTTTAATACCCTCTCCTAAAAAATGATCAGCTACTTAAGCATACTTTTACTTTTCCTCTCTCTTGTGAGTGGACAACAAACAAACCCACCCCCAACGACACCAGATGGATTCAAGACTGATGATAATAATAGTGGGCCAGCAGAAGAAAGCTGGCTTAAAAAGAACGATCGATATGTGTTCGTCATAGTTGTTTCGATTTTGTTTTTAGCTATTATTATATGGTATGTTACCAGAAGTATTCGTGGTATGCGTCAAAGATTAGCACAAGAAAACCAGAACCATATGATGATGATTGGGGGTAACAGTAACTTTTCTGAAACGGTGCCTGTTGACAATAACGGTTTTCATAAAATGCCTGATTATCCTGTATCACAACAACAACAACAGCAACAGCAACAACAACACACCCATCGTTATTAATAATTATATTTTTGTTTATTATTTAAAACAAAGAATTTTACACTATAAATACATATTTAATTGTGCACCGGATACATGTAATAAACTCTCTTTTTTTTTTCAAATGTTGCACTAAATTATACTTTGTTCAAACAGGCGGGGTTCCTTAACCATACGTTGCGCCAAAAGCAATACATGTTTGAACGCAAACCATAACCCTTATAGATTTGTTTTTAACTTTTTCGTTCATTGCTTTCTTATTGAATACAAATAAACCAATGTAGCTTATACCACACACACAAAAAGGAAAGAGAGAGAGAAATGAGGGGGAGAGTAAAGTACAAGTATAAACACGAGATCATGCCTACACCGTCACAATTTCTGGTGTACCACCTTTGCAGTGCTCACTCTATTTTTTTTTTTTTTTTTTTTTTTTTTGACAGGTTTTGGGGAAAAACAAACATTGTGTGTCGGTTGTCTAAAACTGGAAACAGTAAATAAACGTCATTGTTGCCTTTATCTTATGCATTGCCTTGTCATATACGGCCACATAGGTTGCTATAACCCAGTGAAATATTGTCAAATGTCGGTACTATGTTAGTTTTGACGTCCCTATATATATTACAGTCATGTAAAATTAGCTGTAGACTAAAAAATAGGATCATTGATTTCTCCAAATCTCAACCAAATACTACAAATGTTAATATGCTTTTATTAGTTTATATGGCACTTTCATCACTATTTCAGTATACAGCCTTACATTTAAACTCGACTGCATGCATTAGTGTCGCGAATATCCGCGGACCAGGATACCAATTCAATTAAACTAAGACTTCCAAGAAATGCTGATTGTATTGGCAAGCCTCTTTACGATGCATGGCTAGTCGGGATTATACGTATCATAAGTTGAGTTACAATGTTCTTTATAGTAGTAAATGTCATTTTTTATTATTATTATTTGGCCTGGATTTTGGTATAAGCAGTAGTTTACAGAGGAGAAAAAGTTATACTTGCCGGGTAAAAGATTCAAACAAATTCTAAATAAAAGACGAAGGTTGAAGGCCATAGATTGTAGAAGAAAGAAATGATACATATTGAGGCCTCAATTATGTATATCTATGATCTGTATGTGTAAGTGGTGTTTGTAAAATTCACATTTCCCTTATAAATAATCGTAACCTGTCTCTGAGCTCAACCTCTCAACAGATTACTGGGTCCTAATTTAGGGAACACATGGTCATTTTACTTAATTGCTCTAATAAGGTTACAAAATTTACTCTATAATGCTAAAAATTTAAATGTATTGAGCTTTACTTCTAAATATACTATATTCACTCTTTAAAAAAAAAAGCTCTATTTACCCTTGTTGTCAAAATGTACAAATACATGAGGTGTAAATAAAAAGAAATTTAGTGTGTGATCAGCAATGCTACAGCTGGGCAAGTCTAATTTTATTTAAATTACAATACATTCTGAATCTTGTATGATACATGTAAAAGGATATTCATGCTACCCTCTTCATCCTCCATTTTTCTCCATATTTGATAACAATGGGAATGCATACCAGGTACATTATAACCATTAAGAAAGCCATAGACGTACTACCGTATGTTAGTAACAATTTTCCTCTCCCTTTTTTTTCCTACATCAAACTCACTACGTCCATCCATCACCTAAAACACTTCTTAACTCTGAAGCTGTTAATGAGAATAGCATTGCAAATAGACTTCTCGAAAAGTTATTTACAGATACAGCTACAGTTATTTTTAAATAGGCGAGTCCAAAATGAGTGAGAGAGTGGTACCCTTGTCAGTTTAAATATTTACCTGATGCTGCAGTTTGTAAATTCGCATCCACTAGATATGTGGTTGCTATGGTCACTGTAAACATTGAACCAAACGAGCCTTGAAACAATTTTTAATAAAAACATATATTATGATTGCTACAATTTTTTCCTCTTATTTTACTTAGTGTAAACGCAATCAGTGGTGCAATCCAAGGTAGCTTAAAATGAAGAAACCAGCCATACATTATTGGTCCAAATAGCACAAACGGTACAGCAAAATACATTAACCGTAACCTATACTCTTTGACTGCCACCCCGTTGTTTCTTTTGGCAGCATGGAGACAATACTTGTCGGATGTACGACCGGCAACAATAGACCCCAAAGCATTTCCTAATCCACCTGCTATAAAGCAAAGACCCACTTTTCCAGGATTAAAATGATAGAGTGGACCAAACGTAGCTGGTAAGATGGCTACAAAAAAATAAAAGCATCCAAATGCGATACCGACGGGCAAGCATACGAGAACAATATCAGGATGTTTAAACAACTTAAATGTAGAGAGCTAGAGACTGTTAGGCCCGCACATATGTGTATATGAGTGAATTTGTCCCAACTTACTGGATTAAATTTTAACCGCTTCAACCTATCTTGTAAATTTGAAGGTGGAGGCAATTTATTTTGATATGGGCGGTAGAGTGTTTCTCCAAGAAAGAAATAACTGATAACCGTCAGTAGACCTCCCATAATTGTCTTTATGTAAAATATCCATTGCCATCCTAAATATTCATCTATGTATCCGCCTGCAATGGAAGCAACGGGAGGACCCAGAATTAAACTTGAGCATTTTTTAATGCACATATTCCCGAAATTCCGCCTACCCCCATAAATGCAAGATATAAAATTACCTCAATACATAATAGCTCATTGCTTTCCCCCTTTCATGCGCTTCAAACATATCGGACACACTTCCACTTCCCAAGGCTTGACCTACACACGCAAAAGCACCTTGTAATATTCGAAATGCGAAAAACATGCCAATACTATTTGAAATCCCACAGAGAATTGTGCATAATGTGTATATTGTCATGGCCCCAATATAGACCCATCTACATTATTATTTGCATAGATTAGTAATAATAACAAAAGTGTGGGTTGTGCATGAGACGCTATCTTACCTACGACCTATACGCTCACTTAAGGGTGCCCAGAACAACGGCTGTGGAAATGTAAATACTTGGGGTACGATAAACTGTATTGTTATGCATTTGTTTCTTACCGCAATACCATTCATTAGTAAGAATAGAGAGAATGTTGCGTTTATAATCTAGTATGCATTAAAAGATTGATGAAGGAGGAGTGGGGGATGGTTAGCTTTTTTGAATACCGAGATTCCATTTTAGTTACCATTAAATTTGTATTGAAATACATCATGATATCATGAGAAGCAGGTACCTATATTTGCAATAGTTAATCTCTCTTAAGGGTTTTTAATTTTTTGTGAAAAGCGTACGTAGATAGTGGATGAAAAATAACTCATAAAGCATATTGATAAAACGATCGATAGGTTACCAACCTTTCTTCTTCTAGGCCAGCTCTATTATGTGTTTGCTTAATTTTTTAGCAAAAAAAAAGGGGGGGGGGGTTATAAGGTATTGTTAGAATACACACATACGAGAGGGTTGTCTGGATCGTCTTTATAATTGTACACTGGTGGTGGTACATTCTCTTTTATTGTAACTTGTCCAGGACCTTTTTTACTGTCTATGGGATGTCCTGTATTTATCTCATCATCTGATATTGTTGATCCTACATCATTTAAAATTATGTAAGTCTTCTTGAAAGGGGTATATAACATGTATATGCTTCATACCCTTTTCTAAATCACTGTTCATAAGTAGGTAAGGTAGAAGCTATCTTTATAATAGTAAAAAGAGAAAAAGGAGTGTACCTGTGGGGGAGGGGGGGACTAGTAGGTATTCACTTAAATAGTGCGGTTATGGATTAGAATATGTAAAAGATTTATTGAATCATTATGCATTCATGACAACATTTTAACCAGTGTGATAAAAATAAAATAAAAGTCCCGGCGCATAACTAGATACGGACAGGTTTTTTTTTCAATAACCTCAAATGATATACAAGAGAAAGTGATCGAAAACTTGAAGATATTTTAATTACTCACCCCCAATCGAAGGAAGGGGTTCTCTTTATTACTATGCAGTAGATTTGGGTGTAGCAATTAAAGCACAATTTTCTAGACTTGTGGCGGAATTTACATAATACACCATTTTTACATCAAAACCAAACTTTTCCAAGTACTGAACACGGCCAGCGTCAATCACACGTTTACACTTGTATCCAATCGCCTCACGTTCCTTATAATCCAGACCAGAGAAATGGTTTCTTTTTTTTTTGGGGTGGAGGTCAGTTATGATAAAATGTATGGCGTATTTCGCCCCCCTTTCTAAAAAAAACTTACGATGTCTTATCGGCATTTTCTTCGTCTACTTCAGTCGCATGGTCTTCATCTTCTTCAGCTCCTTCCTCAGGAACTTCCTTCGTTTCACTACAAGTAGCCCAACTACTCATTTTGCTCATTCTCTCAAATTCTACCTTGGACATTTGAATTGAATCCAAATACTCTATATTAGGATACATTTCATATCGGCACAATTGATGGCAGCAAAGTGCGATAACAATACCAGAAACTTGGTTCCTATAAATAGGGCGATCAATTAATTATTATTTTTTATGTATATGCAGGGGGAAAAAAAAAAACTTACATATGACCGATCGCTTTTAGGTATTGAACATAATGCATTAAACTCACCAAGGAAATATCTGTGGCACAACCACATAAATGCTTGGATATCGCCACCATCTTTTTACCATCGTCGACACATTCGACCTTAGAAAGATCCAAATCCTTGATATCGATCTGAACACGTTGAACAGTGGATTTGTGTTCGGTTTGGCCCTGTAAGGCCATATCTGCTTTATTACGCACAGTTTTACGATCCAATAATAAGTAGGTGGCCTCGCCATTTTCTTCTGCAAGTGCCTTCTTCACATAAGCAGAGAAATCTCCCTTACCAGCTCCAAACTCCACAAAACAGGCTGATTTATCATTTAACATGTTGTTTAATTCCAAGTGGCCAATCAATGAAGATAACTGATCTAAATGTTTGACATTTTTGATGGAAGGTCTCTTTTTCTCTGCGCTTGGATGGGTTAATACGTGTGTCTCAATGGGTTTTAAGTGTGCATCATAAGCTGCAGAGACTTTTTGAATAATAGAGTCCAAATCTTGTTTGGCCAGTTCACTCAATTGCACACGAGCAAGCCATGGTTGAACAAACATGGCTTGATGCGAGTAAATGTTCTTTTGAAACTCTAATTCTTCCAGAGATAAAGGTAATGTACAGTTGACGTTAAGTGAATGACAAGCAGGTAATTCTCTTGGACGAGCATTACAACGTGATTTTAAATGTGTTTCCAGGTCCTTTTCAAAAATTGTACTAAAATAGTAAAGGGAGAAGGGTTAAATCGATGAGGTTATGGTTGTTGCTGTGGTAATGTTTACTGAGAATTATCATAAGGACACGGGATACGTTTGCGAGTATCAGCAACTTCATTGTCTGGGTGAGCGGTTAAATGTTCACCGCAATATTTCTGTGTTTTTCCTGCAGGTAAGCCACAATATCTTCTTTTGCGTAAAACATAGAAATGGCCTACAAATATATTAAAATGTATCAGGGGAAAAATAATGAAGATAAAGAATTATTAAATGTATACATTGTTGAGGCTTTGTGGGAACAGGTGGAATAACAAAAGGTTCAGCAGGAACCTTCTTGTTTTTCTTGGGTGTCAACTCTTTAGGCATATTGTATATTCAAGTAGAAAAAGGTTTTAAACAAACAAAAAAAAAATTTTATTTCTTTTTATTTTTCCCAAGCGGAGGACGGGTTCACGGTTATTTTTTAAGAAAAAAAAAATAATTATTTGGATTAGTTCCAAGAAGAAGGAGCAGCAGGAGAGACATCCTCAGCCCAGTCAGATGAGCCAGTAACATCAGCTTGAGCAGACCATTCAGCGGCACTAGCAGCAATACCAGCAGGGCCTTCAGCTTCAATGGTCCAGTCAACTTCCTCAGTAGTGGCACCCCATTCAAGGGCAACTTCTTCAGTAGCAGCTTCATTCTCCTTTTCAATCTCCTCAGGGTCACGGTAGAAGAACATATCAACCATGACATCCCAAGAGGTGCTGTAGTCCAAAGAACCACGAAGACGAAGAACAGCACGAGCCAAAAGCCAGTAAATCAAACCAATAGCATGCTTACCCTTGTTGTTGGTAGGGATAGCAATATCGACATATTGGAGAGAAGCATCAGTGTCAGCAAGAGAGATAACAGGAATGTTGACATAAGAAGCTTCCTTGATGGCTTGGAAATCAGAACGAGGATCAGTACAGATAACCAAACGAGGTTCACGGAAAGAACGAGTAATGTAATTGGTGAAAGTACCGGGTGTAAAACGACCAACAATAGCTTCAGCACCAATATACTTGGCGAACTTCAAGGCGGCACGATGACCGTAAGGACGAGCAGAGACAACAACAATATCTTGAGGATTCTCAATAGCTGCAATAACACGAGAAGCCAAGATGAGCTTTTCCCAGGTCTTGCCAATGTTGATCAAGTTGACACCATCAGCACGACGCTTATGGATATAAGGAGCCATACGGGTGTTGGCGTTCTTGGTACCAACATGGACTTGAGCAGCCAACAAGAGTTGAATGTCTTCTTCAGTAGCGTTCAAAACTAAATAAAAAAAGATTAGCCCCATGTTCACATTACAAATAACAACAAAAACTTACTAGTGGGAAATTGAGACATATTTGCAAATAATTTTTTTCAAAGGGACGGCTATCGTTGGGTTTTCTAGCAAAAGTTAAGGTGCAGAAAGGTTTTATAAGGGTGAAGGCCAAATAAGTCCAGGTGAAAAAGTCAAGAAGGTTCAAACACATTTCAAGTTTTTGTATCGTATTTAAACAAAAACAAAAAAACTTTTTTCTCAATTTAAAACTCAACTTCAAACGCCACATTTTCTCTCTCTCTGTGTTGCTTTTTTTTGGCTTGTTTGATCCCTTAAGTGACGTCTTTTCGCGTCTTGCCACATTGTTGTAACGTTTTTATAAATTGTTAAGCAACAAATAATATAATTGACCACAATTTTTGTTTAGCTCAACAGCAACCCTCAGCAGCACTTAATTCTCTTTCAAGCTGCTACTTAAATAAGAAAAGCCTGTAAAAATGGCGTAAAACTATAAATTATAATAGTGTTTTGAGACAGTGCTCTTCATAAACAAAGTAAGGTAGCAATGATAGACTTTATATCAAACTGTCAACAATGTTAGTATTATATCGTTGCCTGCATTACCCTCTTCCCATCTATGTGAGTAAAAATATCTCATCTCACGTCGCACGAATGTTTTGACCTCAGCATTGACCATCCCAGTTAGGCACAAGCCAAAAGTACACAGTCATGGGGATTTGACTTTAAATCTACACCTTCCAGGGCATACCACATATAAACAGATCAATTACATAAAAGTAGAATTTGTAATGAAATGTGGCTGCGGGTAGTTCAAATACGCAGCATCGCAGCCAACGGATGATACTGATGATGATGACTTCTTGTGTTATTTTTGCTGTAAATGCAGTGATTACTAGCAGAATATTCCGAATATTTTGACTATCGAAAGAGGGACTATAAGCAGATAACTAATTACGTGTATGTAAGTATGGACCAAAAAGCATTCTCATGAAAAATTTACATTTTTAGAAAGCTCACTTTATTCATCAGATCAGTCTACTTCAATCATATCACATTATAAGAGACATTTACTATGGAAATGCACTGATATGCTCCTTATGATATATATAACGATTTAAGCGCAACATGAATTTGAAGTGATACAAAACAAGCCAATTTATCATGCAAACATGGTGTGTCCTCCACATATACACACGTGAATCAAATATGGAATATTGCTTTTTATTTAAAATCTGAGCTTGTTAAAGAACCATTTGTTTTCACCCTTTCGATGGCGTTCTTGAAAGGCTTTCTTGATGGCTTTTTTGGCTTCTTCACGTAATGATGGGTCAACCAAATTGGTCATGGAAGCTGCGTTCTTAATTTTATCTGATAAATCAAAGACATAGCGGGTAGGCATCATATGGCTGTAATTGACGATCTTTACAAAAGGCTTGATCTTGGAACGTTTGATTATCTTTGCCTTTTCAGTCATAGCTCTTGTGATTTTGAGAGGACCATGTTCACAACCAGCTACAATAGCATAGGCATAATTTCTATCCTTTGTGCCTTCGTCATAATCTATATAGTTTTATTAATGTAATAATGCAGATACTCATATATAAAGACCTTACTTTTAACAATTACTGCTTTTTTGCCTGCGTAACGACCCTTGAGAAGGATAGCAACCTGCGACAAGTAAGTATAGTTGACTCGCTCCTAGTATTCTGTCTCACCTTTCCTGGCTTGATAAATTTGACCATTGTTTTGGATGATTGAAAAAGGGTTGAGCAGCGAAAGAGAGATGTAAAATAAAAGATTCATGCTCGGAGCTACAATCGCAGTAGTCACGTCAATCGCGAAAAAGGAGGAGAGTGGGCGCACAGACAATGAGAACTGCAAACAATAAAAAATTGGGGAAAAAAATCGTATGCTAAACCCACACCCATCTTTTGGTCCTTATAATAAATATACATGTATGTGTGACAATGACAAAGATGGAGAGGGAGAGGAAGGAGGCAAAAGGGAAATCAGGTCATATAGGGGCAAATCACATGCAAAAAAAAAAAAAATAGATAAATAAAAAAGGACTGGGTTTCCAAGGAATTTTGTATTTTTTTTTCTTTATTCTCATCTTGTAAAAAATGACAGGGTTCAATGAACTGAGGCAGAGATTACTACATCCATATTATGTACTTCATACAGCGTATGGTCTTGCTTATATTATAACACGTTTAAACCAACTCTCTGGAACAGCTTTCAATCTAGAAGTAAAAAGAAGACACTGCACGTTACAACTTAACAGGCTAATTCCATATAAAAATAGGATACTGAGCAGAGAACATTTTGTTTGTTGTTGGCAATGTCTTTCTGGAAATGTTTCATGGCCGCAACAGCAGAGGAATTATCGAGTGTCTTTATCTTGTATACAAAGTTCTTTTCGTTATGTAGCATATATTGGAGATTCGGTTTTTGGTCATCTGCTTTATACACGCTTGGTTGGATTGGTAATATGAAGTTATCAAGGAGAACTACTTTTAGCACACCACTCATCATTTTTTTTTTTTTTTTTTTTTTTTTTTTTTCATTTGAATATAGTTCTTTCAACTGTTATCCCTCAACCTTGGTATAGAGGTCCCACAAAGATTTTTGAATTAAATGATACTGCTTTTAGAGACAAAGTATTGTTGAAAAAGCCAGAAGGCGTGTCTGTAGACGATATAAAGGGACCACGTATCACCGAAATAAGCGAAACGGATGAAAAGAAGCCGGAAGTAAATGCTAAATATTGGATCGTCATGCTGTATGCCAATTGGTCTGTCACTTGTCTTAATTTTGAACCCGTCTTGGCCAAATTATCCATCAAATATGATTTACCTCACTTGAAATTCGGTAGGATTTTTTCTTTCCGCAGTTGCATAACACTAATATTATTATAGGCCAAATCGATATTGATGTGTACCCTAATCTGGCAGAAGAATTTGGTGTCAGTAAAGATCCTGCATCGTTTGATTTACCAACATTGATCTTATTTCAACAAGGAAAAGAAATCAGAAGATTACCTGAATTAACCATGCCCAAGGAAGGTGTTAAATTAACAAAGGCAAGTGTTGCCAAGGATACAATCACTCGTTTGGGATGGAACAAGAAATCGGTAAGTCAAACTTTCCTCAAAAAAAAAATGGGCTGTTTCTGGTTATATAACTCGCTTTTTTCATAGTCCACCGTCGTAAATAATTTTCAACTTGAAAAGATTGCAAATGAAAAAATCAATTAAACTTTTGTTCTATTCAATTATAAACGACCGTGTTCAATAGAAATTTGACATGCTAAAAACATGGTGTTACGCTTGTGACAAGGAAAAACATGTCAAAAAAAAAAAATGTGATTCCTTTTTTAATTTTCAACGGCTCAAAAAGGAAACAGTCGAAATGATCATTTTCAAACCCAACCTTTTGATTATTCAGCCATTCTGAGAGGAAAAGCTTTTTGACATGATATTGATTATTCAGCGCAATGACGATTATTTTAAACAAAGTGTCAACTCGCAGTGTCTTTTTTGTGCTGTAAATTCAAATATAATGGGATATTTTTGTTTTAAAGGGAAGGGTTTTATGCAAGAAATCCTAGACATGTTGGGCTGATCTAACATGACATGATTCACACAATAAAAAAAAAAAAAAAATTGGAAATCTGGGATTTTAATTTTTTAACCGAAAATTTAATATAAATAGGATCAGTTCTTTTCTTTTTAATTTCGTGATTATTACCTATTGCTTCATTCTAAAATAATGTCTACTCCAGCTCTCTTTTCTCCTATCAAGATTGGTAAAAATCAACTCGAACATCGTGTTGTGCTTGCACCTTTAACTCGTTTCAGAGCTGATGAAAATGCCGTACCTACTGATCTCCAAGTCGAATACTATGCTCAACGTGCCACAAAGGGTGGTCTTTTAATTACTGAAGCTACTTTCATCACTCACAAAGCCGGTTCTTACCCTCACGCCCCTGGTATTTACTCACAAGATCAAATTGCTGGCTGGAAAAAGGTGACCGATGCTGTTCATGCCAAGGGCGGTGTTATTTATCTTCAACTCTGGCACATTGGTCGTGCTGCTATGTCTGCTCACATTGGTGAACAACCTGTCTCTTCTTCCGATATTGCCATTACAGGTGTTAACCTTTTAGGTCTTCCTCAAGAAAAACCTCGTGCTCTTTCTATCCCCGAGATGAAGGATCTTCTTCAAGATTACCGTCAAGCTGCTTTAAATGCCATCGAGGCTGGCTTTGACGGTGTAGAGATCCATTCTGCTAATGGTTATCTCCTTGATCAATTCATCAACACTTCTTGTAACAACCGTACTGATATCTACGGTGGTTCTATCGAAAACAGATGTCGTTTCCCATTGGAAGTTGTTGATACTGTTGTTGAAGCTGTAGGTGCTGAACGTACCGCTATTCGTTTCTCTCCTTGGTCTGAATTCCAAGACATGAAGGATGATACACCTTATGAGACTTGGGGTTACTTGTGTAAATCTCTTCAAGAGAAGCACAGTGATTTGGCTTTTGTTGATTTCATCGAGCCTCGTGCTGATTTCTGTGTCGATGACTATACCAAGCAAGCTGATACTCTCGAACCTTTCCGTCAAACCTGGAAGGGTCCCATGATCTCTGCCGGTGGATTTACTTTCAATACCGAAAGAGCCTTTGAGGTTGCTGAAAAGACTGGTAACATGATTGGTTTCGGTCGTCTCTTCATCGCTAACCCTGATCTCGTTGAGCGTCTTCGTAACGGCTGGCCATTAAACAAGTATAACCGTGATACCTTTTACACCAACTCCGCTGAAGGTTATACCGATTATCCCTTCTACAAGAACTAATCTTTTTCACAAACGCAACCTAGACATTCCATTTTAATATTATATTGTAAATAAAATATTTTTTTTTTCGCAATGCAAATCTATTGGTTTCAATCTTTTTATAAAAGCAGGGGCGATCCAAGACTTCGTTAGCCCTTCACATTTCTTATCTGGAGTAACGCCACTCTAATCTTAGTAGGACTTCTTGTGTAAAGTAAGCTTTTTATGCTATTCATGTAAATATACTATATATATATATAACAAGAAAATCAGGTACTATTTATTGAAGACAACTTGAATAAAAGTATTGCGTAATTATTTTATAAACTATCAATATCTATCATGGAAGCTTTTATAATTATCAGAATACAATTAGGATTACCCTGTCAACGATGGGAAAATAGGGACCCATTTATTAGATACCATATCTAATTAGAAACATACTAAAAAAAAAAAAGGTAAATGAAAAAAGCCAGAGAAGCGCTGTCTTAAGCATATTGGGGTCATGGAACCTAAAATTGGAGTTGTTAAAGTACTCTTGGTATACAACACGTGTAGAAAAGTAGTGGTTTGCCTACTGGGTTCATGATGATCACAGTTCAAGATAATTAGGAACCTTTGACATCATTCGAACTTACAATAATTGAATAAATCTTGAAGAACTACACTGAATGGTTGTGCCTGAATCATTAACAATTTAAGTCACGCTCCCAAATTTGAGGTTTTGCTTTGGTTACGCTCGCCGTCAAAAGCTTGAATCCCTGTAAAAGGGTTACATAAACAACGATGAAAGTATCGAAGGCCAACAATATATAAATATATGTATAGCTCGTCCGGTGTTTGGATACATTTGTAGACAATATGAATAGCCACTTTTGGAAAAGGGGGCCCCATTTGAAGGTGGTGATCAATTTTGATGAACAAAAAACAGCAAGATGATAGGAAACCTCTTTAGTGTCAAAAAACATAAATATCCTATATAACGCCATTTTGCTATACGAGTTTTGTGAAAATTAAGCAGACAATTATTTGCAGTACAAAGAAATGTGTTTTGGCCAAATTTTTTTAGGTCTTTTGAAAAAAAAATTAAAATCAAAACCTAATAATCCAACATGATATTTTAGCATTTTTTTGGTTTGAAGGGACGTCTGGAGACGACGATTTATTATACAAAAAATTCAATTTAAAACAGCGTGTTAGGCGAAAAAAAAAAGGAACAAGAAAGAGTTGAAGGTTATTATTCAGTATAACATAAGCTGCATTTTAAAAACAGGAACATGTAATCATATTGGGTGCACTTTTATTAAAATAAATAGCATATTCAAAGTCTTAAATCTGAGTATTTTACCCTGGATGAACGTAGTCATCAGTAATTTGGTTTATAGTTGAGTGTGTGGCCTGAAAATTATTAAAACCATCCAATATGTTTAAGATACTTATATGCCTGAGCCCTTCCCCTTCAATATTAAACACTCAGTTGCTAAATATAATAGCGCCGCTGCTACACCAAAAACTTCTGATGTTGAAGAAACCTGAAAGAGTAATACATACTATTTATCTATTTTTCTAACTATTTAAGTTTACAGGAAGATAAACATCAGTTACAAGGCTACACATCCTCTTCCGAAAGAATACTATTTTGAAGTCATTGCAAAGTAAAAAAAAAAAAAAAAAAAAAAAAAAATGGCCAAAAATCTCAAAACAGCGGCACATAACTATGTATGATATACCTGAAAACTTTTTAGAACCTCATCTTTTAACACGTATTAAAAAAATTACTGCATTTGGGTTATTTAAAAGTCGATGCAGTTCTTATCATTCCCAATCACAAAGGAGGGTATATAATTCCAATTAACCAATAAAAGTATATATTTATTGTGTTGTTACCCGAACTCATTGACTATTGATCGGTCTAGCTATATTTTATATTACGTTTAAGAATTAAAAAAATAATGATTGGGTAAATATCGTTTGTTGTGCAATAACATGGGACACAAGTTGCTAATTAATTGACGAACTCAACTAAACTGAATAGTTTTGATAAGATAGCAATGACAATAAATATATATATATATATATATATATATACGTATTGCATCGAAAGATAAAGGCTACAGGTAAACTAACTGAGAATTGATTTACTTTGATCAGTAAATGGCATTATATATATATGGTAAAATAGCTCAAATCCGGACAAAATTTTATAATAGGGTAGAGTGCGAAAAATACTATTGTTGGTGTGTGAATATACCTAAGAAATATTTTTTCCTTTTAATGTAATACCATACTTGTAAATTATAAAATTTAATTGACGAAGTCTGTGGTACAGTCATCTGTGTAAATGCATATTGGTAAGCCATTTAATAATGCAAAACAAGATGAATGATGAGATGTACATTTATGTATCATATATCTAAATCCTGTCATGAAAAAAGACAATATGGCTGCTGTTATTCGAGCTTTATCGCACGTGTGGGGATACAAAAAGATGTGAATAATGCTATCCGAGATTAGACCTGTAATTGTGTAACGCATGCACTCTGCGTTGGTGATTGATTTGATGAGTGTATAGGTCCTATTGTATCACTGCTATCGCTTGCAGCCTACCAAAAATAGCCATTTTCTATATATTTGAACTTATTTGACATGCACAAAGACAAAGCTATATGATTTGGTATTTCAGATAAGAGACAGTAGGCTAATCAAATTCAAATAGTGTAACTTTATTATCTCATATACTATGTCGATGTCTTGCTTTTTCTTTTCATCTCTCCTTCTTTCTTCATTCCAGTTTAAATAATGCCTGCTGAACAAAACTATCAATTATTACCTAGATTTACTCGTGAGCCTGAAAAGGTTGATAACTTTGATGAAGAATACTTAATTAGTTCGTCCGCATCATCGTCGTCATTATCTTCCGATGACACTAGAATTCCTCATCGTACATTATTGAAGGGCGTAAAAGAACATATCGAAGAACATTTCGACAGACCTGAGCTTGTCCGGGATTGTATTCTGGGATTATCTGACGGTTTGACTGTGCCATTCGCTCTTGCTGCAGGTCTTTCAAGTCTAGGTGATAGTCGTATTGTTATATATGGTTGTTTAGCAGGTACACGATAAATTTTAAAAAAGATTCAGGATCAAACAAACTAATCATGGTTCAAACAATGATAGAACTCGTATCTGGGGCCATATCAATGGGATTGGGTGGATATTTAGCTGCTAAATCAGAAGCAGATCATTATCATACCGAGCGTGAGCGAGAAGGTAAAAGCTACATAATTATTTTGCCTGTGGTCCCCAATTTACTAAATCGGGGCAATTCTTATTGTAGCACGAGAGGTTGAATTATACCCAGAAGAGGAAGAAGAGGAGATTATCGAGCTCTTCGAACCATACGGTCTGGACAGGGAATCTATGGAGCCGATGATGGTTCGTTTTAGAGAAAACACAGAAAAGTTTGTGGATTTTATGATGAAGTTTGAACTAAACTTAGAATTACCTGACCCTAACAGAAGCTGGGTAAATATTTTACCATATTGCAATTGACCTTTTATAAAATCTGACTATTGTGGCAATTTAGATTTCTGCGTTGACTATAGGGTTCTCGTATCTCATTGGTGGCATCATTCCCCTTCTACCATATTTATTTATAAATGACACCACAAACGCTCTATATACATCCTGTTTTGTCACCGGGCTCACATTATTTTGCTTTGGTTATCTAAAGAGTATTTACTTAAGACCTAAACAAGCGTTTATTGGAGCAGTGCAGACATTAGCTATTGGTGCAGTTGCAGCTGCTTTTAGCTATGGTATTGTTGCAGCAGTCAACGATACTAGTCCTGCATCAGCAGAAGCTTAAAAATCTATACCTTTTACATTCAATCAATAAAAAATGTCTTGGCAGGACACTAAAATTTTGAATTTGCGCAAATAAAACTGAGCGGGTTATTAAACCACGTGTAACTTCGAAGTAGCCTCTATTTTTACACTTTTGGATCTTTTCTTCTTGTTTTTCTTTTCTCTTTATTTGTTTCCATTGTAGACCATGGTCTTTGCTTGGAAGATTTTGTTAATAACGGTAGCGTTTGCTGTCGTTGTTCAGTCTTCAAAGTTGTACTGCATTAGTCATGGGAATTCTCGATTGAATGTCGAGAAATGTACAACTTCGAAAAACCGACAAGTATCAGCAGCAGCACTGACAAACAATTCAGTAACAACGACTGTTCAAAACAACTTAACATTTGACTTGATTTGTAAATCAGATCCTTTAACATGTGAAGGCGTCAGTACAACATTTTCGAAAGCAACAGAAATCATTTCCTCTGTGTTTCAATTCGAAACACCCTTATTGATCAATGCATCATTTGTCGACTTTTGCCAAGAGTACGGAGATTGTACTAACGACAAACGATTGGTGTATATCGGGAAAGCACATCCTTCGATCTCCTACGTAATGGTAGACACATCAGACAACATGACGAGAATGTACCCTCAACCATTATTGAAGCAATTCACAGATTTAAAAATAAGACCCGCTTGGACGTTATACGACATCAATGCTCAATTTAATTCTCAAGTGAATTGGCGCTTTGCGGTTAGTTTATTGATGTCAAATATAATAAACATTTTACTTATTTGTTTACATTTAGAACAATGCTAACCCTATTAATTCAAATCAAACTGACTTTTTGAGAAATGTATTACACGAATTAATTCATGGGCTTGGTTTTATGGTTTCTTGGTCAGACGAACTTTATAAAGGATTGTCACCTTTATTTCAACAAGATTTAGATCCTTTCATCACCCCTGAATTACTAGCACTAACCGCAAATGAACAGCTATTAAACGAATACAATTCACCACTACCGTTTTGGGGATTTGTCGAATATCCTCTTGATAAATATCTTGGTTATAAGGAGAGTGGCAATTTTCACTCTTATACTTCAATCACTAGCCAATTAAACCAGTTTTATGACTCGAACGTCTTATTTCGAAATATAGTTGATATGGCTAATAGCTGGTACGAATCCAGTTCATATAATATTGCCAAACAAGTGTATGCGAGATCTGTATCCCAGCAAGATGTCTTGGCAGTAATTCAAGGAGAAGTTGTTGTTACGCTCGAGTCCTCAGTGAAACCCTTTTTATCGGGAGCATCTTTGTGTCACGTTGATCAATCGTCTTACTTAAACTCGTCGGATTATCTCATGGTTTACACAGCCAATCGTGGTGTTGGAATCGTCGAATTGGATCAACTTTTTCCAGACGGCCCTTTTGGCCCGAAATTAAAAAGGGTAATGGGTGCTTTGGGCTATAACATCAAAGCAGTAAAAACTATCCGACCGACGTTGCGATACTGGAGTCCACCAAATGGTCTTGTCGATTCTAATTCTAATCCAAACCCTTCATTGACAATTAACATTAACGGTCCTGCTAAAACACCTACTGTATCCTCCTCTACCTCAAACTCTCCTGTATCTACTTCATCTGCATCATTTACTACTATATATCCCCATAATCACTTTCTTCGTTACACTATTCATCTTGTACTTTTAACATCACTTCTATTATCCCTCTAAAAACTTATCTATTAATTTGTAACATATCCATGACTGTAAACCTTAATAAAATTGTGTACCCAGCATTCGAACAACAAACAAATCTCTTCTGGAGGCTATATAAATCCTTCTGGCTGTTTACAAGCTTATCCTCAGTGATTGAGAAAATATCAGTTATTCTGTCTTTCCTTAGCTATCTGTATCGTTCGATGCTGATGCTATAGGAAGTACCTTTTTTTAAAATTTAATGCGCGTTATAATGCTTCTTATTACTTGTCTTGGCATTAGGTTGTTTAGCAACCATCGAAGTTTCATCTCTGGCAGAGGAATTTAAAAATGTTCGTGATTTACGCGTCTTAAATTAAAATGCAACCTTCGTCAGAAAAGACATTGGCATTTAAACAGCAAGTACTCAACGGAGTGATACTGGTGTATATTACTTTGTTTTGCCGTCTATTTATCGCTCATATATTACATCGTATCAAGTTCATTAAAAAAAAAAGGATTAAAGTAATCCCTTCATATGGAATCAATCGGTTTATATGTAATAACGTAAGTATATGGGAGGGTGCTAGCTGACTGTTCAAAACGTTGATGGCAAAAATGACATTATAGGAGAATCCGAGTGTTCAAGATCCTTCTAAAAGTCAGGTCAAACCAGGTTAAGATGTCAAAATCAGTCTTAGGCTGTTGTATAGTCACTTGGTTCGTCCTAAAATTGAAAGGATTCCCCAGGTTTCCCAGCAGCACGTATCTTTTGCAAACAACATAGTTTTCTTTACTGGATTTTCATTGTAAATGACACGTAGGCCATTCATGCGTAAAAGTGGAATAATACTTGCTTTACTTTTGTTGGTAGAGAACCTGACCACGTTAGCGGAAAAACATAGAACAAGATTGTGCATAGGATTAAAAATTACGTGAGACTGTCGATGATGAATTTCGGAAACTTTTAATATGAGTATAAGAAACCTATAATTAAAATCACTAATCTAAGAATGGAGATATTAGTATCATACTGGAGTACAATGTAGCAGTGGGAGAACATTATGCACAGAGTCATGACGGTGCTAAGCTTGAAGAATTTAGCCGTATCAAATTTCACTGAGAGCCTCACATCCTTAGTCAAACATACATATTGAATTATTCAACATGACATTTACCAAAAATACGAAAGATTTATATTACACCAACGAAGTTGGAAACGTGTTTACCTCAAATTTTAGAACAGAAAAATAAAAATCAGGTCTTGGAAATTCAAGTATGGTTCCCAATTTTCGGTGGATGCAAAACAACGTGGTACACAGATTTTGATGCGCCTTTAAAAGAATACATACAATATTTTAAGGGAGACTGTATCTTAAGGATCTAATTTGTAGAATACGTACAGGACATGCTAATTGACAATACTCGTGTAGAAATAATTTTGCATGGGTGAACAGCAAAAACCTGTACATGTCATTGACTTTTTATTTTAATAAACAATTCTTTTTGAGTACCATCAAGATTATACCACCTACTACCTTTTAGCTCGATTTTTTGAAATTGATGCTCACTACTCGTATTTTGATTTTATAGGACGGCCTACCATCATTTTAGGTAAGAGGAATGTGGTTTCTGGCCACGATTAATCGACTCTGGCATGTTAGCGAGAGCTCTAAACGTGCCATTTTATAATAACATAAAATAAAATAGGCCACAGAGGGAAAATCTATGAATTTTATTGAGATGATTGTTTTCTTTTTAGTCAGACGCACTAAAAATAAGAAAAGGTGGAGTAATTAGTCATAAGGTACTTTTGTGAATATAAAACTCTTTGAGATATAAATTCTTGTTGCGATGAAATGGCCATTGGTATCTACATGATTGAAGCAAATACAGCGCACACTGCAATCAAGATAGCTGAAAGGGAGACTTTTTGATTGTTTGATACATTTTCCTCGCCTGTCACAATACCCTGAATCTGGAATTTTTCATCAGCAGCCGCAGCTTCGTCTGCACTCTCCAAAACAATAGCTTTTTGGCCTTGATGGTAGTTTGTTTGCCCAAAAGAGAATTTATCCCCAATGTACTCTGTGCTATTTGCAGCTATAGAGAAAATATATATTAATACTACCATGAGGATGGCGTTATTATTAACTCACATTTCTTGTAAGGAGTCGCATCGTTTAAACAGCCATCCAAGCGAACCATAGTGTAACCTTCTTCTTCAATGGTATTAATAATATGAGGTATGGCAACCAAAGACCCTGTATACGGCAAATCATACTGAATAGATATAAATGATCCCTTGGCATCGTATGTATCCTTGTAATTTTTAAATGTATCGGAATAAACTCGTTGAATTGAATCAGGGCCGGTTGCATCCTTTTTAAAATAATCTTGGCTGTCCAGGTTATAGCCCACAATAACAAATCCAAGATCTTGAATGATACCTTCTGTACGAGTATCCTTAACTTCTGTATAATGAAGACGAACATATTTTGGTGCTACGTTTATCAAAGTCTCGATGATATGGGCATTACTAAGAATATCCTGACGGAGTTCATCATCAGTCAAACTAGCAGGATCATCATTGGCAGCACGATAGGTCATACCAATAAAATGGCCTGCATTGTAAATATTTTGTACAACCATAGCATATTGCTGAGTGTAGAGCCATGTGGCATTGACAAAGAAATTGCCACGGGCATCTGCTTTACTCAACTGTCTAACGATCTTTGCAGTAACGTCACTTGGCCCTTCATTATATGTCAGGGCAATCTGTCCTTGTGTCTTACAACCAGTAACTTGCGCTAGAAGTCGCTTCGGAGCTGTTGGTTCTTCTATTGCTGTCTTATTAGCAGATGTGGCAGAAATAGTACCTAAAAAACAGTTAATTTAATTGGAAAATTTTCCGATTATAAATGCCTTACCATCTTCTACAACATCTAACGTTGACGATTTCGTATCTGCTGCCTCTTCTTCTGCAATAATAACAGGTTCTAATTCAACGACGGGTTCTGTTTCAGCGATCGGTTCTGATCCATAAAATATCTGCTCAATATCATCTCCCACAAATTCAATAAAAGGTAAACCCTCCTCTAAACGAGTATGTTCTTGGATATTATCTGTCCTCGTGTCTTGGGAATGAATTGAATCAATTTGTTTATCAGATTGTTCCTCTAAAATTGGCCCATCTTTAGGGTACTCCTGTCTATCAAATCGGTCTGTTGTTGGTGTTTGTAGAGCCCCCTTTTTATCCGATAACGTTACTGTAACAAATCTCTCAGGATTTTCGAAAGTTAAAGTCAATATTTTTGCCAAATTTATATGCTCAATAGTGTCATCTTGTTGCAATTCATTTGCTGCGACAATCTGTAGAACAAATAATGACAGCAAAAATAGGGCTATTATAAAAAAAAATTAGCTTAAGAGATATTGATAGTATCTCTTAATTTACCTATCCGCTGTAACTGTGTCATTATTGATGTATCGAAAACTAGGGCGAAGGTAGAAAAAAGGCAAAGTAAAGAAGAACGATCTTATTATTTACATTCTTTATTTAAACTAAAAAAAAAAAGTCCCTAAACAATATGTACTCAACGGGAAATTATTACAGTCTCACTTGCAGTCGAACTTTTAAGATTATACAGCAGTGGGAAAATGTGCTTATTTTATTTACTTTTTTTGGTGACACGGTAAGGAAAATATTTACCTTGCATTTGTAGATCAATTAACATTATGTTTACCAACTCTTAAAAGCACCGATTCGTGGGCCTGCTTCATCAGTCTGACGCTTTGGTCTTCTAGTGTAAGTAGGAGTGGCGTTTGAGGGAGCGTTAGCAGCATCATTGCTCATATCTTCCATCCAGGCAGGAACCTCTTGCTTAGCTCCTTGTAAAAGTTTGACCATAGGACCAGAAAGGAATCGATTGCCTTTCGTGAAGAAAGCAGTAGCTAAACCTGTGTTACCTACACGACCGGTACGGCCAATACGATGTACATAATCATCAATATCGCTAGGCAAATCAAATGAAATGACGTGAGTGACATTTGGGATATCCAATCCTCTTGCTGCAACTGCTGTAGCAACCATAATAGGTGTTCTACCTGATTTGAATAATTCAAGCGCCGTTTCGCGTTCACTTTGCACACGATCTCCGTGAATAGCTGTCGAAGGGAATTGATTGTCGTTTAAAAAATCGCAAACCGTGTCGGCCATACGTTTGGTCTCTGTAAAGATGAGAGTCAAGCCTCGGTCGGCCTTGTGTTCAGTGAGAATCTCCAAGAGTTTGTGTCGTTTTTCATCGTCACGTAATAACTCAAATTTTTGAGTAATGTTTTCAGATGTTGCTCCTACACGTCCAACTGACAAAAAGATATAATCCTTGAGGAAATCACTAGCTAAAGATTGAATTTTATCAGGGAATGTAGCAGAAAACATCAACGTTTGACGCTTGCTGGAGGGAGGCATGTCACAACCGTCAATAATGTTACGCACTTGAGGTTCAAACCCCATGTCCAACATACGATCGGCTTCATCTAAAACCAAGTATTGGATATTTTGGAAAGAGATACGGCGTCGCTCCAAGATATCTACAAGGCGGCCTGGTGTAGCAACTAATAAATGACATCCACGGTCAATTAATCGGAGCTGCTGTTGAATATCAGCACCACCATAGGCGACACAAGGGCGCACGTAAGAACGATAACAAAACTTTTTAGCTTCGTTGTAGATCTGAGAAGCCAATTCTCTTGTAGGCGCCAAAATAAGTGCTTGAGGGTAGGCTTTCTTATAACTTTGATAACCTTGTTTCACGTTTGGCTCCTTGGGGTCTTCCAAAGGACCTCGAGCAAACATGGCCGATAAAATTGGGAATAAAAATCCCGCAGTTTTACCAGAGCCTGTTTGGGCACAGGCCATCAGATCACGGTTGTTTAGAACAATAGGGATGGAATGCTTCTGGACAGGTGTGGGCACAGTATATCGAGCCAATAAAATATTTGTCAAAAGATGTTTATCCAAAGGAGGATGAGTAAACTAAAAATATAACAATAACAAATTTAATCATCTATTGATCGTTATATCCGATTATGTTATATTTACTTGATTGATTCCTTCGGGAATATTCTCTCCTTTCGTTTCAACAGGAATGTTTTCGTACTTGGAAAAGTTGATACCAGAGTGTGCATTTTCAGAGTCGGTTGCTGTACCAAAAAGCTTCAATTTCATTTCCTCATTTTCTGCTCCGAGTTCATGTACACCATTCTTCCAGATACCTTTGCCATCTTCCTTGACATCTTTGGTCTTTTTTCCAGTATCCGACCATCCTAAACTATCCATGGTCATAGCACCCCACGATCCCCCAGATGTGGACTTAGCTGGTGTGCTCCAACCATCGCTTTCTGCAGCAACTGTTTGCTTAGGAGGTTGTACTACTGTTGCTGGTTTACTATTCCAGGAGTTTGTAGGTGCAGCTTCTGGAACTTTGTTGGATACAGGTGTACTCCATTGATTAGCTGCTGTTGCTGGTTTAGTTGACAAAGGTGTGCCCCATTGGTTAGCAGGAGGGGTAGCTGCTGGCGTTGAGTTCCAATCGTTGGGTGTAGATGTAGCAGGAGTCGACGTAGTGCTAGCTTGCACGGGGTTGCTCCACTTATTGGAAGGGGCAGGTGTCCCCCAGTTGTTAGAAGTAGCAGGAGTAGCGGCAGTAGATGTTGCATTCCAGTTGTCGGATTGAGTAGCAGCTTCCGTTTGTTTTGAATCCCAGCCGCTAGTAGTAGATGAAACGACGGGAGCAGAAGCCGTATTCCAGTCGTTCTTATTCGACCTTTGATGGTTATATCCAGCACTTTGTCCGTCACTATATCTTTGTTGGTTACCATCTCTTTGTTGATATCCTCCTCTTGCTTGAAACCCTCCTCTTTGCTGTTGATAACCACCTCTCTGTTGTTGATAACCACCCCTGCCTCTTTGCTGACCATGCCCGCGACCAGCGTGCTCATAACCACCTCTATTGTTATTAATATGCTGTTGTTGAGTAGAGTCGTTACGACTTTCGAAATGGTTAGCTGTTAAATTACGATCTCCCCAACCTCCGGCTTTTTCCACAGTTGAGCTCCATCTGTCAAAAAGAAAGAGTTAAAATCATAATCTATTCTTAATGGTTGAGACACTTTTTTGTTTTGCTTTTGTTTCTGTTTACTTTGGCTCATTAGATGACTGAACAGGCTTGCTCCATTCATTGTCGGCGTTTTTGGGTTTATTTGAATTGACACGAAGATTACCTAGGAAAGGTCATACAGTTAATGACTGACGATATTCTCCCACGCACACGTCAACTAAAAAAACGCCATTTTTTGCATAAGCCAAACATACCAAAATCTTCCTTAAGTCCTTCAGAATCCCAGTTGCTCATATTCCTTGATGTATTTGTAAAATAAAGAGAGGAAGAGAAAAAACTTTTGGACATCCGATGGTTTTATACTAGTTTTTTATATTTTATTTACTGATTTTTTAAAGTTATTTACAAATGTTAATGTAAAATGTAGAAGAAAGAAACTAACAATATCATATCTGGGTAAAAACTAGTAACTAAACTAAGAATCAAACTGAATAGAATGATATGGAAAAGCTGAAAATTTGTGTAAGCAGATTGAAAAGAGTGAAAAAAAAAAAAAGACTGTGACGTATTGTTGGTTTTTCATATTTCTTCCATGATTTTAAATTACTAGTCAATACGAGAAAGCATGACATGGAGCGTTTTATGAACCTTTTCCAATTCATCAGATACTTGGGCTTGACCTTCTTCTTCATAGCAGCCACCGTCAGCGCAAGATGTCATATCACCAAAGCGGCCTTCGTTATATTGAGAGTCAATATTACGAAGTCTGTTTTGCAACTTTTCAATATCATCAGAAGTGTACTTGGTATAAGAAAGACGATTAGATTGTCTGGCAATATCCATCAACTCCTGATGAACATTCTCAAGATTTTTGACCATGGGCATTTTGAAATAGATTATTTTAAAGAAAGGTAAACCTTTTTAAAGAAAAAAATCTAAATTCGCCCGGAACCACGTCCTTATATATTTGATTTCATTTTACGCCCACCCACATCAGAACTGGGTTCATATCTTGTGATTTATTGTTTATATTGTTTTGAAGCGTGGGATGGGAACTTTTTTTTTTTTTGGCGATTTCCTAAATTCGGTTTCATCTCAAAAGGAACACACAAACAAAAGAATACGTTAGATGACTATTTTATTAAGTACCGGTATTTATTATTAAGAATCTAAGTATGTTGTATGTGTATGTTTAATTTACGAGACTATTGTCTTCTCGCTCTCCATCCCTCTCCAAATTTTTGGACCATGGGAACGCAGATTAAATAGGCAGTGAGACACATTAGGGCCATAAATGTGCTGATAAATTACGGTTGGTTAGTGTATATTGTCATGTAAACTTAATAGCTTCCACTTACTATGACCACCCATCACCAAGAGATCCACGGATCTGCACAGCAGTTAAAGAAAATATCATACCACAAATATTTCTTGTGAAATTACCAACTGATACAACTACATAATTCATGCAAAGTATCAGCAAATCAGGACATCGAAAAAAAAAGAAAAAAAAAACTCACCTGATGCTGCCTTAGTATGGTTAGAGTCAACCATGTAAGTGGTGGCGACAGTAATCGTAAACATAATTCCGAAAGTAGCTATAAATCCCTTTAATATTTTTTCGGGCCATAATGTCTTTCAAGAAGAGTACTTACTAATTGTATAAGAAGCCAAAGGACCCATCCAATGTACTCCAGACTTAAGGAACCAGCCATACATGACAGAACCAATGACAATAAATGGTATTCCGATATACATAGGCCTTAAACGTAATTCGCTTTTAAGAACACCGGCATTTTGAGAAACAGCTTTAGCATATAATTTATCGGATATTGCACCAGCTACAATTGATCCTGAGGTGTTACCAATACCACCAGCTAAATAACAAAGACCAATTGTACCCGTAGAAAATTTATATACACTTCCGAAAGTGGTAGGTAGAATAGTCACTAAGAAATAAAACCAACCAAAGGCGATGCTAACAGGAATACAGGTGACCAAAACTTCGGGCTGTAATAAGAGTTCAAGACTACCGAACTATAAAATATTTGATTCGTAAGTACAATTGTGAGATTATTGAATCAAAAAAACTTACGGGATTAAACTTGAGTCTAGATAAACGTTCTTTAAAGTTTGCAGGTGGAGGAAGTTGTTTGGCATTAGGAACATATAAAGTCTCTTTAATCAGAACATAACTTAAGATGGTAAGCACACCGCCCATAATAGTTTTGATATAAAATATCCAACGCCATCCTAAGTACTGATCAATATAGCCGCCAGCAATAGGAGCCACAGCAGGACCAAGAATTGTACTACGATATTACATATTAGGTACATATTTACTAAGAGCATGGAATTTGTTTTACCCTAAAATGTAAATACTCATGGCCTTTCCTCGCTCATGAGGTTCAAATATATCAGAGACACTGCCCCCACCAACTGCTTGCCCAGCACAAGCAAATATACCCTGAAGCAAACGGAATGCAAAAAACACCCCTAAATTCGTAGAGACACCACAAATAATTGTACAAACTGTATAAATTGCCATCGCAATGATATAAACCCATCTTTAAAAATAAGATTAAAGACCTTTCTACTAGACATAATTTCCGTAAGTACCTTCTTCCAATACGTTCACTAAGTGGAGCCCAGATCAAAGGCTATAAAATCGTTGCAAATTGTTCAATAAAATAGATTTAGCAAATTACCACACTAAACTTACAGCAAGAGCATTCATCAATAAAAAGAGGGCAATAGTTGCATTAATGGTCTAGATGGAAATAATGATTAGCAACTGTTGTTGTTTTATGAATGAAACTCAATACGTACAGTGAGATTTGTATTAAAGTAGGTCATAATATCATGAGTAGCGGGCATCTATTCAAATAAAATTGTCAGACTATGTTTGTGTTTGATTTTCTGGAAAATTAATCTTACGTATACTGCCGATGAGAAATAGCCCATAAATGAATTACATGACACAACAATGAGGCCGCTATATTTCTTACCCTTGGGCCAATTCTAAGTTTAAATCAAATATGTTAAAATTCATAGTAGATAATACTTTACATGTACATACCACAGGATGATTAGGATCATCTTTCGGGTTGTAGACAGTCGAGTTGTTTTTTTCTTCGATATATGATTCGATCTCTTCGATCTCTTTCTCTTTGTAAACAGTGGACACTGTATCGCTACTGCTACTCCTATTCGAAGAAACTATAATTGCATTGTCAGTAACATTCTTGCTGTCAATTTTATTGGACTATTACTTTTTTCGATAGCGGAGCTCATGATGTTAAACTAGTTCACAAAAAAAATCAAGTGGAACTAAGAAAAAGTAAGAGGAAATAGGAAAAAAAAGAAAATGAACGGCGGATCACAGAACAATTAATACTTGGTTTTCCGCTTAGCTTGTGTTCGATGCCTTATCATTGGCTATACCTATGTATGACAGATGATGTCTTAATAATAGAATCAGTTTCCGTGGGTATAGATCGCTAAAGGAATATACCTAAGAGAAGATGGATGCTTGATTTTTGGATACAATTTGCGAATGTCGGCTAAAAAACGACTAAATAGGCAACATGATCGTCTTTAAATGCCGCTTTACCTTTTTATTAGTAATCCAATTTTTGATGAGAAGCTGAAAAATAGACGTCTCTCTATCTATGGGTTAATATGTTAAGTATTGCATTAAGTTATAACTAAAGATCACTAAAGCTTAAGCAAAATTGAATCCGATTTGTGATTGCGAAAAATTCCATTATTATAGCATCATACGGCTTCGGTTAAATTGACTTCCCTTTATAGTTTGAACAGCCGGTTCTCCGCTTGTTTTTGCTGCGGATTCATATTTTGGTCATCCACTGTGGATCTTTTTTTTTTTTTTTTTTTTTTTTTTTTTTTTTTTTTTTTTTTTTTTACATTTTTAAGCTTCTACACCTTTGCTCGTAGACAGTTGCAAATTAAATACAGCAATACTAGACTCTTAGTCCGTCACTGAAATTTCATTCTAGATTTGTGTTGCTATAAGACTATGTACGATTTAAGGCACCTAGCAATAAACATTGGTTCAATATCTTTGACAAAGCAAAGGTTTCTATCTGTTATAACCATCAATGGCAAACAGCGGCTCCTAAGTGAAGTATCAAATTAAAATAAGACTTGCTGATGTTCTAGTATTTTATTGCTATTTCACGCCATTTTGGGGTTAATTGTGCTTATTAAATGGGTGTAAGAGTGAGTCGAGCAACAAACTGAAAGTCTCGACATGATTGCCGTTTGGCTTAATTTTACGATTGATAATTTCGATATTAGTTTTGTATCATTTTGGGCATTAGGGATAGTAAAAAATCTATATATGCTCTTTTAATTTGTTAAATGAATACATTACGCCAATGTTAAAGTCCCATCGACCCGTAGCCGGATCTAAGCGTCAATGTGAAAGTGTATCCATGGTCAGTATACATTAAATATCGCATTCCGAAGTAACTAGCCTTGAAAGTATTGGCTTAAAAATTCTTTCATCCATCAGCTACTTTTACATCATTTGTTATATCGGATCGATATCCCAAAGAGTGAGAGGTTACAGCGTCCTTAATTCGAAGTGTCAGAAGTAACTTAAAAATCTTCGTAAGCTAATTTTTTCTCGACAAAACTGTATTTGACCTTTCCTGATCTACAGGTTTCTCTCAGACTTAACTTTTAACGTGTAAGTAGCATTAATGGGAAAGTTTGTACAACGAATAGAAAATATGGTTACCATCTTTGAAATAGGAAACGGATTTATACGATAAACTTTGCATGACAGTTTACTTAGTAGTTTTATATGATATAGCTAGTAATTTTAACTAATAAACAAGTGGCACATGTATAACTATACTATATAAACATGACAATTCCTTCTGATGTGACATGGCAATTATCTTATTGTTATAATCTATGGTATCCACAAAAAAATTTTCGTTAATATTTTTAGAGAAGACAACGGTAAAAAGCTATCATATCTTAAAACCAGAGATAAGGGAAGAATACTTTATTTAAGTGCAAGTCCCTTTGCCAAAGATAATAGAAGGATCCTTCAGGTGTAAGAGCATGTTCTACATATGCACAGTTTGATTAAATGTACAGCCCCCTTTTTTTTAAAAAGCTAGTAAGTGAATCATAGTGATACACCTCTGCGAATTGAAATTAAGATCGGATTATAAAGAGACTTGTATCGGCACTTTGGCTATGTCACTACCTTTTTAACTCCTTGTATTCTTATACCCCGTCCACCTTGAAAATTTTTCTGTTAATTACCATCAAATTTAATGGTTTTAGATGATTTTAAGTGGAAATACTTGTAAAGTATCCCTTTACAGAAACGGTCTTCCTACCATGGATAGCGCGGTGGCATTTAGGATTGTATGGATGGAAGTCGTCATTATTTTGGAGGAACTCACTCCATCTTCCCCAAACAGAATTGTTTTTAACCTCACAAGTAGCAAAATTCTTCCTTTTTTTTCTTCAAGCTACTTTCGAACTTGCGCTTAACACGCGTTTTCCATATCTTTCTGATTTTTTTAGTATATGTTGACAAAACTTATATTAACAATATGGTGACCGACGTATTTTTCATTTAAGTTGGTGTTACTGATAATAAAGTGAGTCACCTTTTTAAAAATAAAAACAGCTTTCTTATTTAAATAAAAAGATCCTAATGGAATAGCTATTTCTCTTCTCTTAGGAATAGTGGATTTTCTTTGAGTGACAACCTAAGAGCGGACTGTAGATACTCAGTATTATTTTTCAATGAGTCTCCAGCGGTTAAGAATAAAGTACTAAAGCTTTAATTCTCGTATAAATGACTATCATCACAATTTTCGTTGTATATTTCAACTGGAATGGGGCTACGGGTTCAATTGGCAGTCTGGGTGTTTATTTGGTTTAAAGATTTTAGGAAAAGAAACGAAAAGAAAAGGACGAAAAATCCAATTTTAAATTTTTTATGCTACTTGTAGTGGATTTTCGATATTTAGCAATTATTTTAGTGCAACCACTGCAGACCCGTTTCACCAAAAATAACCACTCATTAAATGTTGTAGTGCACTGCTGCGGATGCTCTAGGTAACTTTCTGTACAAATATCCTCTAAACTAACGTGCTTAACAAAAATAATCAGCTTACTCTGTCTCCATAAAAGACAACCTGCTTATAGCAATGTCACCAGTTTATAGCTCCCCATATCGCAAATATTTATACAGGGTGTATTGAACACCGTGTTAATTTAAAAAGAAATTGAAACATAAAAACTTGCGTCAGAAGCTGTTTGTCTGTTTACTGTTTATGGATAGATTAACATCTGAATGTAATTTTAATCATCCATACTTCGAAGAGACATATTGTTGATGATGTTGGAGAATACATGTTAAGCCTTTTAAAGTATCAGAAAATAGAACGTCGCCTGTATCAGTCAATTCAATGGTCATTCATGCTCAAAAATAAAGCTAAAGAATCAAAGTTACAATTTAAAAGGAACAATTTATGGGCACCTTGTACTACTTTTAAATTTTGTGGCGTTAATGATTCTCTCTCCTGAATATATGCCGCTGTTGGCGCTAGCAATATCTATGGGACTTTTATGTCATGTATTAGACCAGACCTATTTAACTATAAGTATATGATCCACGTAATTATCTCGTCGTATTTTTCTGGTATCGTTACCAGGTATCTAAAAAATCAATATGTTTCCGCCATTCAAGTCACTGACCTGATTAATGTTAAATCTGAATGTAGTACTACTGCAAGTGATGTTTGTAACTATGCCAAACCAATCGTTTACAGTTATAGATATACAGATCATTGAGTGCTTTCCGAAAGCTCGGGGACGAAAGAAATGTGTTCCAATGTTTTTATTATTATCGAGTAGTGCTTTTAACTAAAAATTAAGAACAGTTGGCAGCATTGCAGGTGTTTAAAAATTAATAAGTCAATTTTATCTGAATTTAAGGTCCATGTGTTTGAATTACTCTTTTTAGAATACGACGATGATCAGATTAAATGACAAATAAATTGGTACGAGACTAGGGATGTTATGTGGGTTGATAGTGTAAATAGCAAAGCTGCATAAACATATAAACAAATCTGGTTGTAAACAATAAGTATTATTTTTGAAAACCTGTCAAAAAACCATTTTATATTATTTATTATTATTGGGTGGGTAAGCCTATTTTAGTAGCTCTTTTATACATCAGTCTTTCTGTACGATATTGTTCATAGTATCTTTCCACGGTGTCCAATTTCAAGTAACGGCGGTGAGTGGATAACAAAACATGCTTGAGTTTAACAAAATCCGAATATTTTTCGCCCAGACAGTCAATTGATCCCCAACCAAAATCACGACCCAATTTGATGTCATTGTCCAACTGAATAGGCTTACCAGTTTCTGGCTCATCTTCATAAGAAATGAATGTAAAAGGAATGATTCGAAGGTAATCTAACACGGACTGAGTATCATTATCTTCTTTTTCATAATCAAATTGAGAAAGGAAATCATCGAGTGATTGTGGTGCTTTAATCTTTTCCTTTTCTTCCTCCTCCTCTTCCTCATCGTCTTCCTCGTCCAAATCTTCATCTGGCATACCATAGATAGGAATCTTGTAATTTGTGTAGATATCTTTGATGATGGAAGGCTTCAATCTGTTCCTTTGAGCTAAAGTCAAATGGTCTGCTTTTCCGATAATAGGAATGACATTTACACGATTTGATAATCTTTTTAAAATTCTAATATCAAACTCGTCTAAAGCTGATTTTTTGGGATCAATAAAATAGAGACAACAGTGGACTTGAGTGTCAACCGCTTTAGGGTTACGCTTAACCTTTGATTCCTAATGTATGACAATAACAAGTGTTACATTTTTATAAATTAGATTTTTTTTTTATTATTCAGTTACCTCTGCCAATGTCAAATCAAATTGGTGTTCAATATATTTTGTTATATCGTGGAGTTGTTTATCAACTAGGTATTCTTGTTGAAATCCTGGTGTATCTATGATAGTCAGGACGATTCTTTCTCTATCTACTTCTATCTCTCTAGAGATAGTATATGGTGTAAGTGTCTTTTCGATTGGGCCTTGTAACTGTTGTTCTTCGTGCACATATACTGAGGAGTTTTCGCTCATAAATGAATCACGTCTCTTTTTCGATGGGGTATCTTCTACTTGTTCTTCTAACAAGAGTGTTTCTAATAAAGTGCGAACAAAGGAGGTCTTTCCTACTCCTGAGAAACCAACAACCATAACGTTAAAGTTCGACACAGCATTCTTTCGAGATCGAGGTGTCATTGTCTTTTTTGGTGAGAGAGAGATGAAGAAACTAAAAATTAAAAAAAAGAAACACTAAAAAGAAAAAAAAAGAAAGTTTATTGGAGTCCCGTGTTAAGTTGGCTGTATACCCGTTTTTGTGTAGCATTAAATAAAATATAAACTGTTTGTTCCTCGTGCCGTTTGGTACACTACTCTTTCGGGTTAAGCGCTTTCAATTTGGTGTTTTACATCATCGTATTGGAAAAAAATAAAAAGATACAGGTTTTTTTCCAAAACAAGTGAGTGGGCACCACTTTTTCATTATTGTCATCTAATGTGATACAAGGTATATCATTGGCAAAAAAATAAAAAATAAGTTTATAATAAAAAATGCTAAAATATGTATATTGTATATAAGTCGGATAGATATACATAAATAAGGTATGTGAGTATGTATGGCTGTGCGTGGGAGTGTGTGTAATAAATAAACTCTCTCTCTTTCCCCTCCAAAAGTAAGTAGTAAATGATATAGTCGATAATAATAATAAGAAAAAACGTAGTAATAATAGTAGTAATAATAATAATAGTGGGTTGTTGTAATTGTATGTATATATAAATCTTATAAATACATGGCAGAATAAGATTGGTGGTGATGAATTGGCGAAGCAGATGGTGGAGGGGTTGGTATACCAACAGGTGGATAATAGTAGACGCCCTGTTGTATCTGCTGTTGATGATGATGCTGCTGCTGTTGATGCTGCTGCTGTTGCTGTGCTTGTACCTGTTGCTGTAATTCACTACTAGGAATAAAAGGAGCTGCATGAATAGAGGTCAATGATAATCTTCGAGATGTGCTTTCTTCCCCTTGTTGCTGAAGTGGACTACTTGGTTTCCAGAAGCCTTGATTGAGGTTTACGCTTGAACGAGAATGTCTTGGTTGTTCGTAAGTAGTATATCTACCATTCTCCTTCAAACTATTGGTACTAGTCATTTTACGTACTGCTTGGTTATTGTGTTTCTTCTGATTGTAATAATATTTTGTCTGTTGCTGCTGCTGCTGAGGTTGGTAATGTTCATCAATAGATAAACGTTGGGTTAAATCACACATTCTATCCACTTGATCCACAGAGCTTGAACGAGAATGGCGAAACAAGGGTGGTTTCCTCATTTCTTGGGTCATATATCCCACTTTTAATAATTGATCTCCATATTTTTGTAGTTCACTAATAGATACTGTAAGATTAAAGCTATTCAACTTCAGAAACTCGAGTTCAAGGCTGTTTAACTCAGAAACTGGTAATCCACCAACCTGAAAGAATTAGGACATTAGCACCGACAAAATGTGAAAACAAACAATGTAATACCAACCTTTGCGTATCGTGTGTTTGTATAAAACACGTCACTGAAAAACTTGGAGGCTACCATCACACCTGCAATAATTAAACGATGTATATTGAAAGAATCAATGGTAAAAGGTTTTCCTGTTAAAGCCAAAGAATTTTTGGACATGCGGTCGAAATAGACTAATAAGCTTAGAAAGCATTCATTAGCACAAGGACAGTATTTAAGTATTCTGGTCAGGTAAGAATAAATATCAATAGAGGGTACAAGTCGGGCATGAAACCGGGTATAGGCCGGTGGTGGTGGTGGTGCTAATGGTGGTGCTTGTTGTAAAGAACCACGACGTTGTGCAGAGGGTTGTTGTGATTTATTCAATAAGTCGTTTGCAATGGTCATTCTTTCAAGTAGAGATGCTAATAGCCGAATAGTATCCACTGTTGGATATTTGGCTAAATCAAACGTAATGGGTAACATTGTATTTCTTTAAATTTGAATCAAGCAGCACTAATTTTGATTTTTGTGTTGTTGTGAAAAAGACCGCAAGTTTAATAAAAGAAAAGAAGGAAGTTTTTTTTTTATTGAGCTTTGAGCAAACCCCCCCCCCCACTCATCATCATCGCCGTAAAAACCCCAAGGTCATACACCACGTGACTCAAAGTAACACACACGGCCTTGTTATTTTCAATTGGAAGAAAGACCACGAATATATTCTATTAAGGATCTAGTAGGACGACCTATTTTACACATATTAGATACAGTCTATCTTCATTGATTTTCATAAAATGCCACTTTACCACTCATTCCCTTAATGTGATAGCCATCAGTGCCTTGACTATCCATCACACCAGCAATATCAATATGAGCCCAGGGAATCTTTTCTTGCTCTTCCTTTTTATCGAGTCCATATACAAACTCCTTTAAGAACGAAGCAGCTGAGCATGCACCACCTGATCTTCCCTTACCCAAATTATTAAGATCAGCAACCGAAGATTCCTTCATCTCTTTCAAATAGCCATCATTCAAAGGCATTCTCCAGAATGGATCTGATGTGGTTTTACCGGCCTTTTCAAGGTTATTCCATAATTTATCAGAGTTAGTAAACACACCTGCAAAGACATCGCCGAGTGCAACATCCATTGCACCAGTTAAAGTAGCGAGATCAATCAAACTTGCAGGCGAATGCTTAGAACTGACGTAATATAAAGCATCTGCTAAAATCATTCTGCCTTCTGCATCAGTATCTAATACTTCGATCGATTTGCCGTTCATAGCCTTAACAACATCTCCTGGCTTAGTTGCTGTGCCTGAAGGCATATTTTCACAGAGTGGAGTTACCGCAATTACGTTGATAGGTAATTGCAGCTTACAGATACCGTAAAGAGCACCAGCAACTGTGGCAGCACCACCCATATCTCCTTTCATTAATGCCATATTGTTGGATGGTTTTAAAGAAATTCCTCCACTATGATATAAGATTTGTTAGTCATCTGGGGTCTACAGCACCAATAATGATAATAAACAAACAGACTTACGCATCGAAGGTAACACCTATTTTTAAAAAAAGGGTGTATAAATAAAATATTCCTACATACAAATATAAGAGTCATACCTTTTCCGACAAGACCATGAGGTTTATCGCCCTTCTTTCCGCCTTTATAATGAATCTCCATAAATCTTAAAGGTTCAACACTTCCTCTAGCGACAGATAGAAATGCATTCATATTGTGTCTTGCAGCCCATTCTTCATCTCTGACAATAACCTCGACATTTTCTAAGCCGGCTAATAAATAAGCGACTTCTTCGGCAAATAACTTGGGCGTCATCAAGTTGGCAGGTGAGGTCATGAGCATACGAGCCACGTTTTGTGAGGCACCGTAAATCTGTCCGTTAGCCCAATCCAATTCTCCGTTCTCAGTTTCAGAGAATGGTCCTACAACAATATCCTCCTCTTTTGCATCTGACTTCAGTTTGTCAAAAGAAAATTGTGACAACACAGCACCTTCACCCGCACCATGGGCATTTAATGATATATCAATACCGATGTGTTTGGCTCCTTGAGGTTTTAAAGCTTGCAAACCAAGTGCGGTAGCTCTGCGTGCTGCTTCCTGCGTATCCTGAACTTCACTCTTCTTACCAAGTGACACGATCGCAACCTGTTTCATACCACCAATATTGTATAAAGTACGAACATCGCCTGCCTTTTTGAAATTAGACACACGCAAATGTTCTTCAATAAGATTATGAACTTTTTTAGAGATATCTTTGGAAGCTGTCAAAGTAGCTGTCCCATTCTCGGTGTAAGCACCGAGCACTAAAGAATCGTAACATTGAATGTTGCTAAAAAGACGCTTAGTGATGCCGCTATTGGTAACGGCATTTTGTTTAATTGTACCCGACAATCGCAACATTTTAATTAAAAGTAAAGGTGAAAGTAAAAAAAGAAAAGCGGGGGTTTCCTGGTAATCAAATACAATTAGCAGCTTTTTTAAAGCGGTGTTTCCCAACTTTTTAGTCGCACTTTTTCTAACAGTTCTTACAAGTTTAAGGATAGACAGTAAGCGTAACATTATATATTTGACTAAACCAAATGTCCTCTTGAATATCAAGAATTCCACTAATACATATGAAAGACAGCATACTGTACACCTTCATCAATGTTATGCCTATGACTGTCAGTGAATTTGATATATAAATTCAGTCTTCTGGACTTTTTTTTTTTTTTTTTTTTTTTTTCTTCCTCTTCTTTTAAAAGAGAGTACGATGTCAAATAAGGATAATAAGATTAAAAAAAAGCAAACGGAGAAATCTGAAAGAAAATTGGTCAAGAGAAAAATGTATTGGGTTATGGCTTTGGTCAATGTCAACGGAGAAAAGAGAAGATATGCTTTTACGACCGATGAAGATGTATCGTATAAGCTGCTTTGGGAAAAAATAACCTTGATACTTGGAGCTGATGTTCGTGAAATCACTTATTCTCGTGGTCATAACTGCTCTCATGTACTGATTAACAGTGATGAATCTTTATCTTTAGCACTTGAGTACATGGAAGAAAAACGTTTCAATTATAAATTTGGGATAGAAATATGTGTGGATTATTTTAATAATTGTTCAAAAATGAAGAATAACAAGTAATCATTATAGTACTGACATTCTAACACCAAATAAAAAATAGCATGGAAGATGTTCTTACAATAAAGCTCATACTTGCGTATCAATCCCAAACGTATCTATGAATGTGCCCACTATGTGTATTTCTAATTATGGGTAATTATGTAATAAAACTGTTTGAGGAGCAATAGTAACTTCTGCCCACGTTTTTCTTGGCTGCGTTGTGTGGCTATAACTGAGGCAAAAAGGGTTTGCATCAAAAGATATAATACGCTATACGGCCTCATTCATTTGACTGTAGGCTACTTGTTTAATCAATTGATCAGATCTTTGATCTTACATGCATGATGTTCGTATGAGAGATGATTTAGATCATGTTTGTTTATTTATCACAGACCGCTAAGATGACGATATTTTTTGTTTCATAATTAGGCGTGCAATAAATAGTAGATTACTATTACTCGAATTTAATTAGCAACACTGTTTATATAGATTGCTGATATCAGTGGCATGATTATCTGAAAACCTTTAACTTTTAGATCTAAAAACATCCTTATTGAATTCAACGTTTTTTTTTTTTTTTATTTGCAATGATGGTGTCTTTTCTTTTCTTTTTGGTAAATATGTATATGAAAGCGGAGCAATTAAATGATTTTCGACAGCGAATTTTATGTAATATGAAAAGAGAAATATAATAAATGTGTTTTTTTTGTACAGAGATAAATAATGAAAGGTCTTTTAATAGTTCTCACCAACCCAGTCACGAGCATTACGGAACATCTTCAACCAGGGACCGACTTGACCCCAGTTCTCCTCAGCAGGATACCAAGAGTTACTTTCCTTTAATACGACACGTTCAGGATGAGGCATCATACTTAAAACACGGCCGTTAGGTGTTGTAATAGCGGCGATACCACGGGGTGATCCGTTAGGATTGGCAGGGTATTGTTGCGTGACATTACCATAATTATCGACATAGGAAGTGGCAGCCAAATTTTCGATTTGGAATTGCTGCATCTCTTGTTCGTTATTGAAGGTGGCTCTACCTTCACCATGTGCAACAGCAATAGGTAAAATGGAGCCTTCCATACCCTTAAAGAAGATACTTTGAGTGTTGGCTTCAATCTTGACTAATGAAGTACGACCTTCAAATTGTTCGGATTCATTACGAGCAAAACGAGGCCAGTTATTAGCACCAGGAATTAATTCGGCCAATTGACTCAAGAATTGACAACCGTTGCAGACACCTAATGAGAAAGTGTTGTCACGAGCAAAGAAATCTTCGAATTCAGTACGGGCGCGACTGTTCAACAAAATCGTACGAGCCCAACCAGAACCAGCACCGAGCACATCACCATAAGAGAAACCACCACAGGCAGCAATACCAATGAAGTCCTTCAAACTAACTTGTCCAGATATAATATCAGTCATATGAACATCAACACTTTCGAACCCTGCTAAATGGAAAGCAAAAGCCATTTCAATTTGTCCGTTTACACCTTGATCACGAAGAATGGCAACCTTGGGACGACCACCGTTGGGGGTGTTGATAGCAAGTTGTTCTGAGGGTTCAAATGTTAATTGATATTGAAGACCAGGGTCACTTGTATCTAAAACAGCATCGTATTCTTGTTGAGCACAGAGAGCATTATCACGAGCAGATTGCATCAAATATGAAGTTTTACTCCAAGCACGGAAAAGATCTACACGAGAAGCGTTGTAAACAGAGTCACCACCAAGCTTGAAAGTGATGTTATCTTTGGTGTCGTGTTCACTGACGGTACCAATCTTGCGCAAATTGTTGGTGGGAATACCACATTCGGTCATCAAGTTAACAAATTCTTCATAACGAGCAGATTCGATTTGAACAACAGCACCTAATTCTTCATTGTAAAGAGAGGAGACGACATCGCCCTCATTGGTGATATCATCCAAATTCACAACGGCTCCAACATGACCAGCAAAACACATTTCAACAACTGTAGCAAATAAACCACCATCAGATCTATCGTGGTAAGCTAATACAAGAGGTTCGGCGCCTTCAACCTGTTTTGCCTTTTGCATAGCGTTAAAGAAATCTCTCAACAAAATAGCATCCTCGACATCAGGTGCCTCAGTACCAATCTCCTTGAAAACTTGTGTAATAGCAGAACCACCTAAACGCTGCTTACCGTTAGCCAAATCGATTAAAATAAGTTCGGTATTAGGCTTGTTGATAAGTTGAGGTGTGAATGTAGTGTGGTTGTTGACAACGGTTCCAAAAGCAGTAATGATCAATGAAAGAGGAGCAGTGACCTCGTTGGAACGACCTCCTTCGCTCCATTTCATCTTCATAGACATAGAATCCTTACCAACAGGAATAGCAATACCCAATTTAGGACAAAGGTCGATACCAATAGCTTGGACAGCTTCATAGAGACCAGCTCCTTCGCCATCATGATCAGCAGCACACATCCAGTTAGCAGACATGATGACATCCTTAATATCACCAACATGAGCAGCAGCTAAATTAGTCAAAGATTCACCGACAGCCATACGAGCAGAAGCAGCCTGAGACAATAAAGCAATAGGAGTACGCTCACCCATAGCCATAGCCTCACCGGTCATGATGTCAAGGCCCAAAGAAGATGTAGTGACAGCAACGTCAGCTACAGGTACTTGCCAGGGACCAACAAGTTGATCACGAGCAACCATAGCAGTAATTGAACGATCACCGATGGTAATTAAGAAAGACTTAGAAGCAACAGAAGGCAATTGAAGGACACGAGAAGCGGCTTCAGAAAGAACATCATGTTGACCGGGTAAATAAGATTCCAAAGAAGTATCAAACTCTCTTCTGTAAGGAGTTTCTGTCACAGCTTGACGGGACATCTTGGGAGGCTTACCAAACAAAACAGGCATAGGCAAATCAATAGGGACGTTATTCAAAAGAGGATCTTTCACAACAAGACGCTTATCAGCAGTAGCAACACCAACAACAGCGTAGGGACAACGTTCACGAGCACAGAATGACTCAAATTGAACAATCTTGGACGGGGCAATAGCCAAAACATAACGCTCTTGAGATTCGTTACACCAAATAGCCATAGGAGACATGGATGCATCGTCACAAGGAATCTTACGTAAATCGATGGTAGCGCCGAGGTCACTATCATGGACAATTTCAGGCAAAGCATTAGAAAGACCACCAGCACCAACATCATGAATAGATTCAATAGGAGTCTCATCCCCAAGGGCAGTACAAGCATCAATAACTTGTTGTGCACGACGTTCCATTTCAGGATTCTCACGTTGAACAGATGCAAAATCTAAATCAGCACTAGATTGACCAGATGCCATAGAAGAAGCGGCACCACCACCCAAACCAATCAACATACCAGGACCACCAAGAACAACAAGATGGGCTCCAGGATTGATAGGCTTCTTAAAGACATGAGCAGGACGAACTGTACCAACACCACCAGCAATCATGATGGGCTTATGGTAGCCACGAACTTCAGTAGTATCATCAGTCACAGGCACGGTCTCAGCAAATGTACGGAAATAACCAGTCAAACAAGGACGACCGAATTCGTTATTAAATGCTGCTCCACCAAGGGGTGCTTCCATCATAATGTCATATGCAGAAGCAACATGGCTAGGCTTACCAAAATCTGTTTCCCAAGGTTGCACGTTATCAGGGATGAGCAAATTAGAAGTTGTAAAACCGACAAGACCGGCTTTAGGCTTGGATCCTTGACCCACAGCTCCTTCATCGCGAATCTCTCCACCTGAACCTGTGGATGCACCAGGGAAAGGTGATACAGCAGTGGGATGGTTATGAGTTTCAACCTTAAAAAAGAAACCCACGTTAAAAAAAAAATCCCGTGACACATCTGTCAAATATTTACCTTAGCCAGATAATGGACATCCTCTTCATAATGTTCATAAGTATTAGCTTGAGTTGCGTTGGGGGCAAATCGGGTAGCTCTGAAACCCTTCAAGACAGCAGCATTATCAGAGTAGGCAGAAAGTGTAGAATCAGGGTTCAACTTGTGAGTATTTCTAATCATTGCAAAGAGAGAATGAGGTTTTAATTCACCATCGATAGTCCAATCGGCACCGAAGATCTTGTGACGACAATGTTCAGAATTGACTTGGGCAAACATAAAAAGTTCGACATCGGTTGGATTTCTTTGAAGTCCGCTTTGTCCATCTTGACCGACAAAAGCGTCAATCAAATAATCGATTTCATCGTTAGCTAAAGCCAAACCTAAAGTTTTGTTTGCAACCGCTAATTTCTCACGAGCATGTTCACCAGAGACAGATTGTGTTAATAAATCAACGACAGTTAAAGGACCAGGAGCGCCATGGTGAAATACTGATTCAGAAGCAGGAATGATTGTCGATACATTTTGAGTCATACGATCATGAATTAAATCTTGGATGGATTCGATCTCTTGCTTGGTCAATTGGGATCCGTCAGATTTCACAACACGATAAGCAATACCGCGTTCAATACGTTCGACATTATCATAAAGATTACAGAGATGGGCAATATTTGTAGCTTTGGATGACCAAGGGGAAATGGTACCGGGGCGAGGAACGACAAGAGCGATTGTGGCATCCAAAGGTTGATGATTAGTGCTTAAGAACTTGACAATAGATTCAATTTCTTCAATATCGATGGGGTTGTAACCGTAAGTAAGTAACTGGCGTAAAATCTGTCCAGGTTGTAAATGTTCACTTAAACTTCCTTCTTGGCCTGTACGCGCTTGAACAAAATGAATGTGAATAGCTGAAATAGATTCTGCTAAGGGCACAGTCTTTTGAATATATTTTAAAAGACTCGTACTCTTAAACGCTGAAAGAGCAGAAGTACCAGGAATAACCAACATTTTTTTTTTGAAATAAAGAGAAATGAAAAAAAAATAACGGAAATTATGTGCATTTTTAAAAAGAGCGGCTTCCAATTTTTCTTTTCCCGCAAAATCTATCTAAAATTTAAACAAGTCCCCAATGACTCAAAGATGATGGCACAAAAAAAATGGGAGTCAGAGATTTCGAATGACTATTCCTATTGCAGTTGATTGAAAGTCACACAACGTTGTTATTGATGTACATTACTCGTTGCTTACGCATCCATTTGTTAACTTTCATAACACGAACAAATTTATGTTATGATATTTCTCGAGTCTTATGACTGTCAGGATAATGTAAATGTGATACGTCTTTATAAATACATAGATCGATAGTTGCTGTTTGATCCCCCAAAATGAGAGTCCGTCTTAGGTTAAATCTTTAATGTTCAGAAGATCTCACAGAAGTCTTTCATCTCCTTTCACGTATAAAATTGTACGATTTATGCTGTGAGTATAGGTGTGTCTTCTCAAGCGCTCAATCCCATTACAGTCGGGGTGTAAAAATAAATATACTTGACTCTTCTGCCATGACGAGTTTATGGCGTAATCGTATTGAAGTAAGCTAGACACGATTGAAAAACTGACGTGATTTTGTTTGATACAATCGCCGTAAAAAATTATATACTTGGAAGGACAGCAATTGCATTACATTAGTATGTTTAATAACGTAGACATACCTATTTTTGCAGCTGCCATTGACAATGATCAAAGCTATTGTCGTCCCATGCAACATTGATTTATCTCCGATAACATTCTATTATCTGAAGTTCTTATTGATAAATTACTGAAGTTCTTATTGATAAATTACAATGTAAATGCAGCAGATATTTGACACATAGCCGCTAGCCAATCATCCCTCATGTTTGTGAAGAAAGAGTATAAAATAATTTTCCCTTTAGGTGAAATGTCCCAGTTTAATATACTTGCCTGTTAGCGCGATATGACAAATACTTACTGGCTCGCTCCAAGTAAACTGACTTCACATGTCTAGAGATGATTGGCACAGCCTTCGATCAGGTATACAAGATTAAAGACAGGTTCGAGTTCCGGTGGCATTCAGGAATTGTTCTCCATCCGCTAAAAAAAAAAAAAAAATAGGAAACACAAACTAACAAAACCCTTTACTGCTTTGGGAATCATAAAAGTCACAGGCTGATATTAGAGGAGATCAAACTTGTTTTATTTTCTTTATTTCTTTCTGTAACTTTAGCTAAATGAATTACCTGGAGGAAGCATTTGCAAACCTGAAATTAGATCAAGTTGAGGAATTAAACCAACGAGCACAAGAAGAGTCGGTCGAGACGAAACCTACTGCTTCTCCATCGTTAACACCGAGAGAATACCAATATGAGATTTTTAAAGAAGCTGTGAAACAAAATACAATCGCTGTATTAGATACGGGAGCAGGGAAGACGTTGATTTCAGTCATGCTTATCAAACACATGAGAGCTATCGAAAATGAAAAGTATCGTGCCTCTTCAACCTATAAGGTATATAATCGAATTTGAGTTTCGAAAGGATGGTATTTGTATTTATTTGACTTGACCTGTATAGCGTAAGATCACATTCTTTTTGGTTGAAAGGGTTCCGCTTGTTTTCCAGCAAGCAAGTGTGTTGGAAGCCAATTGCGATGCTCGTATTGAAAAATTATGCGGAGAAATGAATGTAGATGTGTGGTCACTCGAAAAATGGCGGTCCATACTGGACAATGTCGATATTTGTGTAATGACCGCACAGATCTTTTTGGATATTTTGCAACGAGCTTTCCTGTCCCTTGATGAAGTAAACATAAATATAACGTTTATTAATCAAGATTTATTGACAACAGTTCATATATTAGGTAAACCTGTTGATATTCGATGAATGTCATCATGCTGTAAAGAATCATGCTTTTAATCTCATCATGTATCAATTTTACCACTCCATCGTAGCTCCACATATATTACCAAAAGTGTTTGGCATGACGGCCTCGCCCGTTTTTTCAACAAAAAAAGACATTTACACAAGCATTAGGCACGTATTATGAATTCACTAATCCTTATACATCAACTCATAATATTTTTATTATTACAGTGTATTGGAAACTAATCTCGATTGTAAAGTCTATACTGCGAAGAACACTTTAGAATTGAGAAGTGCAATTAAAAAAGCTTCTGAACCTGTTATTTACTACTCCATGTCAGTAATTGATGATTTACCCCCACAGGTACCTAACTCTAAAGAAAAGCAATCTGTCCCATTACGCTACAATGGAAGAACCGTGTTGACTACATTGATTGATAGTAGAATCCGAAAGGTATATGGCTACGACAATTGTTTGTCTGTTATAGATTACATTTCCAATAATTTGGGGCCCTGGTGCTCTGATAAACTATGGAGAGAAATGCTACAGGGAGCTCATATACATGGTCTATATACAGACAGTTATGCACCACATCGCTGCCTCTCTTTAGAGGATTCTGACTTGGTAAAACAAGCTTACGAATTATGTACACCAGTTACTCCTAATCCGGATATACGAAATGAACGTCTGTTCACACCAAAAGCTAAAGAATTAATCAACTGTCTAAGAGCCATTCATATCCAACCCAATTTCTGCGGCATCATTTTCGTTGAAAGAAGGCATACAGCAAAATCGATCAAAATTTTAATAGATGCCTTAGATGTCTTCAAAGATACGATTCGTTGCGATATCCTGATCGGGCATGGTGGCTCAAGTCGTGGTGATGTGCGCATGAAATTCCATGATCAAATTTCTGTAATCCAAAAATTCAGAACAGGCGAATTGAACCTTCTTGTTGCTACAAGTGTAGCCGAAGAAGGTCTAGATATCCAATCCTGTAATTACGTTATTAGGTAATACAATATTATTCTTTTCGAATAAGAAAACAAAGTAATACATTTTATTAACACTTGTTATAGATTTGATTTGTTCAAGACTTTACCTGCGTACATACAATCACGCGGAAGAGCTCGATGTAAGAATTCTAAGTATATCCTGATGATTAACTCTCTCAATCCAAAAGAGATGAATCTATTAAACAAATTTAAGTTACAAGAAGATCAAATGAAACAACTATGCAATTTATTACCAGAAGAACGCAACGTTGCTCGACTATTTGACACAGGAGAAGATATAAATACTGAGCTAATTAAGCAGACATCAATGGAAGAACATTTACGAGGAGCCTATAAAATTCCCAAAACAAATGCTCTTTTGACACTCTCTGGTGCAATTGCGCTCGTCTATCATTATTGTGCTACTTTACCATCCGATGAATTCTGCCAGTTTAAGCCTGTATATCGGTTTGAAAAAGTTTCGTCTGACGACGAAAATCCTTTATTTCGTTGTATCTTAACGTTACCCATTAACTCGGTACAGCAACAATTCGAAAGCTATGACGCTTCTAGAGATAGTGTCAAGAAGAAGATCTCTTTGGAAGCTTGTGTTGCGTTACACAAAACTGGTGCCATTGACGACAATCTTGTGCCAGTCAATAAAAAAATCAAATTGAAAATAATTTCACAAGAAAGAGATGAGGACGGTAAACAAGTCGGTAGCCGCGGTCGAGAGAATGTATATTGTAAAAAGATTCCATCTTTCTATACCAGATCTATTAGGGAAGAACTTTCATTATCTCCATACTACATTGCGTTTATCGAAGTAGTAGATGACCCAAATTATCGCAAACTATGCTTGATTACAAAAAGTCCTATACCTGTTATTTCGAATATAATGTTATCCGATGGTAGCCAAGTATGCATAACCACTGTAACAAGATTTATATTTCAAAAGATGCAGCAAGTGGAGCTACTGGCAGACTATATGCTTGCAGTAACCAGATCTGTTACCAACAAAGAGTTCACCTGCCCTCGAAAAGATGTTCCATATTTCATTGTCCCGCTTGAAAAAAACAACCAGGCTTTTGATTGGAAGGAGATGAAAAGGTCAATTGAAAACAAAAAAACACCTTTGGATCCTTCGTGTAAAGATGCCATTGTCTATGATTCCAGTAGTGGCAAGCAGTATTTTGCAAACGAGTTTGAAAGAAGTCTCACACCCAACTCAATCGTACCAGAGAAGGAATATTCCTTCATTGACTATTACAAAAATAAGTACGGTATAACAATTAAAGACTTAAACCAACCTTTATTATCTGCAAAGAGGATACTCAGAAACAAACCAGAAGAGGAACAAAAAACATGTTATCTTATACCAGAATTGTGCCAAGTGCATTCAATCAGTGCAAGTGTCTACCGTAGTTTAGAGATACTTCCTATTATTACATCACATATCGATATCATGTTAACTGCTCAAGATGTGAAGCAATTGCTAAAATTGAATATGGTAAAGGATTCGCTTATGGCGGAAGCATACATTGCTTCATCTGCTGATTTAGACAGAAGCTATCAAAGACTCGAATTCTTGGGGGGTAAAGAAAGACGCACTAATTATTTTATATGATTTAACTAAGCCCTTTTTTTTTCAAAAAATTTCTCATAGATTCCGTGCTCAAATTAATCTCATCGACACTTGTATTTACACAAAACGTGCATAGTAATGAAGACGCATTGACTGAATCTCGCATATCGATGATTAGTAACAAAGCGTTATTTGAAACGGCGAAAAAACTAAAGCTTTATCAATACATTTACAGCCAGCATGTTAGTCGTCGATTTTGGCGCCCACCTCATTTCAAAACCGATTCAGATAGTGAACAAATGACAAAAAGTATGAACTTCCATAAACTATCGGACAAGACGCTAGCGGATATTATTGAATCTACTTTGGGAGCAGCATATCATAGTGATTCGTCATTGTCTGTAGCTTTACATGCAGCTATTCAATTAGGTGTTCCCCTGCACAATGTCCGCGTTTGGTCGGACTTTCACAAGACCTTTCAGAGACCTTTGTCACGCTACGATGCGACGTTACGAGAAGTGGATGTCCAACGTGTCACTGATATTATTGGGTATCAATTCAAGGATTCATCATTGCTTGTTGAAGCGCTTACTCATGCTAGTGTACCAGTATCTTCTGTACCATGTTATCAACGTCTGGAATTTCTTGGTGATGCTGTACTTGATTTTTGCGTAACCATTTATTTGTTTCGAAAGTATGGTACCGCACCACCGGGTCAACTTCATAATCTCCGGAAATCCAGTGTCAACAACAACATTTTAAGTGTCCTATGCGTTAATTTGAAGTTACATGGCCATATCCGACACGCATCTGATTATCTTGTATCTGAAATAAAGTATTTCGTTGAACAATTAGAGAATGCAATGGACACAAATGGCGAGTATTGGTTGGATTTCTATCCACCCAAAGTATTGTCAGATGTAATTGAAAGTTTGATTGGTGCTGTCTATACGGACTGTGGTTTTAAAGTCGAGCCGGTGATTAACCTAATTGAGAGGTGGTTGGAACCATTATTAGAGGAGCATATTTCTTTGGAATTGATACAAACGCATCCAGTTGAAAAACTAAAATGTTTGGCACAAGCGTATGGATGTAATCAATGTGAAACAAGGTAGCGAGAAGAAGTAAAAGCCGATAAAATCGTATATTAAACTAATTAATTGGATAGGAATATTACCCAGCCCAATGGTCCACAAAAATCTGTTGTATTTATTCATGAGAAAGCATTTACCAGCGGATCAGGATTTAATACGAGAGAGGCTCGAAAGCAAGCAGCGACACGAGCTTGTGAATTATTGACAAATGAGACATTCGCTCAATATTGCAATTGCAGGACCCCTTCATATTGACTTTTAAAATTTGTGCACGGGTTTTCATAAGTTTTTTTTTTTTTTTTAATCTCAAAACTTGTTTACGATTGGTAACACTATGGTAATATAATATCTTTTATTTCATTTTCGTGCCCGCATTTTTTTTTTAAATTGTGTATCACATTTCCCAGATAATAAAGTTCATATTTTGTGCTTATAATTTATATACATATATATAATGATCGAATGACGAAAGATTTGTAAACATATATGCATAATAGATGATTTTTAATGAAATTGTTGTTGTTGCATAATTTGGAATTGTTGATATGTTTGTTGGGGAGGATAATTTGGCTGGAACTGTTGTTGCGGAGGGATAATGTGTTGCGGAGGGGCAATACGGTGCTGTTGTGCGGAAGCCATGTGCGGAGGGGCAATATGATGCTGTTGCGGGGGGACAACATGCTGCTGCCGCTGTTGTTGTTGTTGTTGTTGTTGAGGCTGTTGCTGGGGGATGATATGCTGTTGTTGCGGGGGAGCGATATGTAAAGGAGGGGTGATCTGCTGCTGCTGAGTAGGTGGTGGGCAATGTGCTGTATTATGCTGTATTTGCCTTTGTGGTATTGCACGATTATGCTCGACAGCAGAAGGATATTGAGCGGTCAATAAGGTGGGATCTAGTTCGGTACTAGAGGAACTTATGACGCTGTTCCTGTTTCTCGCATTAAGCTGCGCTTTCGTTTTTCTTAATTGTTTTCTAAGCTCTTTAAATTCAATGGGTAATCGTTTTGGACCCTGATCAAAGGATTAGAGATAAAAAGGTAGAAAATGATTATTGGATTGGTACCTTACATGTTCTTGCATGGATATATGTGCATTTAAATGGTTCAATGTGCCATAAGATTTGGTACAGTTATAAAAATTACATTGATATAGTCTTTCAATTTCATTAAATTTTCTTCTGGGTCTCTTTTGCTGAAATACGCTTTCAAGTGGCATAAATGAATAGATTCGATTTTGTTCTTGTTCTTCGAAAGGAGGGTAGTAGGCAGGCGTGGGTGGTTGATAGGTATTAGGTCTATGATAATACTCAATAGAACTATTGTCAGCCACACTATTATAATCCATTTGCCTAGTATCATTAGAGTTCTTATTCGGTACTAGCCGATCTAACGGGGGTAATGATCGCATATATTCCGTAGGTTGCTGATACATGATAAAATCATTTTGCGGTCCTGGTTTCTTCTCTTTCTGTTGCTGTTCTGGTTTCGATGTATCCATCTAGAAAGAAAGGAAAAAAAGAAAGAGAAAGAGAAGCAAAATAAAAATAAATTATATTGGCGTTCTTATTACGCAAAAAAAAAAAAAAAAAAAAAAAAAAAAAAAAACTAGACTTTACCCTTTTTGATTATATTCTTGGACTGGGTCTTTTTTTTTTAATATACGATAAAATGGTCGATCTCTGCGTAATACAAGTAAAAAAAAAAAAGACTTTTTTATACCCTGCCATTTCTGGTAAAGGGAGATTGCTACCTTGAAGCCTTTGCATGTAGAATAAACAGCACACGTGTTTGTCAAAGAGTAAAACCTCTTGAAAAACTGAAATGGAACAACAAGCGGAAGAGAAGACAAGAATGTGAGTGAAAATAAATCCAACAAATTTATATACATGTACTTTTGTTCAGGGATGTGAAACCGCATACTAAAAGGCAAGGCATTTCAGGAGTTCTCTTAGTATTGGATTGTGACATTAGATGGATATACCTGATTAATTCGAGTACAATGTGCTTTGGTGTATAGAATATACTAGAATGCGGATATTATAGTACCTACTGTAAAGTTTGATACAATACCCATTGTCTCGTAAGATAAGACGGGTTTTATTAGTCATCATCGTGTATTATATCAATAGTGTTTATTGTTTGATCACACTGTTTCTTGCGCCTTGTTAAACATTGGCTTCATGTGTCGATCACACGATTTAAAAATATAAGATTTGGTTAGTTTGTTGTGCTCTCCGGAGCGGAAAATCTCATGTAACAGTGACAATAATGCAAAGCGGAAGATCTGATCTTCAGGCAATTCAAGGTATCATTTATAATAATATCTTGGCATAAATAAAAATAATTTTCGTTGTTTGATTAAATAGATTAAAGCTATTTCAGCGTTTAACAATTAAATTTGATGATAACAAAGAGAAAAGGGCAATATTCTTGATCATGTTTTTTGTCGAGAAGATCCCATTTGAAAATGACGTTTATCGCCCCACGCACCCCCCTTATTGGCATTGTGTAATTTCGCAGATGACTCTATTTATTCCCGGTTTATTTTGCCGTTTTTGTTACTATTTTTAGGATTTTCTGCGCGAGGCTTTGAGGGACATATTTTCAATCAATAATACAAATGTTAAATGCTTTTATCAGCCGGAGCTGATTGCTATGTGGGAAGACATATGCATTTATTCTACATTAGGATAAATGATTTTAGTAATTTCATTGTCTCCCCGTGACAACAATAAATAAGAATCCAGCATTTTCTTTTTTCTGGTAATTTCCCCCCTTTTTCTTTGAAGAAAAAGAAACAATTCTGTAACATGTGTAACTGTTTGTAAAGCAAAATGGTGCTAGTCTCAATTATTTGGTGCTAGTTGGGTGTCACAGGCATGTAGATTTAAATATATTTATGATGAATCATTCACTAATTTCTATATCCCTTTTCTTTTTGCCGTAACCAAGAGAATCATTTCACTTCTCTAACAAGATATATATATATATATATCATGTCGTAGCCAAGTGACGTGTTAAGAGTAAAAAACCTATTTAAAATAGACAGCGTTTACAAAAATAAAAATAAAAGACGAAAATAAGTGAGGATATTCAATCAAACCTTGATTACGTGCAACAATGTTGGCTGAGGTCAGAGTAAATAAGGTATATGGTATTTTCTGTAAACTCATAGTTGTATACACTACCTTCATTTAATTCGAATAAATTTATTTCCATACAACGACATAGATGATCGAATAATTTTAATCTTGAAAAGCATCACCACCAAAAAACGATAGTACTGTAACTGAATGCGTATGAGTGATATATGCTAACAATATATAAAAATAGATGAGCATATATATTCATCAGCTGGTATTATTATGACGTATGGGCTCATCAAAACACAAACCATCAATATTATTCACATATTCCATCGATTGTGAGCACAAGAGCTTTAATTCTTGGCTCAGGTAGCACCAATAGAGCATAATTCCCTTACACCGACTTATCGATCACCAAATAACTTTATTAGAAGACCCGTTAATAGACCGTCTTACCGTGAGTGGAATGCAGATGGAAATTTTATATTTTAAAATCTTCCTTTCTTTCGTTACCTCCATATTTTATGGATTATCTATTCTATCCAAGCTGATATAACAACAATACAGATATGGTGCTAACTTATAGTTTGATTTAGAACGAAATGAATCGAGTCGTCATGCCAATCAAGGACGCATTGGCACAAAAAGATGCCAGTCATAAGTCAAAATCTGGTAAGCTCAGGCTTAGGATAATCGCATTTTTTACATGGAATTACTTGTTTTTGGCTTTTTATATTAATCACAGCGAAAAATAGTAACAAGTATCTAACTTTTTTTTGTACCTCGCTCGAGTACATACGCGTACCGTAAAAAATTGTTAGTATTGATTTATCGCTAACAAGCCAATTGTTGGTATAAAATTGCATGCAACATGAGAGTTCTAAGAATAGATAGCCTACATTTTGGACGCGACAGATTTTTCTTAAATACCAAGTTAAGTACAAAAATCATCACTTTCATCAAACAGGATCCTATATTTTTCAAAGGAGTCTTCTGTAACCGGGCATAAATGTCTTGTGAAATTAAGTTTTTCAAGTGTTTAGAAACGAGTAAATGAAGGGGTTCCTAAGCGAAGGACTCTAGTGACAATAGACACAGTTATAAAAAATTGTAAAGAAAAGCATTACTGACACCTATCACAGGTTAGGTGCTCTATCTCATTCGCGATTATATATCTTCTGTTTATATTTTAATAACCCGAAGGTCTTAAAGAATATGCTCGTTGAGCTTTCCATATCATCATTATTATTGAGGAAATTTACCATTCATGTCTTTAAAATATCTGGCTGGAATATCATCTCTGTCAAACTCAATTGCCCCAAAGGTTATGTCTTTTGATTCTAGAAAATGACAAATTGGCTGCATTATTCTACCTCGCCCGTGCTAATTTGGCTGAGGATGTAGTAATCTTTATTTAAGTCTACTTATCTTTTATCAAAGATGACTTTATTGTACTCAACTCTTTTATATATTTAAGAAGAGGTAAACCTGACGTTTAAAACATTCGAACCCAATTCCAACTTCTTCATCTTGATTTTCCTAGAATTAAGAAAAGCCTTATACCCCCCTTGCATCACAATAATCACTTCCCCAAAAAGCAAAAAAAAAAAAGGATGATTGCCGTAATATGTAAATCCTTTTATTTTGTTTCTTTTTTTTTTCTTCCACGATAAAGTTTGTAAAAAAATGAACAAAGAAATAAGTTACTATAGTTAGTGACACGCTCATAATGTTTACACTCTAGGAAGTTGTTAAAGTATATGCTTCAATTCACACACACACAGTCGGTATCGACATACTTTAGAACGTCTTCTGTATTGTAATACTCACTTCTCGATGGTCATCCCTGGGGTAAAGAAACAAAAATGCTACAGTAAAGGAGAAAAATTATCAAGTTAAATAGGTATTATCCGGTGTCTTTCAGGCAATGAATTTAAACAATTTTTCTATCACTTACAATATCACCCTTTATTTCAGTACTTGGCTCTCTCTTGTTTATTATATGTTCTTATTTGCTATGTAAGTAACCCAATATTATTTTTTAATCACATTAGCGACGAGGCAGACTTGTGATATGCCAAATGTAATTTAAGATTGAGAACAATGAGGCTGTAGTGATTCAAAATATTCATTCTGTAATACGACATATGATTTGAGCTATTAGATATGCTACGACCCAGAGGTCCTTTTATATCAACGTCTCTTAAAGGCTAACAACAATTCATTTTCAGTATGTAGACCGTATTTTATTTGTGAAATAAATACAGGAATTATTATTGAAAGTAAGAAATTGACAACAGTTGCGGGAAGGAGAAGATCACCTTTACATATGTTGAAATGCAATACATTTTTGGCCATGTGTGCCGATTAATAATGTAACATTTAGCTCTTGCTTTTAAAACTGGTCAGACCACCCAGCTTGTTTTATTTTAAAAGTCGTTTCCCCAATAAATTGTTTACTACACCATTTGCTTAATGGTAAACCTTTTCTTCATCATTTATATTAACCTATTCTGGCCACTGTGGCTAGAGATTTTTAATAATCAGCATCGCAATTATTATTATTATTATTATAAAATGATAATCCGAAGTCTGCTTTAAAAAAAAATATGGTCTTATCAAAGATAAAACTCTGTGTAGTCAGTAGCGAATTCACCTCTGCAGATTATATCAGACATAAAAACGATTGATTAGTAATGAATAGAGCGTAAATTATTAAAAAAGTGTTGAAAATTTACTCGATTGCAAATAGAATCACACACTAGTTTAAATTATCTGCTTCACAAACAAACGATATTGTTATTCATGTTACAAGTCGTATATTGATTTCATAAGTTTACGTATACTTCTTGGTGCTACACTTTCATTTTGCTGAGTTGCAATTATGGAAACTTGTGATGTGTATACATTTTACCGTATCTTCAATAAACTTTAGCCTGCTCTTCTGCTACATTTTAATTATAGTTTATAAGTTCCTTGACTCGCTAACGTACAAAATGGTGTTTATCAAAACTTTTAAACTACATAAATCATGATATACCATTAATTACCGCATTTGGAAATCCCGTGAATATTACAAAAATAAATAATATCGTCTTACTGTGAGTAGATACAGATAGGCATTTGGTAGATATAAGTAAAACGTTTATTTAAATAAATGAGTTAAGCCACAATAGTCTATCCGCAAAACATTAATACGAGTTAGACCGAAACTATGCATATAAATAATATTTGCCCATTTTAACAAAACTGTCATTATGACAATAATCTAAGGAGGCAAACAAATACCATTTTTTTGATTTTAAGCGGAATTTGCCACACAAAATAGGGTGTGTTTAGCAGGGAAAAAAGTATACTAAGCTATAAACTCTTTAGTGGTTTTAAGCCTAAATTAAATAAGCTCAAACTCAGGCTGATACCATTTTCCACGTGGATTTACTTGCAATCAAACAGATAGAGACGTGTAAGACGGATACATGGGCTCAGCACTTCTTATGTTGTAAAACGGGGTATTTTTTAAGACGACAAGATTTATTAGCTCACAATTTTTTATAGTTACCTCGGGTACCAGCACCTTGGACCTAAACCATCCTAACGCTAAGCAGATTATTTTGGGATTTAATGCACTGACACGCTATTTGGTATGTTTATGCAAAATAACAGAAATTAAGTTTAGACTATTCCTTGTATGCGACGTGTTTTGTGGTCACAGATATACAAGACTTAAAAAAACAATAAGTTCATATGCCAAGACTTACAAGACGACGAACGATGGGTCATTACACAAAAAAAACCCATGACTGTATGTAGTTAAATTGATTGTCTTGTGCAATTACAGTTTTTCATGTGGTTCGTTTATAGATACAAGTGATCGACCTGTGAATAGTGACAATCAGCACAGCGCAAAATAGATTTGGCTCATATCGGACAAACAAGCTAAATTTAGCTTGTATAAATTGGGAAAAATCTGTACCAAACCATGTTTGGAAAACTTGGTGCCTAATGCAGCTGGAAATGAGGTGGGAAAGACGTGACTTGATGAGATGTCATACTGTACAATTCATAGATGACACTATTCAGTCAGTATGGATACGTAACTGGGAAGGTTAAATCCTTGAGAGTCTCACCCGTTTTTATTTCAATTCCTAATCAAAAAACGTATGAGGTCTGAGCTTGGAGTTCAAGTAGATCTAGGTTCTATTGCATAAGCCAAATGACAGCGGAAGTTATAAAATAAAAAATAAAAATTGATCGACAAGCTTCTATGAGATTTATGTGTGTGTAATTTTTATTTATTTAAATTCTAATGCCATGAGGGGGGATATTAACTATTTGAACAAGAAAATTTTTCAAGAGTAGGAAGAATCAATTCAGAATGAGGATCAAGATTTCCCATGTAATCAGATTGGGTATTTGTGGGTGTTAAAAGTGGAGATTGTAAGCCATTGGACGAGTTCTCTTCTGGTGTTAACAAGGGTGTGCTGTGTGTATTGGCAAGACTCTGAGCCAGCAGAGTTTCGTTAACATTTAACAGCGATTGAAGATATTCAGGTGAAGGACCTGTATTTTCTGATAACATATTGTTCATAAACGGGTGTGTTTTGTTTTCAATACACCTTGTTGTTGTCATTGCTATTGATTCCTCTGTTGTTGGAATGGTTGGAAGATCAAGAGAACCTAACCATCCGATGCCTGCACCACTACATAGACTCATTAGTTTCTAATAAATATTTTGTCGTATACTGTCAAGGCTTACCTTTCTTCCCATTCCTGACCCATCATTTGCATAACTTTTTCAAGTTTTTCACGTTGAACTTCTAATTCTTGGAGGTTTTTATCATAATCAAGTATAGTTTTATCCATCCGTGTGTGAATTTTTTTGAATAGAGAAAGAGAAAAATAGAAAAAAATAAAAGGGGCAAATAAACAAATTTTTATTGGAAGATGAAATAATAAAAAAAAAAAAAGTGACTTCTATTGGATATTATTTTTATTCAAGCAAACCAAGGAAGCCTTCTATCTGATTCCTATCCATATCGATCAACATGTTTGTTTCACCCCAATCTCTTCTTCTTCTCTGAATGGTTGGTTTACGCATTGTGACCGGTCTATTCTTGTTATGTAATTTAGCATATAATCCACAGGCGTTACAGATAGGTTCTCCATGTTCATTTTTACGCCATAATGGTGTTTTTGTTTGTTGACAATTTATGCATTCAATATTTGATTCGTCCATCATCTGTTGCTTTGGTGATGGTTGCCTTGGTGGCGGTGATGGTAAATTGACAACAAAGTTATTATATAATGGTTTCGAATGAATTAATTTATGTCGAACATGTAGCGGCCTGTGTGAACTGTATTGTTTGTAATATAATCCACATGCATTGCAAAGTGTTTGAGTCCTATCAGGTGTTCTACGCCATAGTGGGGTCTTGGTCACTTTACAGTTAAAACATTCTAAATATTTTTTGGGCTTAGAAATCTTGTTCGTTGCGACTCGGATAGGTAATGTACATTGCCCTGGTATTTGGACCTTTTTATTGTACGTCTTTTTCTTTATAATTGGCTGGATATCCATGTAATAAGGCGGACTATCACATCCAGATGAAATTGAGCTAGGTGAACTAGGCTGTTGATAAGTTGGGATAGGTGTTGCTAATAATTGTTCTAAAGATATATCCTTTGGTTCAAAATAAAAGTTGTGATTGAATAGATTGAACTGGTCTTGAAGTGAAAATTCTTCTTGGTAATAGCTATTGTAGTTCATACTAGTGGCTTTTTCTTTTTTAAATTCTTGGGTTTTAACTGGGTAGCGATATAAGTTTTTTGTTTCTCTCTTTCGGGTGCGGGTTTCTTTTATGATGTTCTTTCTGGGTTTTCTTGATCAGGCGACGTCGTTTCCTACGTGTTTTCCGTTAAACATATAATAATAAGACATAGTAAAAGTTGGGGTGAGTGTTCTCTTTGGGATTAATAAGTGTAGTTTTTTTGTTGGGTTTAAAAGGGTTTAATAATTAATATGGCAAGTTTTTAGATAAGAGGGTAAGGCTTGTTAATAGCAGCAGTGCATCGCCTTTACAATGCACGACAGGGAAATGGGTAGATGGGGAAAACAAAAAGAAATTGAGAAAGAAAAGAAGGCTAGTACTGAATTCCCGGCTTACTAACTCTTGAAAATTTTTTATTAAGACCGACTCCAAAGTTGGAAAGCCGATGAAGCTTGTGGCCCGAAGCAAGACCTTCTGACATATCATGTATCATTTTTAACTAAAGCTGAATTTTGTACTGTTTGATTGTATCAGCCATCAACAAATGGTATGATTGTTACGCTAAAATAGCTTTAATTAATACCAAAACATTCTGCAGTTGGTAGCAAGTATATAATAAAACCACCCAGCCACGGAACGAAATACATCCTAATAACATCACGCGACCAATAGGTTTGCCTAATCTTTACAGCTGTAACTAAAGAATTCCCACAATCAAGGTACACAATTAAGCTTATTTCCGGCATTCTAAATAAAAAAAGGGTTTTGCACAGTTTCGAAACTTACAGGAGATAATTAATATTTTGTAATATGCATCGAGCAATAGTATTATGCAACACTGTACGTAGCTTACACTATTTTCAGAAAATATTAGATCAAAATGTAAAAAAAAATTCGTTCACAAATAAAAAAATAATTCGTTCACAACGTAAAAAAAAATACGTTCATCTTCCGAAAAAAAAAAAAATTGAGCTTACCACTTAAGTGTATCTATGGTTGACCTGCGATAACAGGCCTGGAAAATTCTAGTTGCGACGTTGACGAACATTTCTAATATTTGCTTGTTCATAATGGGAAGCAATTAAACACAGGTAATTCTATATCAATAAATGATAAAGCCAGTTCGTAAAAAGCTCGCATATGCTCAACTGGTCTTGCTTTGGAATCATAATAAATGCTATTCCCACGAAACCGGTAGTCAACGGGATAACTGGTAAGGACAGGGCGAAGAATTTCAAGAGCGTTATTGTAGATAGGGTCCCCGAACTGCTCTCCGTCCAATACAAAATCTTGAGGTAACCTTCTAGCTATAAGTTCCTTGAATCTTGTCGCCGGCTCAGTTATTTCTCTGTATACTTCAGATTTTATCAGTGCATCAATTAATCCTTCACGTCTTCTATAAGCAATTAATTCGGCTTTTCTTTGTCGAATACGAAGTAGATGATTAACAGCTTGTCTAAGATGACTTCCCAAACGCATCTGAACATTGTTGCTATAAGATGTAAAGATCTTTGCTCCTTCGATTAAAGATGCTTGCTGACCATAACGGAAATCTGGTGGAACAAAACCAGTGACCTCCAAATAGTCATCAAGATAAGTGTCAATGAATGCACGAGTCGCCCCAGTTCTTCCGCCAGCCCTTCCTCGTGCATACCGAGTCAGTTTGAGCCAGACCTCTGCAAAAAAATCACGATTGATACATCGCCTGATATCAAAGTTCTCATCTTCTTAAATGGCACGCAAAAAAATGTACTTTGAGAGTGAGTATGCGTGTGTAGTGATGTTGTGGACTGTCACTACATATTCTTCGAGCCTTTCACGTTGCTCTGGGTCCCAACCAATACCATCAATAGAGGATTTAACAGATATAATACGATCGCCAGGAGCCAAAGAGCTAGATGTGCTCATATTGCTTCCAGGTGTACCCGGCGTACCAGACAAGGATCTATCAGAGTCCATGCTGGTAAAAAAGGGCAGTTATTTGAAGTAAGAAATTCGCTATAATAACATGTTAGATAAATGTCACTCATTTTTGGATTGGTTGTTACAATATTTACCTTTTACGTACAAAGTATTATGAGTTTGAGAATAAAGATAGTTATACGTAAAATAATAAAGAAAGAGAAAAATAAAAATTGAGTAAGGATTGAGGTAAACTTTTTTACCGACTATTTATATAAGATTTCATTGTTCATTTCTGACTTTTAAAAGGGAGAAAAACAAAGAACAATGAAATTCGCATGAAGCAGTAATAAATACACTTTTTCTAGCTTTCATTTTATATATATATCTTTTGCAAGAAGGTGCATACCTCATATTAATTATAGAAAAATTCGGATTGCCCAGAAATTATACGAAAGCAAACGGAAAATAATTGTGTCATTCAAAGTAAAATCAAAATTGGTTGAAATACCCCTAATACATACAATGAAATAAAACTTTATTTCAAGTAAAACTCTAAATACCAAGTACTTGTCTGAGCGTTTTTAGGTCTTTTGTTTGTAGTGTGTCAAAAAAAAACCAGTTTACCGTTTTAGGGTGTCAGGTAAGGAAGGAAGTCTGGTACATCCATATATTTATCCACTTATACGTTTGTTACCAATAACTGTGTCGTTCATGACGAGGTAGTGGCATTTAATTTACTCTTGGTAACGCAACACATCTAAAGGGGGGGGGGGGTTGCTACCCCTCGCTTCCCTTATGGGTGAATAACAACAATATCAAGTTTTTCTCGTTTGTGCGTATCAAAATAGGCCTAAAAAGAAGACAATAATTATTTGGTTTAAACCCAATCGTTCAATTTTCAAGAGCAAGCTCGAGCAGGTTAGTCTTTTGGATGAAGTGACATTAAATTAAAGTCATATTATACGCATACAATAGTGCACTTATTCGGGTCCTTCAATATGATGAAAAATTGTTCTTCTACTTTTAGCAGTATACCCATTTAATGATAACAGATATATTTCTCTTTCGTTCATTTCGTTTGTAAACTATGCATGGAAAATTAATTTATTCTAAGCGTGCACGAAAAATTTATGAAAATAGTGTATATCATCCCATTTGAAACACGTTCAGTTTTTGTTGCTAAAACAAAGTATTAAACATTTCTTTCTGATTCAAGCATATAGTGACTGTCAACTTCTTTTTGTCTGCTTTAAGATGAATAAAAATAAAATAGCATTCCCTCCAAAAGACGATGATCCGTTCAATGGTCCAGCTACTGAGGTATTGAAAACAGATGACGCTTGTACAGCCTTTATTAAAGTTACAATTACAGGAACCTTCCCTACTGTGGCCATCATCAACAGACACGCCTAGATGGCATTTGCTCACTGATCAAGAGCAAAGGGAACAGGATCAGCAAATTGGAAAATTAGGTACTTACTTTTATCCTCTTTTAGTTCGACTATATTAATCTAAAAATTTACAGAATCCAAGTTAAAAAGACTTGATCAAAAGAAAGATAAAAGTATCCGAAATTATACGAATGAAATTTTACCAGGTAAATCAAATTTCGCCATATATCAATGAGAAATCTCATATATGTGTCACTATAGATGTGTCATATTTGTCATCGGATAGTGAGGCAGAGGACGGCCATATTGATGAGGAAGGATTGCCTCTACTTTGGAAGAATAGATTATCCGACTTAGAACAAATACCTAGAAAGACAGAGGATCAATTTAAAAGCCCATGGTGGTCATTATTCAATTGCTGCTGTTCTTAACTTCCAAATATTAAATTACAAGTTTGGATAAATCACTGAAAAAACATGTAGAGTTCAAGACAGTTATTTCAAAATGCGGGGAACTTTTTTTCTCAGGCATAACTATTCTTGAATGTGACGACGATAACTGGGGTATTGAGGCCCTAAAACAAAAGAGATAATGTGAATGTCATAAATAAATATTCAAATTTAGAAACCAATGGTTACAAGTGGTACAGAAAAGGTCATCGCTATTGCATCAAGTTTGGTTAATCCCATGTGAAAATAAATATTTATATAAGCTTCATAATTTATTCTCTCTCTCTCTCTCTCTCTGCCTAATTTTCTTTTCCTTTTTTCCTTAGAAAATCATTAACAAAATGGCTAATCGTCTCCAGCAAGTTACCAACCACCTTTTGCCTTCCAGCTATACGGCCAACAAAATTGGTTACAAGTCACCCGAAGATGTAGTGATTGTCTCTGCGCTTCGTACACCTTTGACCCGTGCTCGTAAAGGTCCTTTGAAGGATACTTTGCCCGAGGAAATGCTGTCCCATGTGTTTAAAGCAATTATCAAGCAAACAGGTATCAACCCTGAAATTGTAGAGGATATCACAGTTGGTAACGTTTTGGCTCAAGGTGGCGGTGCCACTAATGCTCGTATGGCCGCACTCCATGCTGGTTTCCCCGAATCCACTGCTGTAAGTACTCTGAACAGACAATGTTCCTCTGGTCTTCAAGCCATTGTTCAGATCGCAACTGCTATCCAAACCGGTATTTTAGAAGTAGGTATTGGTGCCGGTGTAGAGTCAATGACCTTGAATTATGGTGCTTCTTCTTTAGCTCCTACATCTGAAAGAATTGCTGATTCCTGTGAATCAGCTGCCGATTGTCTTATTCCTATGGGGTAAAATACATTATACTATCCATACAGTTGAAATATAAGCTAATGATTTCACATTATAGTCTTACCTCAGAGAACGTTGCCTCGGATTTCAAAGTGTCCCGTGAGAAGCAAGACGCTTTTGCTGCTGAATCTCATCGTAAAGCAGTGGTTGCTCAAGAGAGTGGTTGGTTTAAGGACGAGATTGTTCCTATTGAGGCTATTGTGATTGATGCCGAAGGTAATGAATCTACCGTGTTAGCAGAACGTGATGATGGTGTACGTCCTGGTACAACAGCCGAAAAGTTAGGAAAGTTGCGTCCTGCATTTGACGATGAAGGTACCACCACTGCAGGTAATGCATCCCAAGTATCTGACGGAGCAGCAGCAGTTCTTTTGATGAAACGCAAGACTGCCCAAAAATTAAATCTTCCCATTCTTGGTAAATATATCACTTCCGCTGTTGTTGGTGTTCCTCCTCGTATTATGGGTGTGGGACCTGCCTATGCTATTCCTATCGCTGTAGCAAGAGCTGGTATTCAAATTTCAGATGTTGATATTTTTGAAATCAATGAAGCGTTTGCATCTCAAGCTGTTTACTCCATCGAAAAGTTAAATATCCCTATCGAAAAGGTAAACCCCAAGGGCGGTGCTATTGCATTTGGACATCCTTTAGGTTGTACAGGAGCACGTCAACTCGCTACATTGTTCCCAGAGTTAAAGCGTCAAAACAAGAAGGTTGGCGTGACGAGTATGTGTATTGGATCAGGTATGGGTATGGCTGCTGTGTTTGAAAGCGAATAAATTTTATTTTTTGTTTATTTTTTTAAATGCGGAGGATACTCCTTAAAAGGAAGGGGTTTAATATGTATAAAATGAGACTTTTGTTGTTGTTGTTGTTGTGTACATTAAATGGGAAATACAAATAAAATGATGTAGCTATACTATATTCTTTCAAATCTTTTTCTTTTTAAAGAAGCATAACGTTTTTTTAAGCCAAATACTAATTGATCTTCTTCATCCGAGTAGCATTGAAAACTAGTAGCATCATCATTTATACTATAGAATTAATTAGACTATGTATGATAATTTTTTTTTTTGACGTACCTTTTAAAAAATGGAGGTTTCGGTGTTGTAGTGTTATTTACTGTTAATCTCATTGCATTAGAAACCAGATATGCAAAAGAAAATAAAATCATCTACGGGAAAAGTATGAATAAAAATGTATCAACTTAGTTTTTTGCTGGTATCCAGTCATTACCATTAAAATCATGATACTTTTATTATCACTTTGCACATTCAACCTGTTCTTTAATTCCATATTCTCTTTTTCCAATTGTATTACCCTTTGTTTAAGCTCATCATTTTCATTTGATAATCCATTTTTTTGATCTTCAAGTGCAGTTAGATGCTCTCGCTTTCTTTTACGAGAAAGTAATGCAGCCGCTCTATTCTTAATTAATCTTTCCTGTCTCTTTGCAATTGTAGCTGCTTTCTGAGTGTCATCTGTCACTTGCTTAATTATTGGCGTAAATTTATTAACGTTACCATAGGAGCTAGCAATCGATCTCTTCTCTTGCTGAGCAGGTAGAATTGTGGCTAATAGTTTTACGGCAGCAGGAGCAATTACAGTAGGAGGTAAAGGAGTCGTGGTTGTACAAGAGTCGCGCTTCTTACGCCCACGCCGCTTAATTCTTTGTTCTGTATCGGATGAGCATGACGACGAAGGAGGAGAGGCAGGTTGGTGAAAGAATGAATACGGGTGATATGGGACAATAGGCTGATCTGGTAATATAAACGGGTATTCATTTAACATTGGTTCACCTGTGGGTGTGTTAGGGTGATGATTCCAAGATGAATCGAAAAAAGTTTGACGGATATCTGTGGATGAAGGACTTTGAAGGGTAGGTGTGGAACTAGGTGTAGGAGGATGATGGGACCAACAAGGCGGGGCAGTAGACATATAGTCAGAATTGAGATATGACATTAAGAGGTCTTCTTGATCCTCATGAAATTGTATTGAGTCGCATTTTTGTGACATTTTTATAATATACTAGAAAGAGTGAAGTTTGAGAAAAAGGTAAATGAGAAAATTATGTTTTTAAATAAAAAAAAGTTAATGTGAACAAATATGGCAATTGGGATTATTTCCACTCCCGATCAATATTTTTTGCCCTGAAACGGGTAAAGAAAAAAAAAAGAAGGTCACTGCAAAAGGATTTACAACACAAATAAGTTCGTATAAAGGTATATTATGTACACAACAAATAAACAATAATAAAATATTCTTATTTTAGTATAATAGACTTGCTGAAAGGGTCCACAGTTTTTAGCAGACCAGAATAGTGAGGAGCACCTTACCGATCCCCTTAATCTTTTAAATATACATTTATTATTGTTTGCATTTTAAATTAAAAAAAAGAAGTACATACATTTATTAAACAAGCTCAATCATACTAGTTTATGATTTTAAAGTTGAAAACTACCATGTCAAAATGATATGCATATAAGAAAGAATGCTACAAGAAAAAAAGAAAATGAGGTGATCCACAAATATATTTTTGTTTGTGTGTGCTCATCTATGGTGTGAAGTGACGGAATGAAATATTTTATTTAAGGAGTTAAATATGTAATATACCAACAGATAATTCTGCTAAGCTTCGATTTGAAGTAACATCTGCTTATAAGTTTGACACCATTCCAGAATTAACTTCAATAAGCTTTTTAGTTCAGTCAAAGTAGGTGACTGGGTTTGTGTTCTAACTTCATCTAAAATCATCACTTGCTTATCCTTGTATGTTCTACATACTAAATGTTATTAATCCACATTAAATGATTTAATATTTTTGTACTTTACACTACTGCATGTTGGCTATCGACTTTAATTCCATGCTTAATGTAGTTATAATCTAATGCATACACGTTACATGTAATAAAAACATCATGTATACAAAATTCAATCGCAATATCTTGTTTTAGAGATGGGCTGAAAAACTAGATAAATAAATTAATACTGTCATTTTTTATTATTATTGTTATTATTATTAGTAGCAAAACATGTCTCACTTTTGGATGGCACACTTTATAAGGGAACAATGAAGCCTCGTTCGGATAATCAAATGCATGAAGTGCACGGTCTACGTATTGATACATGGCTTCCAGTAGCTAATTATACATTAGTATGTAAGTTTATGTTTTAATCAAGTTACATTACTTCGATCGTAGCTTGTTTATAAGACGGCCTTATAAAAGTCCTTATTTCATTAATCGCCAGTGATATATAATTTGTTGCTTGTTGTGCCTATAAAGTATGAGGAACATACCATACATGTTTCATCATTTTTATTAAATTTAGTCTTACTTGTTCAAGGAAATAAGGTGTCGTGTTAACGATAGTAGCTTTTATGGGCGTATCTTGATAATTTGGTAATTTGATTTGAAGCTCCTAAAGAATCGGATCAGTATAGCATAAGTGAGATACATGATACATTATTTACAGCCTTCGTGATATGTGATCCAGTTAACGTAATAACCCCTTTGATAGTATCATTTCTTGTTCAAGGGTTAGTAATTGGTCAGTTAAAAAAAAGAGAAAATGAACAAATCATACTGTGTAATAGGTAACGAATCGATTTTAGCTGTAGTTAAATCACGAAAATTAGCATAATAGAAAAAGTAAGAGTGACTATAATTACTTTGACTCGTCAAGATATCTTGACTTTTCTATAACAAAAATGCTAACTGTCAGAGATTATTTTGTACATAATAGGGGGAAAGTTTACCTCCAGTTGTGACAATAGTTTTTTCAACATTGGTGGGATAACGGAATGCAGAAGCCATTCTCTCTGTTTCACCTAGGTAGAAGTATGACAATTAGCATCTTGTTCGTGTACACATCGTTGATAAAAATTACTGCGGTAATGTGCTCTTCTGTTGTGTGCATTGTTATTTTAATCTCGACAGAAAAAATAAAAAGAGAGAAAGAAAGGGTAGATTAAAAAGGCCTTATGCGTACTCGCGCGAGTCACACTAAAACAAATAATGCCGGGTTCTTAAAAACACAAAGTTTACTTAACCTTTTTGTCCCTGAACATGTCTTCATCAGTAGCCATCTTGGGTGGAGGTATCTCCGGTTTATCTGCTGCTTACTATTTATCTAAAGCGTCACCCAAGAGTAAAATTCTTGTGATTGAAGGATCTAAAAGAGTAGGTGGCTGGATTCGTAGTCAAAGAGTTCCTCCCGGCTATCATTCATCTGCGCCATCATTACCAACCGACCCAAACAATGTGCTTTTCGAAGTCGGCCCTCGAAGTTTGCGTCCAGTTGGTCCAGGCGGTGCTGCCATTTTATCTATGGTATATAGTAAAGACATCTCGAATTCAATCAAAGTAGTAACATTTCATAGTCAAAAGATCTCGAATTACAACAAGAAATGATCTTTGTTTCAAAAACAGATCCTTCGGCAAAAAACAGATACATTTACTATCAAAATCAGATCAACACTTTACCAACCTCATTGTCGTCCTTAATATTGAACCAACCACCTGTATTCAAGTCCGTTTTAAAATCAATTATGACCGAGCCTTTTGTTCCTACCTCAACCAAGGATGATGAATCACTTTATTCCCTGGTTGCACGTCGTTTTAACGATCATGTGGCATTAAATTTGGTTGGAGCTATTACACATGGTATTTACGCAGGTGATGCGAAACAATTATCAGTAAAGTCAACCATGCGTATACTTTACGAGGCCGAGAAAAGAAGCGGTAGTGTTGTTAGAGGTATGTTTGGAAAGACTGCTCCTTTATCTATTGCAGAACAAGCAATGATTGATGAACTTGATGATGGTGGAAAAACAACAAGGGAGACCAGTGTCTTTGGGTTCAAGCAAGGTACTGAGACTTTGGTTTCAAAATTAAGATTATATCTCAGCCAGCAAAGCAATGTTACCATTATCACTGAAAAGCAAGTGAAGAAGCTGACGAAGAACAAAAATGGTGATAAATTAAAGGTAAAAAGAATCATAATCAAATCAAATTTTGGCTCGGTAATTAATGTTGTTTATGCTAGATTTATGCGGATGATACTTCCGTCCAAGTTGATCATGTCATTTCGACTATACCGTCAAAAAAATTAAACATATTATTACAAAAATCCTTACCCAACCTATCTCATAATCCATCTGTCGACGTTGCTGTCATCAATTTTGCATATGACAACATCTCATTGAAATACAACGGCTTTGGATTTTTAACACCCCATCCAGATTCCCACTACAAAATACCCGTACCTGGAACTTTAGGCGTTGTATTTGATTCTAATGCTATGCATGGCCAAGAAAAAAATGACAAACTAGTAAAATTGACTGTTATGATGGGAGGACATATGTGGAATAGTGCTTTTGATGGACTACGTGTGGACCAAGTAGATCCAGAATTCGTGCATCAAAGAGCGAGTGAAGCACTTAGAGTATACTTGGGGATTGAAGAGATCCCAAAATACAGCATGGTCAATATCTTACCAGAATGCATCCCTCAGTATGTGGTTGGGCATGAAGCAAGGCTAGGAGAGCTTCACCAACACATGAAACAAGAATATGGACATCTTTTGAGTGTAACTGGTGCAAGTTATCTCGGTGTGAGTGTTCCAGACTGTGTGAAAAATAGTAAACTATTGGTGCAGGACCTTCTTGATACCGGTGCATTAGGATTGCGTGAAAACGTTGTCACTGGTTTAAATAGAGTTATCCAATAAGCGGCATTGAAAAACATAAACATTAAATGATAGATGCGCATAATGATGCCAAGATTGTGTCGACAAGCTCGTTTGGATTAGATCCTTTTTTTTAAAAGTCCATTCCAAGATTTTTAGTCAAAACCTTCTCAATATTTCTTACATCGCAATAAAAGTTTTCTTTTCTTCCCCAACAACTGATTTTGTACTTAGAAAATTTATGTATGTTTATAATTATTGAGTATAACTTACTTTGACATAGATGTACCCTTTCCCTACCCACGCACTAGGTAAACCTGTTAGTTGACATCTTATATCCGTCAAGTTAAGTCCAATATTTTTCTCTACAACTGACTATACCTGATTTTCTTTATATTGCCACTAGATAGCAATGTAAGTAACTTATTGTATATAATTGTACTATATTTTAACACAGTAGTCTATAGATATAATGTATACAAAACACTCACTAGGCTAAGGTAAATAAAGAAGCAATTGTGACCTGTGTAAGCCACCCACTAATATTTTTAATTTTAGGTATGTAGCTTTTCTATTTGTATTATACGCTTACGTATTAATACAAAGCATACACTAGGATAAGGTAAATAAAATAGCAACTGTAACATACATAAGCCAACCACTAAAATTTTTAATTGTAGGTATGTAACTTTTCTTTTTGTATAATACTCTTATGTATCCATTTATGTATCCATTTTATCGGTAATTTATGTATCCACTTTATCTGTAATTTCACCTCATAATCCATAATCCCTTTTGCCGTTGTTATTTTATAAACATATAATAAAAAATAAATTGAATTATTTATAATATAAACACATAATTGTTCATAATACAAGGGTATAAAATTTGATAAGCAAGGGACAGTATAACGATACCGGCCAATAATAGTACAACAATTGATGGCATTCGTGATAAATACGACCAGTAGTAGTATCGCATTCTTGATAAATACGGCCAAAAAGTGTAGAAATTGATGGCATTCGCGAAGATTACGGTCAAAAAGTGCAGAAATTGATCGTATTCGCGAAGATTACAGTCAAAAATTAACCGCCATCGCCGCGATCACTGTGAAAAATTGACCGCCATCGCCGCGACGGCGGTCAAAAATTCATCACATTTTTGCTTGTTAATATTTGATCAAAAATTGACCGCAATAACATGTGATCAGTCAAAGTTGGTGGATGATCGTCGTAATGATGAGTACCGCAATTAAGAACATGCTCGAAGCTTGATATAATCTTTGCGATTTTGCTCGATTGAGCAATAAATAGGGGAATATTAGCAAGCTTTAAGGCCAATTAAATATGTTCGACTTCACTCATGGTATATATATTAGCCTTGGCACGATGCAAAACGTAAAAAGTTGCGTGATTACCTGTATTCCAAAAGATTTATTAAAAATACAATCAACTCTTTGGACATAACAATGACTTACCGACAACAGTAAAGGCAAACGTGGCGACAGCTTTATACTTGTCTGAGGCGGCTTTCGTTAAACGTGCGACGCGAATGAGATCCAATCCAGTGAGCCGATGATTTCGTGCTTGATACTGAGATTTGATTTCACCGCAGCCCAATCTTTGATCTAGTGCGGCACCGTACACAACATTAATCGACGCATCCGGTCGTAACATAATAACCTTGTCATTATTACTAATAGATGTCCTATTATGTGGAATTAGGTTAGAGATTAATAGCTGAGTCTGGTTACATTTTATCAATTTCAGGTACGCCTCATTACCATCGAAAAAGAATATGTTTATCGATGTTTTCAAATAAAGGTACAAGAGCGGCTTGAAGATACCGGGTGATTAGCTCTGTTTCTTGTGGTCCATCCTCAATGACAAAACGGGGAAGAACCTCTACCCTACAAAAGCGTTAGACTCATATACATCATTACTTTTTTAAAACTTACATGTTTCTTACGGCTAATAAAATCCTGTTCGTTGTATTCATACAACATACAGGAACTCCAGCCAAGACCAGCAAGCCAGTATGATTGCACCTATTTACAGTCCAATCCCAGCTATTCACGGTTCTGGAGTTCCAAAAACTTGAGAACCCTGCCTAGGAGGTCGCCCTCCTATAGCAAAGACTAGCCGCAGCCGCAATATCACAATATATCTTTTTCAATTTAGCTTCTTTTCAAAGAAACAAGAGTCATTACTAACTAACCTTTTTATATGATCGGTTACTTTCATACGATAAAAGAAGTAGTCTAAGCGAAAAGAAAAGGAGAAGAATAAAGTGTGTGAACCAGCTTTATTTATAGATAAACAAGCTTATGTCAGGATGATTTCATTTGTCTATTTTATCATCCATAATGTTTAAGTAAATACTTGGATCACACAGATTCTATTTCTAAAATGTTTTGGTAAACGTGATTGGCTTGATAGGTATTTAGATTATTAATGTATTAAGGTTTATATTTTCCTAATTTTCTGCGTTGTATCCGCACCTCTTACATGACACTTTATTCTTTCAATGTTTTGGGCTTGTAGTTAATTCCATTCAGTTTAAAGAAACGCCGCTCTTTTTAACTAGGGTGTTTCTAGGGGTAACAGAAAATAGGTACCAACCGAAGATCTACATTTGGGTATTTCCGTAATATTCATTGCGCCGTTTAATCCAATATTAATGGTACCAAAAGTAATTTGGTGTTTTGAACCGAAAGAAAAATTTTATAATGTTTCGGTAGCAAGCTATTAAAAACAATACCCAACAAGTTCGCAGCGAGATATACTGTTTTTCTCGATAACTCGAAGAATTTTGTTTTAGCTTAGTAAGTACACTTATTGACAAAGGTGTATATTGAAATTAAAGGATATCTATATTCATAAATATGAAGGATTTATAAATCAGAACCCTTCGGCTCATGCTATTCGAATGAGCTTTAAATCCGCAATTTATCTCAAAAGACGACCGAGAAACAATGATTTCCTTACATTTTATGGCGTGTGATTAGGATGCTCACAAACACACTCTATAATGAACCTACAGTCATTTGACTCATTCGTGACGGTATTGGATTCGCAACCTATCTTAAGTCGTTTTTTTTTTTTTTTTTTTTTTTTTTTTTTTTTTTTTTTTTTTTTTTTTTTTTTTTTTTTTTTTTGGATTGCCTATTCTCAAGGTCAAAATCAACAGCGTTCCCTTTTGTGAACGACTGAAATAACTTTCTAAAAGATATAATTGTTTGAATTCAAAAGTGTTTATACGTACAAACGCCAACGTTGTACCCACTTTTTGTTAAGAAAAGCATGTTGACCATCTTAGAAGCAAAATGAAAACAGAAACAGCTGTGGGTACTTCCCCTAAAATTAAATCAACAAATTTTACTTTAGTCTAGAATTAAACAGCAGGGTTCATTCTTTGGAAATATCTTGAAATGCACTTCACAATAAAGCCCTTGCCTTCCTCGTTTATATTCTTGATACAAAAATCGAAAGATAATATTCTGTATTCTTCAACTAAATTTACCTAGGATTTACTGTTCATTAAACCTTCGATAGATTAACGGGATTTTGACGTTTTGTCCGTATTTCATCATATACATCATTTTAAACTATGTCTGCCACTGCTGTTGACTGGGCGACTCCGCAGTCAATGATGTCTTATTAATTTTTTCAGGTGTATGCATAGAGAATGCTTAAATTGGTTATAATTATTAATGATGAAAACAGCCCCCGTAAGTTCTCTTTGACAATAATTACCCCGAAACGTGTGTCGAAAAGAAATCTTATTCGGGATGTAAATGCGTGATGATCAAATAGTAGCGTGTAACCTGTCTACCCTATTTCTACATGCATCATACTTCTGATTTAAAATGACCAAAGTACTATCGTTGGAGAAGGATATATATCTTAATTGATGATATTACACACCGAATTTGCTTAGGAGCTAATGCATATTAAATCAAAAGCATATAAGCGCTTTCTAAATGTAAAAGCAAAATTACTTCATGTACTCTGAAATAATACTTGCGGTCATGCAGATTAATTCTATTCAATCCCTTTAAACTTGTGTTGTAGAGGGGCGTATCTATTTGTTAGGTACATATTGTACCCCATCATTATATTAAATCGTTCAATATCGAGATTATAACCATATCTAAGCCGGCTTTTCTTTGTATCAAAATCTGATTAAGAAGAGTAACAGACATGCACGTTCATTTGAACCAGTGATCCGGATTATAATAAAAACTACCGCAAAAAAAAACTTAAAAAAAAAAAAAACTTCTATTTCTTTCTTTCCAGTATCCATTCCTGTCTTTTTCATGGCTAACAATAAGGTAGGCTTATGTTTGTTTCTTTTTATAAACACAGCAATTTAACTGAAACTTAATATTTTAGTGTCTCGTATCTACATCGGCATATTCTATTGAAAATCTGTTATGCGATAAGGAAGTTAACACGACTTTAGCCCCGATTATTGAAACAAACAAATATCAAAGTTTTACAGGGACGATCCCCTTTATCAAATTACCTCGACCCAATTTTCGCAATAACCAAGAAAATCTTAACATTAAGGCTAACCTGCCGCCACTACGCAGATCATACGGAAAAGAGAACTTAGAATATACCCGTCTAAATGCTTGGAAAACTCATAATTCCTGGGACTATTATAACGATCATGTCGATGACGACTATTCAAAAATCAGAAGAAAGAGGGCAACAGTCAAACAGACACAGGCGTTGCAAAAAGTATTTGAAATGACTGCTTTTCCATCTACGATACTTCGAGAAAATCTAGCACGATACCTTGGTATGTCACCAAGAACAGTACAAGTATGGTTTCAAAATAAACGACAGGCAGCTAGAAAAACATTCAAGTAGTCGGTGACGGTGTAATATTAAATCAGAAATCCTAAAATAATGTATATTTATAGGCAAAAGGGTTGCTTGATCAATAATTTCTAATAAAATCCAGCTTATTCTGTCTACAAATTTTATGAACTTAGATTCAGACGAAGTTAGTTTTTTTTTTTTTTTTTTTGTTTAGTTCTCAGACAAATAGAAAATAAAATAAATAAAAAATAGAAACCACTTGTATCAAAGTTTATCATATCAATATCCATCTTTTAATAAGAATCGTGGCCTTCATTAGGTGGCAAATGGCAGAACTTGTTTATAGAAGAGCCTTACTAATTAGATAAGAGGCATTATGGATAATCGCAAGATTCATTATTTCAGATCTATTACATATTGTATAAAAAAAGCGGTTACAAAACAGTATTGATGCTGCTCTCAGATTTTTTTTGAAGAGTGTTGATCATGGCTGCTTGGAGAACAAATACCAAATAACTTTTATAAAAAAAAAAGTGTCTAAATTATCATTCGGCAACTATACTACGTTATAGGATGCCAGCATTAGACAGACAGCCTAAATATAAATCCTTATTATTCGTGTCATAAACAGAGTCTCTTTCTCCAGAGAACCAGCTGATTTGAATAAAATATGGCTTTCGGTCGGACCTTGTGTAGGCCATGTTATTTTTTTAGAATCCCGGACATGATAGCTACTAACATCTCTTTTCGTCTTGACACAATGACTCGAATTCTTCATGCCATCCGCAACTTGAAGCATTACTCAACTTTGACAGAAAAACAGACATCTGAAAATAAGAAGTTAGTGTATAATTCTCCCAATGCAGGTCTTATTAAACTCGTCAAAAAGTTCTCATTGACTACCCTTGGGGTAAGGCTATTTGTAACTGTGAAAGTTAACAGCGTTTTGACAATAATACTGTAGATCTCGGCTGTTTCAACACCTGCTGTCATGTTCTTTTGGCAATCACCAGCAGGTAATACATAATTTTTGGTTTTTATTGAATACTAAATTAAGATGAACATAGTTCAAGCGGCAGATATTTCGGGCACAATGTTTATGGGTGGTAAGGCTTGCTATGAAAAACCTCTTTAATATACATAAGGTATGATACTAATAGTTTAAGAATCCCTCACTCGCTTTGTGGTGCTTCAAATGGCAATGACAGCTATGATGGCAAGTGCTTGTTCAACTGGTGCTCTTTCCTTCTTACTGTCACCTTATATCAACTCGATTTACGTTCATACCCCCCAACGTTTGATCCAGAGCGATAAATCACCGTCAATTTCCCCTAATACATTGATCTCAATTGACACTTTGGATTTCTTAGCCCGTCGTAAAACCACCACACTTCATGTCAAAGACCTTTTGCCCACTAACTCATCCGTTTTGACATGGACAGTTAATAAGCAAACCCTTAAAAAACAGTATGCTTTGGAACAAATGAAGGGAATTGAACCTAAAATCAAACAAGATCGATTTTGGTTGGATCAAAGGAATGGCACTGGAGATAGAGACATCATGTCAAGCATATTACGTATAGTTCATGAGCAAGGACGTCAAAGATTTTTATAAACAAAAATTATTTTATTAAAGGGACGAAAGAAATGTGTATATGATACAATGTGTGATTGATGATACTTAAAGAGTGAAATCAAAATTGAAATTTAAAGCCTTTTTGATACTTTTGGCAAGATAGGTAGTAGTACTTTCAGAAGAATTATCGAGGGGAAGATCATAGAATAAACCATGAGCCATCTCCTTATGTGTGTTGTAATCAAATCCATTCTCGAATAAAGGCGACTTTTCAAAGACTTCCTTGTTCTTGTCTGTCCAAATGTTCCAAAATTCTGAAATGGCTGAATCCATAATTTCCGGGATATTGATATTAGCTTCAATCATAGGCGCGTTAGGGTTTTGTTTCTGTATACGATAGATCAATGACAAAATTTCGACAGCGACTTGACGCTCTGCAGGATCACGTAAAATACCCAGGAATCCCTCGACTGCTAATGCAAAATTGAATTCTTCGGGTGTCTTTTCAAAGACAGTTGGATCACGAGGTAAGAAATGAGATCCAATCTGGAGACCATAGCATTTATCGAGAACAGACCAAGTACGAGAGAAGAAATGACGGGGAACACGGTTAAGTGCACCATCGTTCTTTCTACGACGTAACCATCGACCATTAGAGGTAGGGCAGAAATAGCCGATATTGGCTGAAGTAATTTCGGAAGGTAAGATATCGTTCTTCTTTAAAATAGCAAACTTTTCTTCAATCAAATCCGTAGGTCCTTCATTAGCAGCCTTATGAGCTTCAACGGTGTCCTCACGATTACCGTTCTTTTCAGCAATTAAGACATATGAATCACGATATTTGACGTCTTCAATCTTGGTGGAACCGAGAGATTTCAAAGCATCGATAGCTTCTTTGCTCAAATGTTCAGTAAAATCATCTTTGGACGCCATGACTATAATCAAACCAGGAGCCAAACTACGAATGAATTGCACAAGATCATCACTTTCATCATTTGAAATATGTGTATCGAATGAAGCATGTTCAAGAACCAACTTTTCAAGGCGATCAATTGCCCATACATGAAGTCCACGTGTAGTAGCAGCTAAAACATTTCCATTGATTTCAACACGAGCAAAATTACCGGCGTTATAACCACCAGATTGAGCGCGAATAACAAGTACATCATTGGCTTTTTTGTTTTCTTCGTTTAAGTCTACTTGGATGTTGTTCTTGGAAGGTGGGAGTGTCAAAGTAGTTAAATCAGCACTTACACGACGAGTAGGATCAAACTCTTGGGAAAGAACCAAGTATCCTCCAGGCTTATCACGCACAATAATAGTTGCCTCTTCACACATACCAGGACCGGACATAACGGTACCTAACAGGGACTGTAATTCGAATGGTGATAATTGCATCAAATGTTCAATAGCTTCTTCCTCGTTAAAGTCGTTTATACGACTAATTTCTTCACGTAAAGCAATAATAATGAAATGGGTACGGAGACGCAAGATACCATCAAACATGTAAGGGGTGGTACGGATAAAGTTACCCAAAGAAATAATGATTTCTTGTACAACAGGACCTTCACGTACATCATCCAAGCATTGTTCAGCAATCATCTTGTTAAGTGCATCAGGGCCTACGGGAGTAGAAATCAGATGCTCAGTAGCTCCTGCACCAATACTGACTTGCTTTTGGCGAATTACTAAATCGGTTAAGTTGTAAGTCAAAGAAGGCATAGTTTTGTTAAGTAAACCACTAGCTTGACGAGCAACGGACCAGTATTGAAGACGTTTGGACTTGACATAGACCTCTTCTAACAAATTACGAATAGTAGCATCCAAATCAACAATAAATTCATCAAGATTCTTACAGGATGCCAAATATTGCAATAAATCAATTTGATCATAAAGATTGACCGAATTCTGAAGACTTTTTACGGCTGGTTCGAATTGACTCAAATCACCCAGAGTTAAAGACAGGAGCATTTCTCCGTTAGATGCATCATCTTCTGTATTGATAGTTAATGCAGCACTCTTATGCGCTGTATTTCCATCTTCATTTTCAGATTGTCCTTCGGAATGAGCGGGGACAGGTGATGCCGCTGCCTTCGGAGTACCAGCGTTGTCGAGAGCAATTTCATGATCCTTAAGCTTGAAAGAGGGAGTACCTTGACTGTTGATCTTTTCCAAAGCAGAAGTAATTTCTTGGAAGTAACTATCGTCGTTTAATTTATCAAGAGGTGTACCCAAAAGCTTACCACCAAATACACTGCGACGACGAGGGGTCTTAGCACCACCAGGGGTGTTGATGCCACCAGGGGAACTAATGTTGGATTCACTAAAGCCGAGACGCTTATGCTTCTGATGATTCTTGCGGTGATAGGTCTTGTTGGCAGATAAAATATTGCTCCAGTCAACATCAGGCTTATTGATCAAAAAGTCAAGTGATTCAATGTTACTAGTATTCACAGTCTCCGTAAGACGGGATAAACGAATACGGACACCATTACATTCACCAGATCTCAAATTCATAAAGAAGTTCAACAGATTTTTCTTGGACGCATCAGCATTTAAAAGAGCATTGACTAAACCAGGGTTACTATATGTGGCATTGTCCTTGTTGGTAATATCACCAAGCATAGCATTGGTCAAAACAACTGTTAAAGTGGGACGACCAGGGAAGAACCAATTGGCATTTGTAAAGGTTAATTCAGATTCAATAGTAGAGACCAAGTAATCTGGATCGGAGTTAAGATAAAAAGAGTCGACATCCATAAATTGAGGAGTAAAGACATAAACATGACCCTCGATACGATAAAGACGAGACGTGGCTAAGGTACCAATAGGACGGTTAGGTCTACCAGATAACTCAAGCTTGGAGTTTTGACCAAGTGCGCTATAGACATCAACGAGAGCTTGAGGAGGTAAGACAGTGAAACTGGAAGAGATTTGATCGATGGATTGGGTTTCAAGACCATATGTTGATAAAGTCTTTTGTAACTCTTCATTTTCTGCTAAAAGTACAACTTGAACAACATTATCAGCCTTGGCGCCCTTGACGCTATAACGGCGACCAAGAGGGTCCATTTCTGAAGGAGACAACAAATTTTCGTAAATCATATTTCCCAGTAAATACAGAGAAAGAGCCCAAACAAGAGGGGTATTATCATTGGGAATTCTCTTTTGAGAGTGAGGTTTTTGTTTCTCTGCCTCAATAGATTCAGCAGGGACGTAATACAACTCGGGAACAAGGGGAATATGAAGATCGGCGGGTGCAGTAGACAGATCAAGAGAAGCTGTACGACATAGAGTATTTGGTCGCTTGTTGCCTTCCTTTTTATAGTCTTCTGGGGGTCTAGGGTTTTCAGGATCCCAAAGAGACGAATCGATGGTGACAAAATCGAGTTTCTTGCGATAATCTTCAGCTTGATCCATGTTGTCTGTGAACAAACCTTCCAATACCATGTACGTAAAAAAGAGAGGCCATTCGGACTCAATGTCTTCAAATACCTTCAACTCGTTATCGTTGTAATGAAGACGAGTATGATCTTCAACAACAGTTTGATGGCCATCACGTAAGAAACGCTTCCAACCATAACGACCTTCCAACTTCTTTTTGGCGTCTTCGCGAGTACGTTCAATCAATTCGGGATCTTCAACCGCAAAAGCGGGGAAACCAATGACGGATAAGATTGAACCATCCACCTCCTTGGAGTTAGACTCTCTGGGTAAGACACTTTGGAGTGTAATTTTGTTACGGGTCATTTCATCGGGTAAAACATAGATTGTCTGTTGATAAATATGTATATATTAATAAAAATTATATGCACGTTTGACTTTGTGACTTACAGATGAAGCACTTCCACGGGCACCAAATAAATTAACACCATTGATAGCTTTAAGAGCAGCATAGGCCATACCGATCGAGGAAGAATTTAGCTCCGGCTCACCATGATTACTTTTGTCACCACGTTCCCAAATACCGAAATCAGGGGTACGATAAGCACCTATTGAATACGTTAGTTAAAATTCACGTAAACAATAAACCAACTTACGTTCAATATAAAATACCAAATTCTGAATAAAATCAACCTCATCCTGAGTATAAACAATACTAAAGCCACTTGTTGTCATATCAGCCAAGGCGACTAAAAAGAGACTAGTTGCATCAATTTGAAGATGACCCCATTCCTTATCACCGACAACAGTAGCACCTGTTTTTGTGTTGTATTTTGCATGAAGAGCATCCAAAATATTTTGTGTCTTTTTGAACTTTTCCACCTTGGGAGCTTGACGCATCATCGAAAACAAAATGCCACGCATTAATTTAACAACCGCGTGTTCCAGCTCAACTATGGTGTATTTTAGTAAAATACAAATTCCCGCTATACTATAGTAATTTACTTACAAGCTCTTCCAGTAGTATCATCAATTCTTCTATAAGCCAATGCAAGACCGTAAACACAATAGATTGAATACACGTTATCTCTGTTTAAGACAGCATTGTTAATATTTTATAATCGCGTTATGTGTGACCTATTTGTTACCTGACCCAAGCATCAGTGTAATCACCGTGAGTCTATAATAATTTATGTGTATTAGATAAAAAACCAGGAAATTATGTCTAGTGATATTTACTGTAATGGCAACAGAGGCAGGGATCAAACCACTGGCAGCATTCTGCTTTGATAGGACGGTTGTGTTAATGACTTGATAATAATACTCAAGCCTTTCCAATGAATGTTTTCTATTGTAAGTTGACTTCATTCTTCTTGTATCCAAGTATTTCTTTTTCAAAGAAATAATAATAAAAAAAAAACAATGAAAAGAAAGAGACGGAAAAAGGGGAGATCCTTTATAGGTTCTGGGCAATTGTGACGAAAAAGCGGAATTTTTGTTGAAACGCCGATAATCATATTCCTGATTTGGCTTTGCATTGTTTAGTGTTATTTCAATATTTAACACTGATAAGAGAATAATATTAGTTTTGATTCCCTTATAAAAATATGATAATGTGATAATATTGACATCGAAGCTTGAAGAGATCTTGTATTTTCCCCCGTAGTTACACCAATGACGTTTTAATCGATAAAAAAAAGGAACATGCACAGTGCTCACAGCGCAAGTTGACGGTATTTGAATGTCTGGGACGGGAAATACCACTTGAGAGATTTATTTGTTTAGGCTCAAAAGTTGGTACCGTCGATGATCTCTGTCCTTGTCATACCATTCGTCATAGCAATGTGAATCTCGATCCTTTTCAAAGATTTGTAGTAAACGATGAATCCTACAGATGTAAAATAATTGACAACTGAATTAAAAAAAAAATTGGTAGTGTTGTACGCCTTTTATTTTTTACTAATCATTACTAAGTAAAATGCTTTGTAAGGCATTACTTCGTGACCCGAAGTACTCCCAGGATAAGCCGAGGAAAAAAAAAAAGATAACAATGAAATCATTACAGCGTAGTGCTCATATTTATTATTTTGTTCAGTAGTTTTGTGGAATACAAGTCCCATCATGATCGGAAACAATGCCCTTTTGTTTGTTCTGGCTTTTTTTAAATGTCCAGTTTTTAAAATCATTAAAGCCGGCCTGTGCCAACAAGGGGGAATTTTTTTTTATCACAAGGGCGGATGTCCAATATCTGCGTGTCCTTTGGTCCCAAGATCCTTTAAAGCTACTGTTTCATTAAAACATAGTTTACTTACATTATTAAAACGTGCGAAATAGCCTTCGACCGTAAATATAAGAACACCATCATCTATTCTTTGATACTATCATAACTGAAATAATCTATTATAACACATAAATGGACATGTTTCTTGAGCCCACCAAAATTCACCATATTCAAAGCATCCCTGTTTACTGTTTAGCTACGATTTCTTACCCAACAACAATAAATAACCAAGGCAACGCACGTATTATTTCTGGATAAAAAAAGACAGACGACAGTTATGATGTCTGTTGTTGGGCTTTTTAAGTATTGTACAACATCATCCTTTGGCCAAAAAAAAGTCACGATTTTTTTGTGGTGTAATTTAGAAAGGGACGGTCCAATAAAGAGAAAATTTTAAGCTTTTTTTTTTTTTTTTTTTTTCTATTTCCAACATGTCAGAAGTCGAAGAAGAAAAGAGAAAGGGCGGCCAAAGAGGAAATAAGAAGAATGGGGTCGATAAAAAAAAGCCAGCTATGTCCAAGAAAAAGGAGAAAGAATTACAGCGACAAACCGAGAAACGTAATGCAGTAATGGCATCCTTCAACAAGTTTTATGAGGAGGAATGGGGAGCAGAGCGTTGGCCTAAACTTTTAGAAGCCTTGAAGAAGCCTGTGCGTCACTGCATGATGATGAATAAATATGCCAATGTAGAGGACGTTAAGCTTAAATTGAAAGACTCGCTATCCGATTTGACCATGTTGGATTTCGTTAGTATTCCTTGTTATGCCTCTAAATCGCACTCGAGATTTCCTCAACCTTCAAAGGATAGCAATAATATTACAGATTATTATATTTTGGATGCTGGATCAGTATTGGCTACAGAGGCCCTAGATATTCAGCCCGATGATCAGATATTAGATATTTGTGCCGCACCTGGCGGAAAGACTTTATCAGTTTTGCAAAGATTGGATAAGAAATATGGACGTTTAACCTCGAATGAAATTGCCTCTGATCGTAGAAGAAGATTGAGACAAGTCATTGAATCATATATCCCACCAGATGTAGTAGAAGAATCCAGTACTGTTGTCGGAAAGGATGGTACTAGATACTATGGTGAACCCGAGCAATACGACAAAGTTTTATTAGATGCACCTTGTTCATCTGAACGTCATTTATTGCATGATGAAAAAGAATTCGAACTTTGGTCTCCTAAGCGTTCTATTGTGAATGCTAACCGTCAACTGTCTATTTTGAAAGCTGCAGTTCATTCTGTTAGAGTGGGTGGTGTTGTACTTTATGCTACTTGCTCTATCAGTTCATTAGAGAACGATAAAGTAATCGAAAAGATGATAAAGAAGGGTAAAATCCCAATTGAACCTGTCAAAATGAAATTGATGATTGGTGAAAGAACAAAGTATGGTGTGTTTATCGCTCCTGATAAAACTGATGGCTGGGGACCACTTTATTTTTCTCTGGTTAGAAGAACTGGTGTAGATAAAGAATACGTACCTGAGGATGACGATGATGAAGAGGAAGAGGATGATGCCTAAAATTTTAGCATGTTTTTCTAGTGACGTATGTGACATATATATTTAAAATAAAGCCCAAATTATATTTTTGCCCTTTTAGATATAATTTTTTTTTAAATGTTTGGTTGTATTGCTGCTGGTCGTCTGGTAAATATGCAATTATTTGCTGCCTTGTACATAAAACTCATTTTCGTTATAGGTTCAGACTAATTTACAACAAGTTGATGTAAATCAATATGTGTTTGAATTGACCAATGCTCAAACTATAAACCACATAGTCGTATTTTTACTTGGTACCATTCCTTTTGAGCCCGGATATGCCGCTACAGTTCATTTACACTGGCCCAATAAAGAATGGCAACTACTGGGAGGGTGAGTCATATTTATTTATGTTGCTAATAACATTGTTTAATTCTTTCATGATCTAGTTTGTTTAATGAAAAACCAAGCGCTATTTTCCGACTGAAAACAAAGGAATCAGCTATAAACAATCTTCAGATGTCTACATCGGCCACATTGGGTATTTCAATTGAGCCCATTGATGTAGTTCAACAACAACTTTTAACTTTGAGTCAACCCGTTACGTCTTCGGCGCTTGTTAAGCCAGGAATGAATGTAACTCAAGTAGGAGAAATGGCAGGCCGTATTTTAGAAAACCTGTTTAATTACGTAACTTCATTTACTGTCCAAAATATTCCCGTCAATGCTATTCCGTTGGGCCAGTTGACGGATAATGGGTATTTACCTTTAAAAACTTTCCAATCATGGTATGAAAACTTATCAAGAAAATTAGCCTCAAATCCAAATTATTTAGAGGAAGCAAAAACTGCTTAAAAATAAAACTTTTATTCCTGCGAACTCAATTTAACTAATTCGGAAATATCTCTTGCTAATGCCAACACCTTGCTCGATTCAATAATATTTTCATTCTTTTTAGCATTGAGAATACCATCTATATCTAAAGCAGATAACAAATTGGCAACAGACGAGCCTTCTGTGGGTGCCAAGAAGATATATTTACCAATAGCTGCTAAAAGACGATGAACTGTCATGAAAGAAATATGTGTTAGCTCATGGTGGTACAAAAAATGTAATAACTTACTGATTTCTTGGTCTGTCTCCTTTGTTAATGCATCTAAAACTGCACTGGATAACTCCACTAACCAATCATCATCCTCTTGTTCTGCCATGCCCTTAAAAGTACCTTCTTCCTTCTTTAATCTTTCGATGGCAATGCTTGTTGAGCAGTTGTATGCCAAAGAGGCGGCAGCTTGTCGAATTTGAGCATCTTCTGCTAATAAGCTGGTGATCAATAGTTGGGTCAGTTCAGATCGATGTGATGCAGCGAGGTTAGATGTAAAATGCGTTGTAGACAGGCTGGTGTTGGCAAAGATATTACAAGAAATCCTTAAAATCATTAACCATGTTGCTCTCAGTGGTGCAGGATCTTGTGTATAACCAATCTCCATTATTTTGGATATTTGAGTTGCTAAATCAGAAAATAAATATGACATTTTAAAAAAAAAGAATGATATAAATGACTTACGATCTGTAACATAAAAATCAGACACTTGCTTATGTATAATTAACGACTTAAAAATATCCAATAAAGGAAACAGCTGGTCGGTTTTTAACTTGTTTAAAAGTTGATCTATTGGTGTACATGTGTACATGAATATTTGATTCATCCTGTTGCTATATTGTTTTACTCACCTAATAAAAGTTTCCACCCATTTAAGTCAATCGAATTAGATTTAGGATTTTCCAAATAAGCTTTTGATCCATCCAACACCTTTTTTTGGTTCAAATCTAATTCGATATTTGCTTCTTGTAAAAATGTGTTTAACTTTCCATAAATCATGTCTAATTTTCCAGGTACTGCGTATGTAATAGGCACATTAGGTTGATCCACAATCGAGCGAAGAAGAACTTTTCTATGAGGATGAGCTATATAACGCAATGTGTTAATAAAAATTATAAATCTCAATTTATAAAACCACATACGAGGAAAGGCATCAAACAGTAACATATCCACCTGACTTTTTAATTCTGCGTAATTAGCACCGCTAAATTCGGCAGTCTTCTTGCCGTTTAAAAAGAACTGGAAAGTGGGTACACCACGAATATTGTATTTGTGAGATTGAAATGCTGGAGATCCAGTATCCATAACTACACCCAATAATTTGATTTCCCCGTGTCCTTGGTGCTTTTCTTCTACCATCTTTATAAATTCAGGTTTGATCACTTTACAAGGTGGACATGTAGCTGAAGTGAACATTACCGCGACGGCTTTGTACTGTGTGAGATATTTTTCCATTACATTGGAATCACTAACAAATTGTACGGGTTGCACAGTAGTGGGAGCTGCTGACATAGCGGCAGATGAAACGCCTTGAAGCATAGAGGCTGCTTGTGCTGAAGGAGGGGGCGCTATGCTACTACTACCGTTACTTAACTTCGACTGTCCAAACATGCCTTCGATCATTGGTAAAATGGATTGTCCAAAAGGCCTAATTTACAAGAGTAAGTACACAATGAATCCACTTTTTTTTTTCAATGAAGATAAATCCTCCTCACGTATTTAAAAACTCTGCTGGCAGATCGGTAATGTGGCCAGGAATTGTCTTGCCACATAAAAATTGGCAAAGGTCATTAGAAAAGGTGTTACAATTAAAATCCAATAAATGATATTTCTCAGCACTGACGCCAAAAAAAAAAGAAGTATTAGGCCTTAAGTACTTTTTTATACACATGTGAAAGACTTACGTATAGACGGATCTCAAACTATCAATGTACTCAACAACTACCTCTAGAGGCAGATATGTTTCGCCCATATCGATCACCTCCAATGGTCTACCATGTTGTGTTGTTCCTGGTGCTGATGCCATGATGCCCTGACCGAAATAAAACTCCTGGCCGAAAACAACAACTGATGTGTGCCAAATACCATCTGCAGATTGTGTTCATGAGTAAAGCAAAGTAGAATGCTTCAAAAAGCCCTTACCAATTTGTTTTCCAGTTAAAGATCTCGACATGGAACGAGCCATACCTTGAGAAAGGTCGTAGACATAAAGTTTTACTGGTTCTGACATTATGGAAAAGAAATGAAACAAAAAATAAACGGAATATCAAGTAAATTTAGACACGTAATTTATAGAAAAGTCAAGAGATGTTTACGAATCATTCCCTTTTTAGACATGCGGTCACAGACGACGCAGGCACAAAATGAATATCTTGCAGGACTGACCTACCATCCTATAATTGAGATAAATTGCTTGACTACGCATATTGTCTAATTCTATATTTTAATTTAAGTATTGCAGACAGTTTTGTACAATGATTGACTACGTTAAAATTTCTACACCATTGTCAGTGACCAGGAGCTAAAATAACAGGATCAGTAAAAAGAAAGAATAAACCGAATGAAATTTACTTACAGTATGTTCGAATTGAGCACTTCTACCACCATCTACAGTGGATATAGTCCATTGATCCGGCCACATGATACCTGATGCAGACCCTTGACAAAGAATAGGTTCCTAAAGGAAGCAGTATAAGTTAAAGGATACATACATACCACGAAGTAGACTTACTATAGTAAAAGTGGTACCAGAGACCATTTCTCCTTCCTCGTCATTGACTATACAACATAGATATAAATATACGATATATAAAATTTAATCGTTCATCAACTTACTATGATGGTAAATCAAAGGTAAACTATGAAACTCTTTTCCGATGCCATGTCCCGATAATTCTTCTGACACAGAAAATCCATTCTTCATGGCATGCTCACTAAAGGTCGGTGTCAGCAAAAGCTATAGTTAGAGCAGAATAATAGCATACCAAATAATACGGCCAATTTCTTTATACGGGACACCTGGACCACAAATTGCGATCGATTTCTCCAGAGTTTCTTTCGTACATTCGACTAATGCTTTACCCTTTTCGTCTACATTACCCACTAAAAATGTAGCGGATGTGTCACCGTGATATCCATTTAAATACAACTGTTTATGCAAAGTGAGATTAGATCTTTGGTAAGCAATTTTTTTTAAAAAAACCTGCACTTACGGTAACATCAACGTTTATAATATCACCATCCTGTAATGGCCTATCGTCAGGTATACCGTGAGCAATAATATTGTTGATAGATGTACACACACTTTTCGGAAAACCCATATAATTCAAAGGTGAAGGATATGCATTCTTGGAGATAATGGCCTCATGAATGACTTTATCGATATCATTTGTAGTAACACCTGGCTATAATATGGCTGTTAAAACCATACTATGGTGTATAAAATAGTTTCCTTTCTTTGTTATGGTCACATACCTTGCATAGGGTAGATCCTAAAGACAAGATCTCTTTAGCAAGTTTTCCTGCTTGTCGCATGCCAATAATCTCTTGCTCGGAAAGAATGGGAATGTCAGGCCCCCAGTTGGAAGAGATGCCTGTTTCGGCATAAGGAGGTTTTAGTATATGATTGGGAACAGGACGATGAGGCATTTTCCGAACATCAATTTTGGCCAAGGAAGACGGCGCTAGTCTCTTATATGTGCCCCATTTGTTTACAATTTTGTTTTGTGAAAAAGGATGACGAGCTAAGGCTGAGCTCGTTGTGTGTAAATGACTGCATGAAATCTTGCTAACAACTCCATGTAAACGTAATTTTTGACAGCCTAAAGCGTTCATTTTGACGTTTTAAGTGACTGTAGGAGAAGTATGTAAAAAATTGCCTGGGGGTGAAAGCCAAAAGGCGGGGTTTAATAGTAGCTTTAAGTCTAAGTTTTAGTTTTAGTATTTTTCAACTTAACTACAAGAAACAAAATCCAACAGTCCCTAAAACTTATAGATAATAATAATAATAAATATATTATCGTCTGAAATAGTTTTATGAAAAATATCGATTTTATGCCTACAAATTTTATGGGATTATATTTACTGTATGTCATGCCATCTAGTCATCATATTTTTAGCAGCAAGCTTTCCAAAAATGGCTTCTCTCAATTCGTACAAGATGGATTTATTTCTTTAGTTAGATGTGACCCAAGTTATTATCATTATACGCAGGTCAAACACTCGTATCTGTTCACAGACCGCATGAAGAAGTGCAGTTAGGCAAGACATAAAAGTATGTGGAGAAACGGGTGTTTGACACACAAAATAAACGATAGAAAACAGTAAGTAAGGTTAGTATTGCTTGCAGACTTATTACTTCTTATTAAAATGAAATCCCATTTTTCATCTATCAAGAAAAGAGGTTGTTCAGAGTGTGGGTGGATAGACTTAATAATTACTTTTTTGGTGGACAGCGGAGTTTGTCTACTCAGGTTGTGAAGCATAAAATAAAAGGTGGATTTTTCGCCTTAAAGTAATCGGATAGTCCACTATCCAGTTTAATCGCTCTTCTCCCCCCCCCCCTCCGTACTACAAAATCTGACATACTTCCCTTACATCAAAGAAGATTATCGAGCAGTGAATATTACCATACAAGACGTATAAGCTGTCGATGCCGACTGCGTGTGTGTAAAAGGGAGATTTAGATGGAGAAACATTTTTATATGAATCGTCTATTAAAAGGCCCCTCGAGTACAATGGTCCCTTGTTTATATTTTTGAGGTTAAACTACACGTATCACTCTTTATCCGTGGAAAAAAACAATAATTGAGGATATATTAATAACTTATCAGTAAAAAAACCAAGGTTTTTCTGGTTATGGAATCACGGGTGTTGGTTACTGATAATATCTTCTCAATGGATAACCATTGCAAATACACACATTTTCTTAATTACGCCCGTTGTCGCATTTAAGCGCCGTTTAAACGTTATTGTTCGATGTTTTTAAGTGATAAAAAGAATTAGTTTTGAGGTTACACAGAACATGCTAATGCCAATAGGAAATAGGTGCAAGACTTTCATAAAGCCCAAACGGGTCGATTGTACTTTTTCTCTAGTGAAAGTGGATTGAATATAAGACTTGTGATAAGTTAACAATTCTCTTGGTATATTCCAACCTTCAATAGACGTTCCTTGTAAGTGTGGTCATGATATCGTATAAGGTAAACTGCACGCTGTTAAAAGCAAGGTTTTCTATACATTATAAGTGGTTAAAGCCAGTGTTCGGAAGATGTTAATTGCTTATTATTTTTATATACAATAATATCCTGGGTACTTCTCTTTATCAAAGTCAATTGTACGCCATGTTAGAGTTCCTTAAGGTAGAATAGTTGATAATTTTGCTTTTTAAATCATAGTTTTAAAATATGTAGGAATTATCACACTTTATTTTCAAATTACTTGGCCTGTTGATCAGAAAAATCTGAGTCACCGAATGCAGCACAATCTTGTGAGGTTAGCATATTAAAATAATGCAAATGTTTTATCATTGTTCAGGCAATTTTTCCCACAGTCTAATTAAAGGAAAGTGTTCTTAGCTCTTACATTTTGTGGATTACTGTTTTGACAACATTATTAGGTTTAAGAAGGAGATTGTTTTTAATAAATGAAATTTTATTAGTTTAATATGAGGGATTGGCGCACGATCTTGTTAAAAATATTTAATTTTTTAATGTATTGTCTGATGAGCGGATGTATGCAATGTAAAGACTTTCCCGGAAAACAATTACGCGAATACCTGGCATTGAGGGTAAACGTATTCCAATGTTTAAGTGATTGTGGAGCCAAATAAGTTGCTAATAAAGGTTCGTTATTATTAAGTAAATAAGGATATCAATGCATAACTCACATTAAAATGAGATTAATATTCTTACATTACAAGTCGATATGATAGCTACGAGAAAAAAAAGGGAAAAAAAGCAAGACATGTCATTGTCAAGAAGTTCAATTTGATAATCTGTCACACAAATTTATTTGCACATTGTGGTTTAAATGTAATTGGCCTGATGGATAAATGAAATTCTTTGCTCCGATATTACATACATGAAACATTTTTATCCATGGTGCGCATGATGGTTCTCTTATCTTTTACAACCGAGGTCTCACTATTCTTTAGTTTATCTGTATCGCACGTCATCTTTTTTTTTTTTTTTTTTTTTTTTTTTTTTTTTTTTTTGGTGTACCACCGGGAAAAAAATAGTTTCAGTTGAAGCTGAGCCTGTGTTGAAGTAACCATTCTTTTTTTCTTCTTTGTCATTAAAGATTATTTGTACATTACAAATATAATTCAAGCTTTTTAAAGAGACCTTATTATTGAGGCACACCAGTCATGCTGAACATTGCGCCTTATATTGCTAAAGTAAAAAGCAAATAAAAAAAAAAGAATCATTTAACGAGACCCAAATCAGTAACCAATTTATTATTTTTAAATAAATATAGTATGTAAGATCCTTACATGCTCGGCAAGAGCAATTACAAATCCCTTACAGTCAGTCACAATTTGGTGTTGTGCTCATGGTGGATGTTGTGGGTATGTCATGTATCGAGATTTCTTAATTATTTTATGCTCATATATTATCTACAGGTTTTAGTGCAGTAAGCGTTTTATTTATGTATCAAACAAACTACATATCTAATTGATTTTTTCTAAGCTAACAACAATGGCAGCCGAGAAAGGCGATTCTGGAGCCGAGGCGATTGCGCTTGAAATCGGATCATACATGGGTGAAGTATGTTTTATGTGAGTTGAGCTTTGTTTCTTCTTCTCTTGTTAAATAAATTATGAAATAGTGTATTCAAATCATTGAACATTTTGGGGGCGATGTGGTCAAGGTTTGTAGATATACTCAACATTTTATTATTGTTTTCTTATATTCCTTTGCAGTTTCTGGGTGATGCAGTATTAGTTAGTTTTCAGGCCAACTCGTTTGAGGACGAAAGTGAAGTATATCTAGAGGATAACACGCACGAAAAAATGGCAAGGCAAAAGAATTTATTGGTCCGTAAAGCAGTTGAATGTGGATTACAACTACTGGCCAGATTATCTCATTATCGTGTTTATTTAACAGCAGAAGAACGCACCAAACATAAATCATCAGAAACAGGTGAAATCGATCGTCGAGTTAAACCAGACAGAAATCAAAGATTTTATTTATTTGACGGAGGCGGAAACGGATCCACAAATAGTCAAAGATCTTCTACGTCTCGAGATAGTCTACCGCTAGGCTCATGCGATAATCTAGATCCATCTTACGCAGAAGAATACTCGACTTCTTTTAATTTATGGAATTGTATACCCAAAATGTTTGGAAAAGGAAGAAAGAATAAAGTTTATGCAACCAGAAGAGCAAGTGACACAAGTGATACCATTAAAGAAACTATAGATTCAATCGATTTAGAGTTACACATAGCATTATCGTGTGGAGATGTCACCAATGTAATTTTAGGCGACATGAATAATACTGCATCCGCTCCCATTTCACCGACAACAGCTAAAAGACAACAACGATTTTCATATGTCAGCTCAAACGGAACGGAAGATGTTGATTATAACGTCGAATATACCGGGAGATTAGAGTACGCTATTTGTGGTCCTGCCGTCGAATCCCTGGAGGATGCGTTAAATGCAGCAAAAGCTGGTGAAATGAGTATCACGCCGGAAGCTTACGATCTCTTTCAAAATCAGGCCATGATGAGTTTATCCTTTGAGAAGCGTAAACAATTTTATGTGGTCACGAGTTCGGATTTTAGTAATCAACGGAAAAGCCTTCGTCCCATGCACCAGAAAGGCTCACCCTCACCTAATGCAAGCTATCTCGCTAATCGTCCTGGTCTGATGACTCGAGCTGCTACCCTTAATATCGAACCTTTAATACCTCGTACCAGAGATACATCCTATCTGGAACTCACAACAGATCCAAACCCTCACTATTTCAAATATATCAATCGTAGCGCTCTTAATCGACTAAAGCATAGCCCAGACGATAATTTTCCCGCCCAGTTTAGAGATGCTACCATCATGTTTATCAGTCTAGGTAAACTAAATGTGGCTACACCAGAAGGTATACAAATTGCACAGCGAGCTTCTATGGCAACCATACAAGCCCTTGTGAAATATGAAGGTAATCACAACAAGCTCATTTATTATTTGACTTTTTAGCATACTAAAACTCTTCTATTACTATTACAAAGGAGTACTTCAGCAATTTGCAGTGGATGATAAAGGCGCAACATTGCTAGCAGTATTTGGACTTCCACCTCTTTCACATGAACGAGAAGCGGTATTTGCCGCAAAGGCAGCAATTGATCTCCGAGAGACATTTGAAGGATTTCTGGAAGATTTTTCAATTTCTTTATCGACAGGCATCATTTTTAATGCTGTACTCCCACAAGGGAATCCTTATCGACGAGATCCAGCGATTGCGGGAGATACAATTATCATGGCAGTGCGTATGTTGAAATTTCCGTTTTCAAAAAAGAACATTGTATGTGATTTTGCCACCAAGCAGCAAATCGGAAGAGCGTGTGATTTTGAGGATTACGGCGAGAACTTTGTGAAGGGTAAAATGAAGCCTATTCCACTGTATGGAATTATTCGATTTGCGACATTAAAGACCAAACGTATTTCAACCCAGAGTCAGGAAAAGAACTCAGATTTTATTGGGTATCGGTCAGAGATGGGTACAGCGACAGATTTTTGCGATGAATGGGGGGAGTCTCCTAATAACCACCTGTTGGTGATCTCGGGACCTTCCGGTGTCGGTAAAAGCTTCTTTTGTCATGCACTAAGTCGAACCATTAGCTCACATGGCACCATTTGTTGCTGGTCTTCGTCCACAGAAGGTAATACACATGGTAGAGATAGAAAACAAAAGAGATTTTATTTAACCTAGTATGTTTAAAAAAATAGTTGAGAAAAGTTCGAAATATTATCTGGTAAAAAACATTTTATTGGCCTTATTTGAAATCATTGATTCGGAACAAGTGCCTCAAAACCCTAAAAGAAGAGTACCTTATTTGACTGGATCGGGTGGTATTCAATTAAATGATTCGATAAATTCTCATGCAGCACCAGGTGATTTTTCTACGGCTTCTTCAACATCATCCGTTGTTCCTTCGCCCACTACAGTAAAAGATGCGGCGATAAATACAATGACTATGGGCATTACTCGCAGATTGACCAACTATTCATCCGTATCAAGGTCCTCTATTGGGGATACAGGTGACCCTATTTCAGAAGGTTCAAATGAACTGGCAGACCTTATCACGCGATGTCTCCGAATTTGCGGAGAGGAAGATGGCTTTCTCCCTTTATTCAAGGTCGTCTTTAATAACCTATCAGAGATTGAAGATAATCGATACACACACCGTCTGGATGGCCGTGGTCGCGATATTTTACTTACTGGTCTCATCACACGTATGATACGATACGTAACAGAACATGTCGGTCTTGTGTTTTTCTCGGACGATGTTCAATGTAAGTTACATGTCTATTTTTATATGTTTATTTTATTCACCGTCCCTTTTGATTTTCTCTGTCAGGGGCGGATTCTGCCTCGATTCGATTATTGCAACATATTCATGAACACTGTCAACGTGCCATGTTGATATTAGCAACACGACCAGTCAAAGATTATAACGTGGCATTTATAAATAACTTTCGAGCCACGGGTTATTCAGAGGAAATTGAGTTGAACGGATTAGGGGCTGCAGAAATTGGCGAGATCATTTTACAGACCTTTCAAGCCGTGGGTGTGAAAAGTGTGAGCCCTGAAATTGTGCGTGTAATCCAAAAGCGGACAGCAGGCAATCCTCTTTATGTCAAGTAAGCATGATATGAAAATTTGCTCCTGGACAAAAAAAAAAAGGCTGACTCATATGTGGGCTTTTTGTCTTTTCTTTTTTAGAAATATGGCAATTGTACTCAAGGATTTCAACCATGTGACAGTAGTAGATCGTGTCTTAGTCCCCAGTAACAACCAGTTTGATTTGGAAGATTTGTTGGGCAACTTTGATTACAAACGAATTATCAAGATGCAATTTGATCGTTTGGAAGGTAGTTTTCAAGAGTTCCTAACCGTAGCAAGCTGCCTGGATCAATACTTTACTATCAAGGAAGTACAAAGTGTGATTAAAGGAAATAACATGGACTTTAAAAATGCCAGCGACATCATGGTACGTGAAAAAATTGAGAGGTATGATGTCTATCACTTTATTCAGAAGATAGACGATAACATCTTGGAATCGGATGGTCAACTCTATACATTTGCACATATCACAATTCCACAAAGTATCTATGATATGGTGTCTTACGAAACTCGAATTCTTCTTCATCGGTTATTAGCAAAGCATTACGAAGGTCAGCTTACGCGTGAGAATTACACTGACTTATTAGGCAAGGTCACCCGTCATTACCTTCAAACAGACTGGTTGGACAAGCAACTTTATTACTTGGAAGCGCTCGCTGATCTTAACATGAAGTCTTACCTGTTACCAGAAGCCACAGCCAGTTTGGAGCGCATTGTCAAAATCCTCGACGAAAACCAAGACTTGGCAGCCTTGTTTGGTCGTATTCATCGCAGTGATATCTACCGTCGACTCGGTATGTGTTTTACGATGCGTACCAAATTGAACGAGGGAGAACATTTCTTGTTCAAGGCATTGGATTGTTTAGGAGAACCTTGGCCACAAAGCGAGCCGGAATTCTTTTACAAGTTTTGGGTAAATCGACTTGCACAATACCGACATCGCAAGATCCGTGTGCTTCGGAAATTTGACAAGGATTTGAAGCGAGATATAGGAAAACGTGTGGTAGAGATTATGGCTCAACTTTCAAACATTTACTTCTATACGGGTAAAGGACGTGCGTTTGTCTATACCTGTCTTGTGGGTCTGAATGCATGTGAAAGATTGAACGAGGTCGGACCTAATTATACCCTCTTTTTGGCTCGAAATTCCTTATTGAGTTGGCTCAACGACGAAAAGGAACAAAGTATATTCTATATCACAAAAGCGTTACGTTACATGGATGAAAAGAATGATGCGGATACACTGACTATTTGCTCCCACTTGTGTTTTGCTGCAGGCAAGTTTAAGAATGCACGCGATTTGCTGTACCAGTCAATCGATGCAGTCAAAACCTTAGGTGTGATCACGGATTGTCAAGCGTTTTATCGGTCGGTAGGACTTGTTATTACCATGCGGATTTTTGAAGGTACATTGGATAATTCGCCTGATGATCTACTGCTGTTAAAACAAATGGCAGATACTGCGCATACAAATTGTGATTTTGAGGCAGAGATCTGGCTAGGTGTATACAATATTGGAAATGCCTTGATTATGGATCGCTTGCGTGAGTGTGAACCCTTTGTAGCTTTACTAGAGAATCATCTGAAACAACAGCCTGCCGATTATAACAGGATTGCCATCTATGGTACCTTGATCTGTTACTATGCTCGAACTAAAAATTATGAAAACGCAAGGAAGCATACCAAAAGTCTAGTTGCTATCCTTCCATTATTAACAGTAACACGTAAGATAGAAAGAAAGATATATGATTTTTATAAAAAAAAAAAAAGGCTCACAATGAATTTATGTTTAGCAAATATATTCCCCATCTTTGGCCTGATATTCGCTACGATGGGTATGTATTGTATGGTAGAAGATGCAGAGGTAGATCTTGTTTCTACAGGAGATTCGAAAAACTATGAACGATTTATTCTTGGGGTGTCTCGTATCAATCATGCTTTCCAACAAGTGAAATTCTGGGAGTTTACCCAACCGTGCTTATACCTGGCTAGAGCATTACCGTATATCAGCACAAAAAGAACTGTGGAAGGCTTCATGGTACTACAACATGGCGTGCTTGAAATGCGATTTATCCAAGAAATCAAATTTCTGAAAGCATTTTATTGGGCTAACCTAGGTAAATATGCATTTACACCCACTGACAGAATTGAATGGACCGAACGTGCCGCTCATGATCTGGAAGAGTTGCATATCCCTTCGCATGTCTATTGTAATCCAGACCCTGCCAACTTGTACTCTCGTAATACTCCCGCTGATCTTACTGCTTAATTAATTCCCCATACATTCCTTTTCATTGTATCTAATTCCTTTCTACTACTAGCATCCCTCTTAATAATAAAAAATCTCACATCCTTTCCTTTCCCCTCGCGTGGTGTATTTAGCCTTTGTCGGAGTATAATTAAAAACCTGCTCCCCTAACTACGATGTTTTTTTTACAGCAGTGTTTCTCTAAGAATTAGATCACCCATGCTCTTGTTACTGAAAAGATCAACAGCCCACACTGGTTTGCGATGCTATGCATCATTACCCAAAAGAGCAATGTTACCCACCAAAGCCATACCCAAGAAAGCTGCGGGCCGATTCACCAGCAACAAGTTGATCGATCAACCTATTGAAGGTCAAATGAAGGACGTGCAACAAACACTTGTCTACCTTGGTAATGAGAAAAAGAATAGAGATGAAGGGACGTCAAATACGATGTTGACATTGTTTAACTAGGTCCGTTTGCTGAGACGATGAGACGATACAAGATGACAGCTTCGTTCTTTGGTATTTGTGGTATTTTTGCTGTACCTGCGTTATTAAGTACTGGCCAAGCGCCTGTGATGAGCGTTGCATTAGGTAAGCAACAGTTTCTCAAAAAAAAAAAAAAAAAAAAAAAACCAAATTCGCATGAAAGTTACTGATAACATTGTAAAAAAGCGGGAGTATCAGCAGTTTCTCCCGCCGTGTTTGTGCATTTATATACAAGTGGATATGTTACTAAATTAGTGGTGTACGACGATATAAAGACTGTTGAAAAGGAGCGAAAGAAGCCCAAGGAAATGAAGGATAAGTTTATCGGAATTGAGACGGTGTCATTTTGGGGGCAATTTAAAGAGGATACGATGTGGTTATCTCAATTGGCCTATAAATCAACACCCAAGGGGATTACATGGCAACAAAAGATTGGAGCTAAAAACACGTATACGATGGAGCGTGAGATTATGGAAGCCGATCCGTATCTAAAGGCCTTGGTGGATAGGGTCCAGCGAAAAGAAGCATGACATCATAAACTTGTTGATTGGTTCCGCCCCTAAATTCAGATAAAATAAATTAGATAATTTTTTTTTTCAATTTTAAACATCTTTTCTCTCTCTCTTTATTAAATGCAAAAAAAGATGCCTGCTTCTTCCAATATGAAAAGAACAGGACGTAGACCATCCTATATTAATTTACAAAGTGCCAATAGTAGCACAACAAGTCTAATCGCTACAGATGTGTTGTCACCACGTACACCACGCAATATCAGCAAATCTCGACGTTCGTCTATTGTTGCGGAGCATGCAACGGAAGCGATTTCAAACGAGAGCAAACGAAGCAGTATAGCATCAGGTCCTCCATTATTATCTGATAGTACAAATTCTTATTTCCAAGATATGGCATCTGGCGATGACGTTCATATCCGATCCGAGACACCAACACTGCGAGCAAGAAACTCTATAGACGATTTAAACAAGCGCAACAGTGGTAATGCTAGTAGTAGCAGTAGGCGTACACGATCTTCCTCGATTTCGAGTTTATTAGGCTCCACGCATGTACTACCTAGTTTCGACGTCCATACGCTGTATAAAATTAAAACAACACGTTCATCCAAGAAATTGGACCATTTTTTTGGTGAATTTGCACCGCATGATATTTGTATCAAAGAGATTAGAAAAGAAGGTTTGAAGGCCATTCTTGAATCCAAATCACCTCTTTGTTACTTTCTATTCCATTTACTGCAAGAATACAGCAGTGAAAATCTGGTAAGTTTATAAACAAGGGCAATGTGTGGAATTTCAAATTGAGTGTGGTACTAAATGGTTTTTGTACAACATTTGGTCTAGTTTTTCTTTATCGAGTTGGAGCAGTATGAATCCTTCACCTATGCCTCGTTGGGACAACAATTGGCCACCGCTCAACATATTTTTAATACATACCTGACCCGAAATAGTTACTTTGAAGTGAACTTGGATGACAAGGTGCGTCGATCCGTCACCGAGTCCTTGGATAAAAAGGACGCCAAATCTTGTTTTGACGGTGCCAAAAGAGCGGTTTATTCGCTTTTAGAATCGAGTTTTGTCCGATTCCAAAATACAGAAACCTTTCAAGATATGGTGGATGAATGCGGTAAAGTTTATAAATAAGATTTAAAAAAAATTAATTTATTGAGATAATGAATAGGCGAATTAACTACGCATTACGATGACAAATCAAGAAGGGCGGCCGTGAATAGACTATTAATATATATTGAAGAACAGCATACCAAAATTTATAATACAGAGTCAAATAATAGCATGTACCAAAGTGTCAGTCAAACAACAAAAAGGCGCCACGAATTAATTAAATCTATGATTCATGAATTCTGTCGTACTTTGGTGGGTGTTGAATTCAATTATTATACTCCCGCTGATGAAGAAGAACGCCAATCACCCTCTCCAAGACAGAATTTTCGCCATGTGGGATTTCCTTCTTTTAGTAATGCTGCAAGTGCTAATTCTGAATAAACTAGATCCCCCTCTCAATAATCATTTAGAATAAAAATATCACAAAAAAAAAACCATTGTCATAGAATGATTGAAAAAAAAAATTAAAGAATACAATATTAGACATAATACATAACAAAATTATAATAGACCCCCAGTATATAATTACAAAGTGCCCTTTATGTTGTCAGTTGGGCGGAAACAATGAGAGATGCATTTTTTTTTACGTAAGACACAATGAGTAGATCGATTTATTGTTCAACAAAAACAGTCTAGTGCAAAATATGATCCCATTTACTAGTTACCTATTTCACCAGCTTCAATAGAAAAAAAGGCAAATAGAGATGTTAGGTGAGTCAGCCCTTCTCCTCCCTCTCTTAATTCATAATCTATAGGCAGAAAACTGGGTGTGTGCGGTTCTATTTGAAATGTTATGCAAAAAGAAATGATTAAAATAAACCATACAGTGCGTGATGTCATCTGGTCTCTTTGATAGATGGAAATTCATAAAGAGTGCAAAAAAAACAGTGCAATCATATAAAAGCATCTCAAAAATAAGAAACTAGCTAAGGAGTATCCCAGTTTAACCTGTTCTTTTTTATATTTTCCCTTTTTTTTATCTTTTTACCTTCTTCTTTTGCCTACCTCTTTTTGATTTCTTTTTCATGGATCCTGTTATCACAAATGTCAAACCTACAGAGAACCAAGATGGCTACTTTAACTCCGTCGACGATCAAGTAACCAACCTCAACCAAGGTAATTCAGCAGTAGTACAAGCTCCAACAATTGAATATTCAGATGAACAGTATGTGTCCCTTCCCTCTCTTTCTCTCTTTCTCCCCTTTTTTAGATATGCCTGATCGTTACTAAATTTTCTAATAGAGTGAACATCCATCCTCGTTCAGCACATTATACAGGTCCACCCGAGCCCGTATTTCAAAATTGTTTAGCACCACAAGTAGTCTTACCACAACAAGCAGTTATACCACAACAAGCAGCCGTGCCACCCATTATCCGAACCCGAACATCATCAGGATATTCAACTTATAGTAACATCCTTATAACACCCGATGAAGTAAGCCGATCGAATCATGGTTTCCATGAAGGTACTCTGTTCTGTGCCATTGTTTCCAAGGCACAGATTCGGTTTGAGAATGCTCATCCCGAAGACATATTCAAGGATAAGAAGAAGCTTGTTTGGAACAAATATAACGCTGTGATTGCATGCAACGGCAAGCTCGAGCTGTACAAGTCATGTCAATGCAAAGATTGGGTACAACACACAATTAAAAGGCTTGTGCATATAAAGGATGATGTAACTAACACTTTTATCAATATAGCATTTGTGTTTAACACAATTCCGTAGACAACGACCTGCATATAAACTTGATTTACACCCTTCCCGGGGCAACTTTCTTTTCACACCTAAAAAGTATCATACTCACTCAGCCGATTGTACTTCATGTTTTCGACTATCACTTCAATCAACTGTGGATTATTCCTGGTCACTATCCACACCCAATAAAATATTTTACTTCCAATCAGCTAATGTACGTCAGTCACGAGAATGGTATCGAGCTCTGTACATGGCTTTACCATTATATTCCAAAAACCCTCTTCCTACCTCCATCGATCTTGTTTTACCACAAATTCCTACAACCATTAACATGCCGCTTTCCAACATTTCTGAGGGAGATAATGTAAATCTATCAAAGGTGAGAGAGAGTGCGTTGGCTTTATTACAGAGAGATGGTCTTCGACCCAGCGGATGGAATAGACATACGATGGGTATGTGTTGGAAGTCACCATTAAATGATCTGGATTGGGCCTTGATACCTTCAATGAGTCCTGCCGATTCTGAAACCTCTTATCTGATTGAACCACGACTAATCGAAAAGGTAATACAACTCACTACACTTGGTTATTATATATTTATCTTATGTGTACTCCTTTAGACGCATGAATTACAAATGCGATTATACATTCCACCAGCACAAGTACCAACTTTTCATGTGCCTCCTCCTCCTACCACCCATTTTGAAGGCTACGTTCGTGATGCTTCTCGAACACGTAATATGTCCAAGATCAATCCACTTTTATATGTATCCATGATCGACAACTACTTGTTTTTATACGCTATCGAGAGAACAAAGGCAGAAAAAAAGGGATTTTCGCCTTGGTTCCATAAAAGGCCACAGGAAGTGCCATCAACGCCACCACCCACCTATTTGTTGACACCTCAAAATTCCATTGGCATGGTAGATATGTGTGATTTCCCACAAGTAAGAGAGACACGAAACGAAAATGATCAGCATATGTTTCATGTGGGAAATACGTTATTGTTGGAAATCTTGGGAAACCCGTATGGTGAGTGGACTAATAAACATAAACTCGTCAAGAAAACCCAGATCGAGCATGTGGTAAATACACATAACAGTAAAAAAAAAAAAGGTGATATCGGTAAATAACATTTAATTTTGTTGTAGAAATCAGGCATGGTATATGTGAAGGATGGTACAGGCAAGATGAATACATTTAAACAACGCTTGTGTGTGTTAACCAAAGACGGTGATCTGTGTATTTTTAAGACGATGAGTAAACGCATGATGTTTAGACCGATTGAAAAGATTATCAAGCTTGATGAAGAGGATTTTTTCATTTACAGTGGTCTTGATTGCTGTCAATATATCAATGGTATTCCAAGCTTCCAAAATGCACGATTATATAACACAGATAGAATGCCAGTGAATCCACGACCCAAAGATAGTTGCTTTGTGATCAAGATGGGTAAAAAAGAGAAGGTGTTTTTTGCCGAATCAAAGCAAGCTAAAGAGGAATGGGTGTCTTCTATTTGTCTATTAAAAAAGTAGATTTGTTTCATTAGTAAAAAAAGTTAATATATAAAAATAAAAAAAATTGTTTATAGATGTATCTTTTTCTCTCTCTTTATTTCCATAAAAAGATGTTTCAATACCATCAATCGTATCAATCGTATCAGTACACATTTTACCTTGGTTTTACACAACGAAGAACAGGGCGTGTCAAATTCTTTAATTTAAAGAAAGGATACGGTTTCATCATTCCCGATAGTAACGGATCAGCGGATGAAGGTAATGGGTTGCTAGAGAAGAAACAAGAAGGAATGTCATATGTTGAGACGACTGACTATTATCATGATAAATACAGTATTTGTTCATCAATCATCGATTATGAGTTCAAATAAGGGATTTCTCGTTGGATTAAACAAGGTTTGTGACATATCCATGTCATTATTACGTTATATATGTATATTCACATGCTTTTATAATAGGGCGAACCAGTATAAATATTCATAATGAGCAATGGAATAGTCAGTTTGACCATTTATGTCTAATAAATATTTCAAATGATAGGTAGAATATGAAGTACAATACGGACCAAAAGGTATTTATGCGTTACATGTGACAGGACCTAAAGGACGACCTATAGAATATAATCCATATCAACAGTAAGGCACACACACAAAAACAAATGATGGTTAGTTCTAGAACATTGATGCTTTGCTACCAGGTTACTCTATCAACAACAACAACGGGCAGCCGAATTAGGTATTTTTCATTATTTAATCAGGATGTCAATATAAACAATTACAACAGAAAAAGGCTAAAATCTTTAAAAAAGGCGTGACTTATCCTTATGTGACTTATGTTATTCCTTCTCTTTCATACCATTAAACAAGGTTTCTGTGCTAAAAATCTCTACCGGATGTGGCGGTGGAAAATATGGTTGTGCTGGTATATTTCGATTTCCCTGCACCAAAAAAAAAAAAAAAAAAAAAAAAAAAAAATGTTTAGCATTAATAAAGCCTTGTTTTGTGCCAAACTCACAAGTCTAAACGGTGTACTGGCTGACACTGCCTTTTCCATCATATCCACATTTTCACCCATTGCATTGTAAGTATCCTTGACTTTATTCACCAGCGCCTTTTTTTAAAAAAAAGGTTAAGAAGGCAGAAAACTAACCAAGGGGAACAAGGAACATACCTCTAATTGATCGATTTTGTCAAAAGTTGCTTGTAATTCGCCATGCTTTTGGTTTAAACAAGTCAACATTTCCTGAATGAGCTCTGTTTCTGATTGAATTTTGTTTGTTAATTGAGCTGTGTCTTCGATTCTTTTTATGCAAGCACTTGTTTCGTGGTTCCAAGAAGCCATCTATAAAAAAAGAAATAATGTCAAAAGTGTGTTGTTAAGGCATGTGTGTGTCTTTACAGTGGCACTCGCCAGGTTTTCAATAGAGAGTCTTGACTCTAGTTCCTGTGCTGCTTCCGCAACAATGTGTTCCATTAGAAGAGAAAAAAATATTTTTTTTTATTTAAAAGAAAAAGCAAGAAAGGGCGGAAGGAGAAAAATTACATAAAAAAAGATAGAATGCATAGAGAAATGCTTATTTTATGAGTATTGTACATATGTATAAGAAAGAAAGAAAAATAAAAGGCATAGGGTGTAGAGTCTAAGCAATATAGAAATTGCTATAAGGAGGAATGATGGGATGCTGTTCCAATTTAATGGGAGTGGGAGCAGCAGGTGATGGAATTTTTTTAGCTTGTTGACGCTTCTTCATCATGGATTGTGTGACTGACGGAATATTCCGAGCCGATGCAGAAGATGCAGAGTTATGGTTTTTCATGTGGGATGATTTGATGTGTTTTCTTAAGGATCTGGAGTGGAAATAAGCTTTATCACAGCCAGGCATAGAGCATAAGTAAGGTCTAATATCAGAATGAGTTTTGATATGGGTGGAAAGAGAGTCAGGGCGAGAGAATGTCTTATTACAGCCTATAACAATATAATTTTTCAGTATTCATGTATACAATAAACAAATACCGAATAAACATACCTATCACGGTGCAGACAAAGGGACGTTCACCTGTGTGTGTACGCATGTGATTATGCATTTTGTGTCTCTTCATGAAGGGTTTCTTGTTACGAGCACAGTCTTGCCATTCGCAAAAATAGGTGGCTTTACCGCTACCGATATGATTATCACAGATATGAGTCATGAGTTGGTCTAAGGTAGGAGCTTGAGCGGAGCAGTGAACCCATAGGCAGGAATGCATTTTTGTTTCTTGTTCCTTGCACAAGGTGATTTCATAATGATGATTATGATTATGGTTGTGGTTGTTGCTATGTTTAGGTTCTTCAACAAAGTCGCCGATAACAGTTCGTTTGTTCTTTTCCATTTCGAGTTGAACAACGCGTTCAATCAGTTGCTCTCTCGAGAGTTGGCTGAGGCAGGCAGTGTCCTCTTTTTCATAGTAAAATTGTTGCATATGGGTGATAATACTGCTGTCTGTGCCCATCATAAATTGATTATTGTCGGAATAACTCTTTTGTAACAGCATCATGTGGTCTTGATTCTATATGCAACATAAAATGTCAGTGCGCGCTTACTTAAAAATAATATACAATACTTACACAGAGAGAAGGAATAAGTTGAACGGGATCATGCTGCAAAATGGGTGAAGGTTGCAAGAAGGAAGTGTAACCACCACCGTTAAATAATTGAGAGTTTGTTGTCATCATCATATCGGTAATACCAATGTCGGGAGTGCGAATGCCTAATGAAGATGTGTCGGATAGTTGTTGATGATTATGGTTTTGTTGGATAAACATCCATTCTTCCAAGGACGATTCTTTGGGAACTAAACGAAAAAGTATGTTAGTAAATCTAACAAAGTGCCATTCATGCGTTTAATTACCTGGATCATTGGTTGCGGGGGAGTGAGGAGAAGGGTAGTACGAAAAGTTAGGTTGGTTAAGTAAGGAAGTGTGAATCTTTAATTCAGACTTGTTATCGTTGTTGTAGAAAGACATTTTTAAGTAGTAATTGTTGTCGAAAATATAACAAGGGTGTGTAAAGAGTGAAGAAGAGAAGGAAAAGAAAGAAATGGGGAAAAAAGGGGAATAATATATATAGACTTTTTTTTTTAAGGTTGCTCCCCCAAATTTAATTTGTAAAAAGCAGGTTCATCCCAACTCATCTCTGGCCCTTTCTGTGGGCTGAGAAAATTTAACGGTGTACACAAATATAATATGGAGTGATCAGTGCTTTTAATTCGAATTCAATCACAGCCAGAAATGGGGATCACCCTGTTTTTTAACAAAAGAAATAAGAGTGGCAGCACATGGACAATATATTCCCAACGTGTCACAACAATAATCGGACAACATCGGCAGCTTTTTTTTTTTTTTTATTTTTTTTTTTTGGCTTCCTCATACGATTCCGAAACACCTGTTTATTGTTTACAAATATAGGTACACAGTGTTAATTCCCTACAGGCATTATGAACATCCCTTTCTCTACTGCTTCTTTTCACATGTTTGCCTTTAGAGAAGTTGCAGATGACACAACTAGAAACAACTGAGGGTGATGATATGTAGACATGTTTTATATTTCTGTGATTATACGTCATCACATGTAGAACATAGTAGTAATACTAGGCATTCACCCCACACGTGGCAACTACAATTGTAAAAGGGGCACTTTTTTATCAAAAAGGACAAGAGCCGAGTATTTTTTTTTTATTATTACTACATCCTTCATCACTAGCAAGCTTGTGATGTCTCATATACCTTATTGCAATCAAATCACCCAATCATCTGATATAATTCTGACTTAATTAATTACCGACTGAAAATAAACGCTTAGCTTTCTTCTGCATGAGTAGTTATTTCTTTTTTCAAATTATATTCCACAAATCATCCTTCAGGGTTATAAATCCATCATTTGTGTTTGACCTATATTTACATATGAAAAAAAAAATCATGTACCCTTTTTTCTGATTCATCCGTCCATCCATTGATTGACAGCCCATCTAAACCGGTTGTCCGGAGATGTACAGTACTCCTAGTGCCAAATTGAGGCGTTTTATAGTTTGAATCTTACGCATTTACCAATCCCAGATTACCTATTCAGTAAGCATCCAAGAATAAAATGATGTATTCATTATCGAAGAGAATCTATTTACGGACATTTTTCCCAAACATATTCCCAAGTGTAGTTAGATGACCTAATCATCTTTTGATACTCAAGCTATCGACATTTGAAAATACAATGATTATAAGTCTTGCTTTACCCTAAGCAACAATACTAGAGATTGCTTACCAATAAATTTTGTATCATAGATACCAACAATGTCCTGGCGACGTGTCAAATCCTAAAGTTTTGTAACGCCTATGAACATTCCCGCTTTAAAGCGAACCTTCTAAGCTCCACCTAATTATGTTGAAGTTAAATCGAGCAACAGCATCGGATCTACGAGATAAACACACATCAAAATTACTATTACTACATGCACATTACATGCGCAAGTCGTCGAACCGGTTTTTTAAGCGCTAACCCATCATTCTTTTAATTTTAGTGCAGCCACCACGACTATCCAGTATCCTTTTGATTTGAATCAAATTCGAACCAACAACAATTTTCATACAGGCAAAAAGTTTCTGATAATGTTACAATCACATGTGCATTTCAAATATGTATTTGAAATGTCTATCCTATTCAGTAAAACATGGGGAATAGGATTGGGTCTATGTAACCTCAAGTTAACCCTATCTCTTCCTAATGGGTTGACAATAGGTACATTTGGGAAGTTTGTGTACACTAATAGTCAAAGTTAATATACCATATTCTTAAAATAATACAGTACGGGGATCCCCCTCTCCCCCCACACATTCTGACTTACGTTTGATTGTTCTAGTGTTTTTGTTGTTGTCACTATTTCACTAGATACAGTATTGAGTTCTTTAGGTACAACAGTAAGTTATGATATAAATGTTGCTACAATCCTACAGGTCGTATCAAAAATAGTAATAGACATCTTGTTGTACAATGAGTTTTCCAATGAGGTTGACATTCTCCTGCGAGATTTACAAAACAGGAGCTCAGTTTTAGTATTTGTTGTTTGAGCACTGCTAAACCATTGAGCCACTTTTGTTCTGATTGAATTAGTTATACTTTAATGCCTTACTTTAAAGAGGTCTGTTTTTTCTTGACTTTTGAGCTTTTGGTCGGAATCGTTCCAGAAGAACACGCGGATGCCCCATCGCCAATTTTTTTTTGCAACGCGACCTTTGGGGTTAGACATCAGAAGCCTAAAGAAAAGCGAGTCTCAGACACGTTGAATGACACGTCAATTATTTACCTGCCATTGTATTGGAAAAAGAAGTAAGAAGGTTGCCGCAGAAAAAAAAAAAGCGGACGTTCAATAAAAGGTTCAGCTGCAGGAAAGCGAATTATGCACCATTGCAGGTTTTGATTTTGATTAACACATTGCGTAACAACTGTTTAAAAATAAAAGATTCCGTATTTGATAAGATAAAGGGCATCGAGTAAGATGTAAAGTTGATTGGCCATAATAAATGTGAATTTTTCAACTTTAATATAGCCAAAGGGGGAATAACAGTAGTTTTCGATCTATGTAAAATACAAGTTTTGCACAACGGGGAATATTATACCTGCTGGTAAATGTACGTTTTGGAAACTACTTGTTATCTCTGTTAAGAGCACTGAGAATATCTTGTTCAATTTAAAAGAAATACTGGATAACTATTCTGGTTCAGTTTGCATTAGTGATTCAGATATTACTTCTTTATTATTATTTATTGGATTAATAGCATATCAAGTTCAGTTACGTGTGTATGATATAAATCAGTGCCTTACCCAGTAGAGTAAAGTGCCGGCGCATTAGGACGCTTGTGATGGCTTCTTTTTTTCGGCCTATTGGTGATTAATAAAAAATCAATCATCTGATATTAATCATGTTTTGTAATTAAAAATAATCTTACTGCGATACGCTTAGCTTCTGCATGGACATTTGAGACTTTGGCAGTGATACTTCCCAGTGTTTTAGAACTGAACAAGCTATGTGTTTTTCCTACACCCTTTGTAGTCTGTTGTTGGTGTCCCAGCTGTGATTTGACCTTGTTAAAATAACCAGTTACTCGAGTGGACACCCCATGTTTTTCATCAAATGCTACGCCTTTGGCGACCACGGGTTCTGTCAAAACATAGCCTGATGCTAATAACTCGGCCATCACATGTGACACGGACTTGTTAGCAACAGGAGCCGTGGTAGGTGTGATTGGCTCCTCAACACCTGCTTTGATTGTTGTAATTGGTTCCACAACACCTGCTTTATGATAAGGCTCAACGACTATGGGACAATCATCCACCACCGCTATTTTTCTCTGTTAATTAACATGCTTCTCTTTCTTTCTTTATAAACATTTATACCTCCAGATAATAAAATAGCAGTCTTGGCGGCTGACTCTTGTTCGAAATAGACAAGTGCCTTTTGGTTGTTCATTTCGAACCCCTTGATAATACCACAAAATGAGAAAAAGTCACGAATAGTTTCCTGTGTTGTTTGTGGTGAGATAGAATGAACCAGCACAGCTGTTGTAGCCTCTTCAGGAACCACAAGTGACCATGTACTTGTCATTTTCAATAAGCAAAAAAGAATAAAAAAGAAGTTTTTCTTATTAAAAAGCGCGAGGAGGTTCCCGAAAGGGAACACTTTTTTTATTTTAATCCTCCGCATGCCTGTTTGGTTTGTAATTCATTCGGCATACGCACGCACAGACCAAAAAAGATGAAAAAAAAATGCCTGTGGTTTTCCAGTACGGTGAATAACGACAACCTGATTGAGATTAATTCGTTCCTGCTGACAAGCTTACCTAAGAGTGTAATAAGAAAAAAACAGCCCAGCCAATAACAACATGGCGCACTTTTTCTAAATTGGTCTCACACGCTCATTAAAAAACTAATTTTCCTTTATCCTATTTTCCTAAAAAAAAAAATTAAAAGCTTAATGGAGACGAATGCAACGTCATTGTCACCACGTAAAGGGCCTAAAGTAAGCTCTTTTATTGAAGAAGACCCACCTATGCTTCCACCGCGTCGTGATCGTGTGGCAGCAGACTTGGTACCTGATTTACACGGTCTTATGCCAAGCAGCGGGTTAACCACGGAGCTAGATTCGCATGACACCACAATAACCAAGGAAACCATCACTGCCGCCGAACAAAAATCTGTACCTCCTACTACTACACTCCCCGGGACATTTACCAATGTACCTAAGCATTTGATTCCGGATTGGTATCGCACAGGTTGGACCTCGTTAGCCGCAGGTGAAAATCCAGGTGGTTCTCTTGGGATACGCGCAACTGAATCGGATTTCCTTGAAGAAATCTTGCCCGAATTCTTGTATGGCGCTTGGTATCATAATGGTGCTGCCCTGTTTCTTACAGCTTTGGTATCATGGACTCTTGCTAAATTGAATGCGGGCATAGGCTCAGTCTTGTTACTATGTCTCTTCATAGGTAATTCTACATAAATATTCACACACACACACAATGTATTCACCCTTTTTTTTTTTTTTTTTTTTTTTTGCATGAAAAAAAATTAGCAAGTTACTATCGCACAAGTATTCGTAGATTTCGTAGAAACACGCGTGACGACATTCAACGAGAAATCAGTAAATTTAGATTAGAAGCAGATGAAGAATCCGTGGAATGGATGAACAGTTTTGTCGCAAAATTCTGGTTAATCTTTGAGCCGGTACTATCAGCACTTGTAGTAGAGAACTTGGATAATTATATTACGGATTATTTACCTCCCTACTTGGACTCGATTCGCTTAACCACATTTACGCTGGGTACAAAACCTTTTCGCATTGAAAGTGTCAAAACATTTTTAAACACCGACCCAGATACAGTCTGCATGGATTGGCGTGTTTCCTTTATCCCCAATGATCTAGATGATTTGACACCCAAGGAGCTAGAATACAAGGTAAATCCTAAAGTAATTATGAATGCACGTATTGGAAAGGGAAGAATGGGAGCAGGTATACCTGTCATGTTGGAAGATATGGCATTTTCCGGTCATTTACGTATCAAGATCAAGTTCATGAGCAGATTTCCTTTTGTAAAGTTATTTGAAGCCAGTTTCTTGGAAAAGCCTCAATTTGACTATATTTTAAAGCCATTGGGCGCGGATTCATTCGGTTTTGATGTGAATGTGATTCCCGGTTTAGCAAGCTTTATTCGAGACCAGGTACATTCCATCTTGGGCCCGCTCATGTATTACCCAAACCAGTTGGCCATCGATGTTGAACGCTTTTGTTCAGGTGACTTTGATTTCTCGGCTGCAAATGGTGTACTCGCTGTCACTGTTTACTCTACAGACCGTATCAAACATGTAAGTGATCTGGTAGAAACTGCACCCAACCCATATATCCGTTTCTACATTGATCATGGTCAAGAACTCGACCGTACAACTGTATGTGAATCCACCTTTGAACCCAAATGGAATGAAACCCGTTACATCAAAATTAACAACCTCAATTCACTTCTCTCCCTTGAACTCAAAACATCAAGACCAGGTTTGAAGGACAGAAGATTGGCTACAGCCAATTTTGACCTGTCATGTTTGGATAGTGGGGATGATATGGCTGAACAAGAGGGTTTGGACCTCATGTTGCTGCGAAATGGTAAACATGTTAGTAATTTACGTGTGGATATACGTTATTTACCCATCTCAAAACCTCATAAACGAGATGATGGCACCATGGATCCTCCTGTCGACTCGAATTCGGGTGTATTACGCTTGACCGTACATGAATGTCGTGATTTGGTAACCACCTCAGAAAAAATTAGTCCGTATGTTCGTATCATTGTGAACGGTATCGAAAAACACAAGACACATGTAGCTAAGAACAAGAAAGAACCCAAGTTTGAAGATCCCTATGAAATTGTTGTACTTGACAAAACTACCTTCTTTGTCCGTGCTGAAGTCCGTGATAGCCAAAATGATGATGCCTTAATTGGTGCCTTTACCTCCTACCTCTCTGATATAGTTAGATTGCAAGAAAAGAACGATAGTTGGTGGGATTTAGTGGATGGTGATACATGTCTTGGTCAAATACGACTCAGTGCTGAATGGAAACCCATCATGATGTCCAACCTTACGAATTTTGTCAGCGGACATGGTTTTGATACACCTCCCATCGGTGTGATTCGATTCACGCTTTGGGAAGCACGCGATTTACGTAACGTAGAGATGGTGACGGGTGGTAAAAGTGATCCTTATGTTCGTATCCTATCGGGTTATCAAGTACGTGGGCGTACTGAAGTCATTGATAATAATTTAAATCCAGAATGGGGAGAGATCTTGTATATCCCTGTACACTCATTGAAAGAAAACTTTGTATTAGAAGCCATGGACTGGAATGCACGCACGCGAGACAAATCTTTGGGAAAGACTACCTTCAAGGTCTCGGAAATCATTCAACAAAAAATTGGCGATCAAAGTGTATCACCGGATGTCTGGTACGAGTCGAACGGTGTTAAAGTAGATCGTTGGGAAAGATTACATTCTATGGATAATAGACGTGCTTCAAAGGGTGATTTACATTATTCAGCTGAATTCGTGCCTATCCTTCAATTACCTGGAACCAATAATGCATCTGTAACTCAAGGCAGCGCTATTTCTTCTGTCTCTGCTGTTTCTTCAGCTGCAGATGAACCTTTACCTTTGCGTGGTTTACATGGCTCTTACATTCGCTACACGCCGGATGATCTCATTGATCTCGGTTCGTATAACTCGGGTGTTTTAAAGATTAAGATTCATCAAGTTCAATTCTCACACACAACACACTGTTACTGCCAAGTCATTGTAGATGCATTGATGCCGCAATACAAGACAGCTAAACTTCGCGGTGATACGCTTAACTTTGATGAATCGGCCGACATGTTTATCAAGGAGATCGATTTTTCACGTATTGCAATCGAAATCAAGCCTGCTCATTCGGATGAAAAAGAGGTTTACAAATTAGGACATTGGATTGATTCAGGTGCTGCCATTGTACGTCGTATCATGAAACAAAAGCGTCAAGGAATAGATCCGATGGAAGGTACATGGTTTAATTTGATGGGTTCAGATGGACCTGCGCGTATCCGTTTGGGCTTTGAATATGACCCCATGGAAGATTTTGTTTTGAACCCGGATGAAAGTTTGGATAATCAAGGTGTTTTGACCGTTGATCTGGTCAGTGCAACAAACCTCATGGCTGCGGACAAGTCTGGTACAAGTGACCCTTATGTCATCTTTAACGTCAATGGTGAAAAACTGTACAAGAGTGAAACTATCAAAAAAACGCTGAACCCTAAATGGAGCCGTGAAAGATTTGAAGTGCCTATTCAGTCAAGAGTGACAGCCAGTATCCGTATTGAAGTATTTGATTGGAACCATGTGAAGGGGGATCAACCTATTGGTTCAGGTGGTATTACACTGCGTGGTGATGCAGTCGAAAGTTTTAAGCCACGTATGGTAGATATTCCTTTGGATGGTGTATCTGGCGTTTCGGGTAGTGTACAAGTCAAATTTACATGGCATCCTCAACTTCTCAAGACCAAAAAAACTCAGACATCTGTATTGGCTACTACACGTACGTATGCGCGTGATGATGTAAACTTGGAGGCGTCTGGACCGTTAGTGCGTAATTATCAACAGTACGATATGGCGAGACAGTCAAGTGAAAGCTACCATGGAAGTCAATTATCGGATCCATATGGTAGTCGCATGTCAGTAGGTTCTTCCCGCCTTAGTTTTGAAGATACAGTGTCTGTCACACCTTCGTCTATCCTATTAGATGTGAATAATATTAGTAATGCCACAGGCCAAGCAGGATCTGTGACGATTACTTTGCTGGAAGCCAGAGGATTAAGAGGCGTGGATAAAAGTGGGACTAGTGATCCATATGTCCGTGTCAAGGTAGGTAAAGAGCAAATCTACAAGACACAAGTGATTCCAAAGACATTGGATCCTGAATGGAACGAAACGTTTATCTGGAGAGTGGGAGGAGAGCCCTTTATTTTTGATTTTAAGGTCAAGGACCACAATCGTGTGAAATCTGCAGTGGATCTTGGTCAGACACGATGTAACTTGTGGGACTTGATCAAGCTGGATGTCCCGGGTGGCGACACGTTTTGTCAGTGGTTACCATTGTTTCCTCCTGGAAGTGGAGAGTTACGTGTGAATATTCATTTTAACCCTTCGATTTAATCACTTATATAAAAATTGGATAGGTTTGTAAACCAGTGTTTTGAATATTATTTTTAAATAAAAATCAAGTGTATCAAATTGCGTTTCTTTTAGATGGTCAAACTGGGTATCGAGAGCAATTTAAAATGACGTACAGTAATTTGGACATGTTAGTCTATTATTTAATTGGTATTACCCTTCCTCGTCACCAAGCCCATCATATATCCGTGTGTTCAATTAAACGAGGCACTTTGTTTAATCCGCTGCCTCGTTGACAGCCCGCAATCATACGATGGCTGTATCCACGTTTCAATGGAGTCACTTTTTTCTTTTTGAACACAATTGTAAATCACTTTTTACTGCGCACAGGCTTAAGAGCACGTTTTTTTATGGGGGGAAAAGACCCAAACACCCTTAAAATCTTGTGGAACATCCAAGTAAAAAGAGGAAATAAAAGTCGCGTTTTGTGCAAAGCAAATGTTTATTACCACCGGGACCATCATTCGATAAATTATATTCTTGTCCGAAAAAGACATACGATATTTGTACATTTAGAAACTCAACCATTTCTTTTGTTTCATTCAATCATCGAACCAGGATAAAAATACATTATTGTTTAAAGATAGATCCGCGCCACTTTGGCATATTAAGACACAGCTTCAAAGTCTCATATTCCAACATGTGAATTATCTTTTTTTTTTCTCGTTTGCAAATAAGAAACAGTACGTGATTAAAAAAATCACGAGTCAATTGATCATTACAACTGATATGTAAACAATGACATCAAAATTTGGAAGGCCAAGGAACAATAAAAGGGACCGTGTGGCGTGTAACTGAACTCTAAAGTGCGATAACCTATTTGGTGTAACTGATAGTAATTGCAGAGGTAACTATAATTTTGCGTCCAGGCATGATGCAAAAAACACCTTCCAAAAATTAACGTCTATAGGCGTTTACATAATTATTTTTCGAAACGTGATACATGATTTTTTATTACCACTTACAATGAATAAGATTGCTGAATCATAGATAGATAATAGGTACAGGATAACGGATACATGCACTAATACTGAGTGTATCTTTATCCAAAACAAATCTATTATTTTGAAATGGCTAGTTGATAACTGGTTTAAGTTTTTTAAAGAAATGCTGAATACGACATAAAATTCCACATCCTAAAAGTCTGAATCTCGTTATTTATAAACCTTGCTTTTTCGTAAATGCTCTTACTTTTATTGCTATTAAGGCCTAAACAATATGGACTTCACTGTTTACATCTAAGCGATTTTTTCGGCTTCATGAATGCTTGATTTGTCTTCACCGTTGATATGTATTGCCAAATCACTAGTAAATAGTCTGCAAGTGAAGCATTACATACATTTAATCTGAATATAACCTATATCCATCGCAGTCAATATTCTAAGCTACTTTTTTTTTTTTTTTTTTTTTTTTTTTTTTTTAAACAAACAATTTAAACAGCACACCAGCCAGTTTCAGTGTTAGTATTACTGGAAATAAAATCACTATAACTGGCAATCGTTTTAACGTTGGTGTAAAGTTCTTTATAAATTGTATTGTGAGGACACTTCGCTAAATGTAATTATTAGGGATTGCCACTCAACCCTGGGAAGAAACATCCTCGCAAAACAAAAGAAGACCATGGCCACCGCAAAAAAAAAAGCAAAAGAAACGACAATGTAGGGCAAATCGTATTTACAAAAACTACATAATTAACGTCTTTATTAAGGGCACAAGTATTTGGAAAGATTGGCTAGATTTTCTGCAAAACGAAGGAGTGGCCAAAATTTCATCCATATATTCAAGAAAACCACGGGGCCGTCAGGTTCGGAAAGGGTAAAGTGTTCCTTCCGAGCCCAACCTTGAAGAAAGTATTTACACCATACATATGGAGTTTCATTCTGAATACTGTCAACCGATTCCAGCCATAGTCAAGTCTTATATCAATACTGCTCTTCTTATTGTAAGATGTAGATAGATAATTAATTAATTGCGCCTACAAGTTTTTTTAACCACGCACTCATAGAAAACGCCACAAGAATTTGAAGGTCGTATTAAAACCATTGCCGCCCATGATGAAAAAGATTAAATCGGCTCAAAAAATAGAATCTGTTTGTACAGATGATAGACCTCGGTGAACAAATACAATTGGATGGTGTTGAAGTTGGCGTTCATGCGTATGATCTCCGCGAAAGTCGTGTTTTTCATGAAAAAACAATAGTGGATCGTCAAGACAGCCTCAAGTCTAAGCTCAAGATTACAAGATCGGTGCTAATATACAGTGTCCTAAAACTGTCACGGATACTCAGAGTGTCTTTAGATCTAGGTAAGAACCACGTAAAAGTATCATATAAAGCATGTGAATGACCTATTATAATAGGCTGGGCTTACACAAATCTAGACAAAATATTGCCGAGCTTGATTCAATATGTATCCTTTCCTCAAGCTTATGTCTAAGGCACTGTTTGAATCAAGGGATTGAGTCTGGGCCCGATTTCACAATTGGAGAAGCGCCATTAAAATTCATGGCTGTCCATCTCGACTCGATTGGTCTATATCGTGATGATTCAGCAGGTCAGTACAAAGCAGATGGTACGATCACATTATTTGGTATACACCGTTTGTAAATACTCTTTCTTGAGACTTCGTCTCATTTTCGATGCACCAACCAACCCAAGATTT